TTAAAACCGAATTAAGTTTAAAGAGATTTCTGCGACAACCCCCTCATATGAGAAGTTTTCCTTAAGTAACATGTAAGGATATACGGCAAATGACATATAATTGCAAAGCAAACAAACTAAGGGTTGGTTTCACAATTTGTCGTGCCGATGAACTGGCATGTGCCATAGGAGGCATTAGGCTTTTATTTAATTTGAACGATTGCCGTAACTAACCGTTGCGAAATTGGGCTTAGCCAAGAAAATAAATTGGAGCCCGGTCTGGAAATTGAACCCGGACCTCGTTTAGCTATCTAGCTATCTAATGTTTATATTACAGGCCATTTAACTCCGGGCTATCAATTTACAAAATGATTGGCCTTAGATTGACAATCAACTTCCTGATTTTTAATGCATTTTCCCTCAATTTCATATATATTATTTTCTATATGTGATGTGTAAACGTCGTCATGATTCGAAGGCGTTTTTCTTCAAATTAAGAAAAATATTATTCTTAGTGCATGCTTTGATTACAATCGCTGGTGGTTCGCTGTCAGCTGCTGTGGCATTTTATGGCTACATTAGAGTCGGAAGCTTTTCTAGATGAAGCGCCACCCCGACCCCACTCACCCGACTTCCTTCCATCCATGTAGAACAGGATTTACATCACACCCCAAGCCGGGGCTCATCTCTTAATTAGTTTAAACATTGAGTGGCTGGTTCCTTGGGTGGAGATTTGCCATGTTGACTTTCGGATTTGGATTTTAATTTGCAACACTTTTGTGAGGGTGGTTCGTACCCTGCCAGAGAATTATCATCATCAAAAATGTAAATTTATGTTCGCATCGAAGCGATTTATTATCTCGCTCTCTCACTCAATTTCCCACCCGCTCGTTTCGGCCTTATTTATGACACCAGCTTTCTTGCAACAGTTTACGGTTATTAAATTTCTTGATTCTGCTCTCCACTAGGAGGCCACTGGCCGCCATCCGCCATCCGCCAGCGTCATCAATTCAGTGCAACAATCCCGCCGCTGCAACCATATTGGGTTGCCGGTAAATTGCTGTTTCGATTATTGCGATTGTGTTACCCTATCTCGTGATATTTAATCTCTCTAAAAAGATTTTTAATGGCGCGGAAAACGTCATTGTCGATTGTGAAAATATCAATATCATTCATTTGCGCTATTCGATCATCCGATGACTCAGAAAATCGCTTTGCCGGCTTTTTAAATATCAATATAGCTACAAACCATAACATTAACACGCAATTTGGTATTTTTGAATAATTTTGTTTACCATAAACCAGTTTCATTTATTGGAAATTAAAATTAAATACCGGAATCTTTTTATGCAAAATAAATTGTTAACAATTTTTTTTCATTTGTATTTATTTTTTGTTTACCACAAATGGTAATAAAAATGTTATTCAATTGTTATTATTCAGTTAAAAATATTTTTTTGTTTACGTTAAATGGTCAAACAAGGGAGAATTTGTAAATATTCTGTTAATAATGCAATGAAAACTCAATAAAAAATTTCCTCCATTATTTTTGGCTACCACTTTCTATAAGTTTAATTATGATGTTAATATGCCACGTTTCTTAAATTATATACTTCGATAAAAAGAGGTAGTTAAAATTGTTACAAGAAATTGGTTTTAATTTATGCTCGAATCTTTTCCTGAAAAGAGAAAGGCTTGTAAGGGTATTAGTTGCTTCGATTTTGAAGCTTTGGCCTCTCCATCTTGTTTTCCCCTTGTTGTTTTAATTTATATTTCTTTTGGCATTTGGTTTTTCTTACCAGTAATCGCTTGCACATTGAGTGAAAATTAACTCAATTTCCATGGCGTGTTTGATGGTTTCTTTTGTTTAACCTTCCCTCAGCACTCTTTCTCCAATCTTGGGGAAACTAGGAAGAGAAAGGGCAAACAATTCCAACAATTGTCTGTGCCAAAACGAGTGAGAGGGAAACGAATAAAACGTACAAGAGACACCAGGCCAAGACAAATCGGACCTCGGGGCACCGGATTGCAATGGATTGGAATCGAATCATTACTGCTCTAGCTGGAACGACGTTTATCTTGAACCTAATCTTTCAATTGTGTGGCTTTTCTTGGTTATTTGTCCACTTTGGATTACTGCAGTTTCGCAAGATAAATATAAGAATAGATCGTTATGTCATGGGAGGGAACTTTACGAGTATAACATATGTTTGCATTTATGTCTCCCTTTGATACTTGTTTGGAAACTAATGAAAAGTCACAAAAGCACTTGCACATTGTTTGACTTAAGAAAACACTTTGTGTCGCCTATAAAAAGCGATTATGGAAGACAATAATTAACTGTCAATCAATGCTGACAATGCACATAAAGAGGCCTTTCAGGCCTTATACAACCATGTGTTTTAAAAATCTTTTACAAATTTCGAAACATTTTGCCGTGTGCATTAACCGTTATTTGTTTTTTTTTTCCACAGCCATCATATAAATCACTGAAAATATTTTTTAAACCTTGATGCTACTTTTGATTGTTATTTATTGAGCTCCACCCATGAAATTTACATTTCGCACTTGTGATAGTCACACATCAACGTGTTGCTTTCTCTTTCTGTATTATTTGGTCTAAGAGATGTACGAATATTTAAGTAATCATATTATATTTTTATTATATGTGTCATGCCCACTTTATAGCGTATAAACAGTCAACTGCGAAAAAACTGCCGACGGCATTTTGCACTTTTTTTCTCAAGCCGCGTACAATATTTGTCTGGCATTTTTATAGCTTATCATCTGTGTGAAATGCCGCTCATTAAAATGTTTTACGGATAACCATCAATTATACAAAGATAATATTAAAATATTTGGAATCGGACATGTAGTTCGATGACCACACGCATATAATATAATTTTGGTTGATATTAGTATTTATTTGTTGTCGACCATTTTGGATTTTTATTAAACTCTTAGAGGTTTGACAAATTTCATGTTTACCGCCCTTTTGATTGGCTATAACAAACTTTATTGCAATGGGTGTGTACAAATCTTATTACCAAATCGTTAGCATCTGGCAGATTATTTGTGAATTCAGCTGCTTTTGTTTATTTATTTATTGGCTCGAACTCGTGGAAAAGTATTCCACTTCAATTGATATTTTTATTAGATACATGCCCCCATGTATGCTCCTTTATTAATTTCAGTGTATTCAACACATTTGCCTCTATTTTATGCGTCGGTACACTCGGTCACACATGCACATTTATCTACATATATCCGCTTGATCCAGCCGGACGGCATTTACTTGGATTGTCATTTACACTTGATGGCGGTCCGTTGCGCCGTCTGTTCTTCTTTTTGCTCCGATAGCCAGACTGCTGTTTTTTTTCGAGAGGTTTTCGTTTCGTTTTTTTTTTTTATTATTTTCTTTTTTTTTCGGTTTTCGACCAGTTCCACTCCTCTCATCGGTTATGCATTGTCGGCGGCATCTGCATTCGAAATCGTTCAAATTTCCTACCCGTTCCGGACTCTTTTTCGCCGAGCTCTGCATAAATTGTGGCCGGTCTCTTGTACGGTTTATGTCATTTTCGGGAACTGTGTTGCCATTACCATAGCCTAAGCACATATCTCCAAACAAATCACGTTGTCAGTTGTTTTTGGTACTCAGCTCTTTTTGGCTTTTTTGTACGCGTCTCTTGGTAGCGTATGTTCGAAATTGTATCAGCATTCTTTGCACTTTTTTTACCCTCTTCTTTTACCTTAAGTAACAGCTTTTTTTCCTCCTTGTTTCCCCAAAAGATCTTGAACTTGTTAATTGATTTTGTGCCACTTTTGTACTGTAATTATTGTTGGCTTTAAAGCGATTGTATTGCAATTATAGCATTCAGTTCGTAGACATTTCGCGTGTGGATATAATATTTCATCACTTGGTAAGGCCGCATAAATATGTAAAGATATCCACCACGTTAGCGATTAGGAAATTTTAATTAACATGCTCTTTTCTACAAAGATATTTACCGTACACTTTGTTGGCACTATGATTTGTTGTCTTGGCCGCCTGCGTCGTTAATGAAATCACTCAATTGGAAAACAAAAGCAAATTATTTGCTCCAAATCGCAGTCGAAAACGAAGGTGCTTGTGTGGCGGTGGAATTTTTGCCACTCCAATGCCCAGATCCGATTCGATCCGATCCGCCTTCGCCACCTGTGCAGTTTGGGGATTTCGAACTAATAGCCAGCTGCCCATAAATCATTAATCGCTGGCTGTGGCTTTCCGCTCAAGTCGCAAGATTTTTGACTTCGCCTTTTAAACGTTCAATGTCAGTTAATTAATTAATTCATAATTTGGTTGGCGAAAGAAAGGGAAGGTTTGAGCAGGAAATTGGTTGTAGAGATATTGAATGCCCTGATTGAATTTACAATTTTATTGTCTAAATCACTCTATTTTGAGCAGAGCTGTGTTTATGTATAGTCAAATATTAAGTAGCCCATTTGCATGCAACCCCCTTGCTTGATATTTGCTAATAAATTTTAGGAAAGTTAATGTCACATAGCCCTTTAAATATTGGTTGTATCGTTAATAATGTTTCTATAAATAGAGGAGGGTATCTTTTGGTAAAGTTTATGACTTGAATTGAGAAATATTTTTGGCCTTAATATTTTCTTTATTAGCAATGTACAAATGAATGCCTTGGTCTCAATCATATTTCTGATTTTAGCATTGCATTTTCTGCAATGTTCAATAAAATTGTTGGCTAATGAATGTAACAAATGGGATACTTGACTTAAATATATATTTGTTGTTTAATCTAATGATTATTTTATGATTACAAACTACATTTGTATAATTATGTGTGTAGATTGACTAGACTTTCAATAATTTACTAAATGGGATGCAATCGCTTGGGTATTTTTTGCCAGTGAAAGCTAAAGGCTGCAAATCATGCAGCACCCACAATGACAATTTAAATGCCAACAATGATTTATTTCACGAATCGAATATTTATTTTTTTCCTCTCTTTCTCTTCCAGATAAATCGCGACGATGGACTGCCGCAAGGAATCTGCCGGCAGTGCATGGCCCAGTTTTTGATGGTGGCCAAGTTCCGGCGGAAATGTGTACGGATGCAGCAGCGCCTGCAGGACTTTGCCCAGGAGATATCCGACCGTCAGGCGGCCAGACAAGCCAAGCGTCAGCAAAAAGTGCAAAAGGAGCGTCAGAGTAGGGAGGCCGGCGCCCAGAAGGATCCCGTAAATTTGCCAGAAGGACATACGGACCGAAAACGTCGCATGGTGTCGGAATCAGACGGCGATTCAGCAGCAGTGGCAGTGAAACAGGTACGAACGGAATCGAAGGATTTGCCGCCGCCAAATTCAAGTCGCCTACAACTCCGTCCGCGTAAGTTTCGGACCCTTTCCATCGGCTGTGAAATGGATCGTCCCGCGTCCATCGATGCCAGCAGCATGCCCTGGAAGACGAAGGCTGCCCGCAAGCAGCTGTCTGAGACATGGGCGTCCAGTTGCTCCCCGGAGCTCTCTTCGCCCAATCGTGGACGCTCCAGCACCAGCAGCAGTGAACATATGAGCGACCTGTCCGTGGGTCCCTGCTGTGGCTTCGAGAGCGACAGCAACCCCTCCTCCACTTCTACTCCAGCACAAATGAAGGCCGCCGGTAAGGTGGAGTCGCCGAAGGCATTGCCGGTAAACGATTTGTTGCCGCGAAGGGGTCGACGTCCAAGGAATTCTCCTATTTACATGCCGGCCAAAAGGCAGAGGCGATCAGTGGTCAAGAAAGAGCAGCCGAACAAACGGAAGGTTGGAGGTGAAGCAGTCACCGGAGAGAATACAAAGTCTGATCAAATTTTTCCGCCGGAACCAAAGGTGGATAACCGTGTCCCATCCTGCGATGAGGCAATCGGCAGCAGTTCAGATGTGCCAAAGGAAACAGCTTCGAGTGTAGTCGTCGCAGAAGTCGCCAATGAAATGAGTTCAAATGATGTTGGCAATGAGATGGTACCCTGTGAAAAGCCGAATAAAATCTCATCGAATGGCTTGACCGGTAATTGCAACGAGGTAAACGCCATAGAAGTGGAGTCGGATAGTGACAAAATAACACCCAATGACGTGGAGGAAAATATGTCCGACAAAGTGGGAGAAGAACAGCCAAAAACCGAAACAGTGGAGTACACAAATGGCACCACTAATGGGGAAACATCTGATTTAGAGCTACCGGAGGAGTCTAAAACAGATAGTGAAGACGAAGAAACTATTCTTCAAGAAAATTCTTCTAATGATCTTTCCATTGAAAAAGAAATAAAGTTAAATGATAATAAGGCTGAAGGTGATCCTCTGCAGTCCAGGGAACTTACCTCGTCCACAGAACCCAGTGAGCCGCAACTCGCAACTGTTGACCAGCTAAAAACTGTGGAGCACCAGGAATCCGTTGGGCAACTGGAAGCGAAGGATGATGTTGAGCAACAAAACACCGTGGAACAGCCGGAGTCGGTTGAACAACCAGAAACTGTGGACCAACCGGACTCTGTTGAGCAACCGGAGATCATAGTGAGCATACCGCTGGAGGTGCTCAACGAGGATCTGCAGCGCCGCCTGTGGGTGGATCCAGACACCGAGGAGGCGCAAAACTGCGAGACTGCGACGCCCAAAGAGCTGCCCGTGCAGTCCGATGATGTAAACAACAATGAAAGCGATGAAAATTTTTGCCAGAGTGCTACAGCAGATAGCTTCAATTCTGCTGTGGCACTCCGAATCAATAAAATTGAAGCCACACCAACGGGGGGAACAGAATGCAGCGCGGGAAAGGATGCAGAAGGAGAAACTACAAGCGGAGCAGAATCCTCGGTGGATGAAACGGACACGGAAGAGGTGCCGATAGTGCGATCTGGACCCACGCCCATGGACTTTATGGCCGAGTTTACCAAGCACTGTGAAAACGGCATTGAGCAGCTTAAGGTCACCACCCCGGCGGCATCGCCCACGCCCTCGGATCTGCCACTGTCGCCCCTAAACGATCTGGAGGCCAAGCAGAAGCTGGAGGTGGAGATGAACGACGTGGAGACCACTCTCAATGGCATCCTTAACGAGATGCAGGACCAGCACATGTATACCCCGAATTGTACCCACATTGATGAGTTCCTCACTCCCGCCGACTATGCTACGCTGACCGAACAAGAAACGTCCGTCTCATCGCCGCCCAATCCTTTCGAACAGAGTCCAGTTGCTGAACCGGAGCCAAAACCCTCTGCCACCGATGATCCCTTTGATAATAGCAACTTCAGCAACGAACTTATTGGCTTTCAGAACGATATTCCCTGCTTTGAGAACATTGAAACCAGTACGGAACAGGGACAGACTTTGCATTTAGAACTTACTCAGTTTTTGAGGGAACTACAGCCGTCCCAGGAGGTTCAGCCGCAAGAGGAGCAAAGCGGTAATACCCAAGTGGAGACGCAGGCGATCGAACCAATGGATGTCCAAGCCGAAACCCAAGTGCAGGTTAAAAATGAATCAGAAGATCTCTCTCCGAATGAGTCACGCATGCAAACTCCCATATCATCACCTCAAGTTCAACAACAAATGGAGGTTCAGATGGAACCCGTGACTCAGATGCAACACGAAATTCTGTCGGTGCAGATTCCACAAAATCAGCCTCAAGTGCAATCTCATGACCAATCTCAGATGCAACATCAAATCCCACCGCAAGTGCAGCCACAGATTCAACCCCAAAACCAAGAGCATCAAACTATACAGATCCTACCGCAAGTCCAGAGTCAAGGGCATCCCCATCTGCAACTCCAGTCGCAGGTGGTTCCACATGTCCAGACGCAAGGCACGACGACAACGGTCACCTACGAACAGATCTATCAGCAGCACATTGTCCAGCAGACGGTGCAGCAATCCTCCAACAAGATGCAGGTCATCTCGCTGCCTTCGGCTGGATCCGAAACGCGACAATGGCAGCAGTCACAGCAGTCGCAGCAGCAGCAACAGCTCCAGTGGTCCTCGGTGGGCGGACTGGAGGCCATTAAGAGTACCCCCGTTGAGAACGTTGCACCCACAACGACCACGTACTACATCAGTGCCAGCGATCTGTATCCGCAGCAGACCACTGAAACGTACACCATGCTGGAGCCAGCATCCAATGAAAGCTATGTGATAGAGCAGGTTAATCACCAGCAGCACCATCACCAGCAGCAGATTCAGCATGCCCAGCAGCAACATCAGCAAGCGCAGCAGCAACCGATTATGATACTAATCCAGCAGCAAGAGGTGCAGCCGGTGGCCTCGGCCAGCAATCCACAGCAACCTCCGTTACACATCTACGGTGCTCCCATCAGAAATGATTTGCATCGCCAGAACATCCAAAGCCAACAGGTGCGACGCCAATATCAGCGGCCGCAGTATCAGCAACAGCAACCGCAGCTTCAGCAGCAGCAGCAGCAGAACATCGCCTCGTTCAAAGCCATCCAGTATTGGGAATGCCGGGAGCAACTTCCATATCCACCAAAGTGACTCCCATTCCCGTCACAACACCAAAGGGTCGGGCGCTGACGCTCAAATGCCGCTTCTGTCAGAACGGACCGCGCTTTTCCAGCAGCCTGGAGTACAGCCGGCACATTATCGATCTGCATCCGGCGGTGGCGCCTTTCAACTGTCCACACTGCCCGTTAGCGTTTGCCGGCCGGACCAAGCGTTCGCAGCACATTCTCAGCCATCATGTGGTGCAGCAGTACCAATGTGGCCAGTGCACGCAAGTGTTCCCAGCCCAGAAGGCTTTGGACATGCACATCCAGCGCTCCCACATGACATTGCAGACGGGTGAAGCTGTGAAAGTGGAGGAGGTTCAGCTGCAAATAGCGAACGAACGGAAGCCTAGGCAATATAGGCCACGGCTGCAACATCAACAGCAGCAATTGCAACCACAGTTGCAGCAGCAACAACAGTTGCAGCAGCAACAACTAGAGCAGCAGCAACAACAACAACAACAGCAGCAGCAGCAACAACTACAGCAGCAGCAACAACAACTACAGCAGCAGCAGCAGCAGCAAAAACTGCAGCAACAACCAGTGCAACAGCAACAGCAAGTGCAGCAACTCCATCAACCGCAACAGCAGCAGCAACATGTGCTGCAAACGCAACAGCCACAACAGCAACAACCGTTAATGCAGCCGCAGTCAGCCCATCCATCAAGTGAGTTTTTCATATACTTTCACCAAAACAATCGCTTTTTAAACCATCATCTTATCTTTAGCAATGGAAATCCAAGCCAGCACAACAACTCCACGAAAGATTCTCTGCTGCCCGGATTGCGAAGACTGTAAGTTAAATGGAATAATGGTATAATCGCTCAGCTGCTCTTTTATTTAATAGCCATGAGTTATAAACTTTCGGATAAAAAAGAGCAGCGAAGCGTTTTATGCGGTCTAAATTGGTTCCGATCTAAAACTTTTCTTCTTCCCGTTTCAGGCACATCCGGTCACAGCCATGGCAACGGACAGTTTGAGGAGCTCCCGACACTGCAGGCTCCGCCAACGGTGCTCACTCCGCCCTCGACAATCGTCTCGGTTCCATCGCCCCAACCCATGATGTACTCTCAGCACATAACAATGCCCTCGCCGGAACAATCTGAGCCAGATTCCACGACCACGTTGCGACAGTTCCGCAAGCGTGGCGTCATCGTTGGGCCACAGGGTCCGCTGCATTTGGCCACACCAGCGCCCTCGCCATCACCATCGTCGTCGCCTTCCTCGTCGACTGTTGATCATGCGCCGCCAGCTTCACCGGCTCCGCCCGCTTCCCCAGCTCCGCCTCCTTCGCCCGCTCCCGCGGGGCAGGTGAGCGAGCTGCGGACGGCCCACCAGTGTCTGTACTGCGAGGAGCGATTCACCAATGAAATCTCCCTGAAGAAACACCATCAGCTGGCCCATGGAGCCCAGACTACGATGCCGTTCGTGTGCTCAATCTGCAAGCGAGGCTATCGCATGCGAACGGCTTTGCATCGGCACATGGAGTCCCACGATGTGGAGGGCAGACCGTACGAGTGCAACATTTGTCGCGTGCGATTCCCGCGACCCTCGCAGCTCACACTGCACAAGATCACGGTGCACCTGCTTTCGAAACCGCACACCTGCGACGAGTGCGGCAAACAGTTTGGGACGGAGAGTGCTCTGAAGACGCACATTAAGTTTCACGGTGGTAAGTTTTCGAACAACTCGATGCGGTGGACTACTAAAGGGTTTTGGGTTGCCTAGAGTTCAACTTTACCATACTAATCCCCATTCATTTAGTCTTAGTGCTCTGTCGTAGTTTGAGTTATAAGCCTCTTACTAATCTTCCATCAATTGTTATCGTTGTATTGTTGTTGTCGGCAGTTTATTCAACCGTGGTTATATGTTCCAAAGGTATGACAACCATGACCGATTAGCTTTCATTCCGGGAATACCAATATCGATTATGGTGTGGGTGTTCCCAATGCTTGGCATGAAATAACACAGCTTGCAAACTTTGTATTATGCTTTTTAGACACATAAGTTAACATTAATTGTAATAGACTTGCATACAGCTTGTCAGTGAATATAAAACAGACCCCAAAACGCTTGATAGATGTATACCTAGCAGTCGACTTGGAAGAATTATATGAAAGCCAATTACCTGGTGATAATTGCCCTTTGATATATGACGGCTTCAGCTGAGCGTTGCTAATTATTGACAATTAGATGACCCTTGTTATTAATCCAATGACCTGATCACCTATTTGTATTCATTCGGTAGAAGTAGAAGTGCGTTTCGTAACATGTGAGACTTTCAAAGAAAATGCCTGAATATATATCATTGAATAAACATTTATAAGCTGTACATTACTTGCTTTACTTCTGCTTAACCTCGGTATACCTCCATGGAATTCCAATCGCTGAAACTACAATCTTTCCTTTAGTTTCGCAACGCACTTTAAACCCCAAAATTTCTCAATCAATGTTAAATGTTGGCCCGCGATAGCGAAATCTGTAGTTTACCTTACTCGCTTGCGATGAGTGTTTTCCGCTATCTGTATGTTGGCTCCCTTCAAAATCACAGTGTGAATCCCAATCACTGAAACATCGAATTCGAATAAGTAGATACAGAGGCCAACAACCAAATTGTCTTTTCCAGAGCTCGGTTACCAGTGTGACGGGTGCGATCGGACATTCGAATATCTCAAAGAATTGCGCAAACATCGACGCACCCACAGCGAGATGTTTTACAAATGCAAGTTTTGTCCAAGCTCCTTTACGCGATTCACGAGTTTTCGGGGTAAAGTCTCGTCCATCAATGGTGTTGCCAACATTGTTATTTTGGTTATTAAAAATAACTACATTAGCTCAAAGTTGTAAGGCGAAAAGAACAATTTTGCTTATCAAAATGGGTAGATATTTTTATAGTAATGAGGTCTAAATAACTTAAGCAGCTTCGAATATCATAGTGCTTAACCTCTTACTCAGGTATCAATAATTGCCACCAAGTTTTCCAACTATTCTTATTAAGTATCTAGGTAATAGGCAGCAAGTCTCATTAATTTTGATTAACACTTATCGTTTTTTTCATAGCAATAATCGAATCCCTTAAATTAATTAATTTGATTTAATAAATAATTTAAAATCATTTACGATTTTATATTACTAATAAACTAGCCTTCTTGTTGTGTTAATGTCTAATGTTATTATTTGCCAATCTTTAAAAATTATTACAAAGTTGGCAGCACTATCCATAATTTAAAAACCTTTGTTGGAAAAAGTTATAGGTTGATCCAGAGTATAGAATGTTAATTGCCTGATGCCTGCTTTTTTGCATGGCCTATGATAAGATGCACTCTGTGCTTTAGAAATTAAATTTAAAAAAGTGTGAATGACTCATGTATTAATTAATTTCTTCTTACATTTTCATTAGCGCACATGAACACGCATTTGCCACTGGGCGTATTTCTTAACGAGGAAGCCGCATCAAAGTCACCCAGCAACAACAATAGCAACACAACCAGCGATAAGCTGGAAAATCCGCCCACGCCCATCGAAGAGACACCATTGACGCCGATGAGCAGCGGTGGACACGTGTACAACAGCCCAGATGAATACCCCAATTCGGTGGAAAGCTGTGCTGGCAACAGCCTGGCTCTGGAATCAGTTTCCACAACGCCATAACCCAGGAGACCGGATTATTATTTAGTTTACAACGCTTTAGTTATAAGTAATTACGAGCAACCTAGCCAAATAACAACGGCGCCTTCCTATACTATTGCCACGTTCGTTGGTGAATAGTTTCAATTCTTCCCATTGGAGCCAACCAATATATAATTCTTAATGGACAAGAACCAGCAGACTGCATTGAATGCAATCCAATATTGCACTTAAAATACCTAGCAACTAAGCCAAGGATACACTCCCTCAGACACAAATCTTAAGGCTAAACATAATTAGACAATAAGATAGTTAGAATCTAGACATTCATACAATGAAACCAATTAAAACAAATAAACAAAGGTTACCTTTAGACCATTAACATATACAATGCTAATTTCCGTTTCCAGTTAGACATATTTTTTGAAGAGCAATTAATGAAAATGTGAACAAAATAGTTCGATAGCGACTAAGAACCTAGCATTAAAAAATGTACCAACAGCACTAAAACTTATAGTTATTACAATTTTGGTATAGAATACAATTGAGTCGTGAAAATCAGCTCAAATCGTTTTTAGTTCCATTATGTTATAAGATGTTTCATTGAAATGAAACCAGGCAGTTGAATAGCCTATACAAATATTTTTCTTTTATTTATAAATTATGTAATAAACAAATTATGCTCTGTACGATCCAACGATAACAAACATGTTTGCCTTTTAATTCCTTAAGTGCTATGCATCAAGTTTGGGGCTACTTAATCGTAATACCAGTCCAGGAAGAGCAATGAGAACGACATGACCAGCAGGAAGAAGAGCGACCACACCCGAAGGCCAGCATTTCTTTGAGTGGCCTGGCGGATTTGCTCGTTGGCATCCTTGACATTCTCTGTGGTCCCTACGACGGCACTCACAATCCTGTCAATATTGTGCTGTTGCATGGCGACCTTAAAGGAGGGCAATAAAAAGGATTAGAGGTGATTAAATGTGGTCGGAACTATTTGCTTAATTGCTAATTAAATAAAAAATCGAAAGGACTTATCATCAGAGAGCTTAACCTTTTCCTTTTACAAAAATAATCCTTATTTACTGCAATTCCTTTTGACTTATTAATCCTAAAAACGCCAATTAAAATAAGAGGGGAATTTGATTTGAACAAGCACATATTGACAATGACTATTAGATGTACTGCAATTCCTTTTGACTTACTAATCCTGAAAACGCCAATTAAAATAAGAGGGGAATTTGATTTGAACAAGCACATATTGACAATGACTATTAAATGTACTCCAATTCCTTTTGACTTACTAATCTTAAAAACGCCAATTAAAATAAGAGGGGAATTGGATTTGAACAAGCACATATTGACAATGACTATTAGATTTGCCAGGATGTAGGGAAAGGCTAATCACATTCGCAAACCCATACGGCGCATTAAAAAGTTTGCCTTATTGAAATGGTTTATACTAATTAGTTGCTACTATCTCACCTTCTCGGTGAAAATGTCCTGCAACTGGGCAATGTCCACAACGTTCTTCTCAATCTGCTCCACCTCCTCGGAGACGCCCTGTAGGAAGTTGTAGATGTGCACGTTCTCCGCCTCGAATAGTTGCACGTCCTCGGGACTTAGGGGATCGTCATCGTCGGCCTCCTGCTGATTCTGGAGCTCCTCATCCAGAGCCACCTTAGAGGATGAGTCGTTCAGGGCGGTCCTATTGGGTTTGCTTCGCTTGCGCGATCGCGGCTTGTGTTGGCTGGCCTCGGCAGCGCCCTTCTCCTCCTGCCCATCGTGGTCGTCCGCTTCGACCTCCTCCTCGTCCTCATCCTCATCCCACTCGCCCCAGCCATCGTTGTTCCAGTCGTTGTCGGCGGTTTCGTCCGCATGACCATTTGTAGAAGGCGACGTTTCATTGGCATCGTTGTCATCATTGCTGACCAAGCGCCTGCCCAGCTTGCCACTGTTTTGGCCCGCCGGACGCACTGGTATCTTCTTCTTATCCGCAGCCAGCTTTAGCAGTCTGTAGGTCTCCAGCTCGTGCTGTACCCGGTATTTCTTCTGATCCAGATAGATCTGCTCCACGCTGTGCAGATAGCTGACCAGCAGGTCTAGCACGGCGTCTATGTGCTGGCGTTCCTGGGGCTTCCGCTTGGCACCCTTCCAGTCGCTGCGCATCTTGGCTAGATGTACGTTGTAAAAGCTGACGACCTTCTCCGACTCGCGGTCGATCAGATCCCGTTGTGCATCGGTCATGTGGGCGGCGCTCTTCAGGTGCTGCCCAATGCGCATGTAAGCGGTTCGGTTCTCGATCAACACATTGCGCAGGGCGGTGATCTTGTTGCACACCTCCTTGGCCTTCTTGGCGAACTCATCCTTTGGGCCACTTGGAGTTTTTGTGGGCGCTGGGCCGGATTTCGCTTTGCCGGCCAGCTCGGTCTTCCTCTGGAGGCGGACCGTCATTACACTGGCCTTGAAGCTCTGGGTGATGTCCATTACTATTCGCTATCCCTAATTTTAAACAAATTTAAACAATTTTAATTTTAAATCCACATCATCGGTCCAGCGCAGAGTGACCGTTCGCGGAATGCAGTGTGACCGTTAAAATATACCATTCAGCTTAAGAAAAATACTAAAATGCAATCAATATAAAGCCCAGAAATAGCTAAAAATAGCTTGTTTTTATTATGATCGAAATGTTATCGATAATTTCAACAGTGTTGATTAACGTCAGAAATTAACAACTATTTAAATTGAAAAATGAACAAGAAAATTTTAATGACTAGGGTTTTATTGAAAATGTACAATGTATACATGGGTGTGCGTGTGCTTATCGGCCGTATGAAAGTAGATTGAATTCCTTATTATTTAATATGCATATGGTTATATTACTTTCATTTTTTGTTGTTTTTGATATTTTCTTTATACAAATAATGCCCTTTGGATGCATGTGAAATAGTTGGGTTTTACACAAGTGGCACTTAAATAATAAGATCTTAACGTTAAATTTTCTACAGTTTTTTCTTTTGCCAAAACAAAGCACATGTGGTCAGACGAATTAGTTACATAATACATTACGCATAATAACAATATTAAACATTAGGCATACACTTAGTTCACAGTATTTTGCATGTCCTGGACGACGTTCTTCTTGGTGCCTTGTCCACGGCGCGAACCGCTTCCTCGAAGACCTGCTGAAGGTTCTGTTTCTTCTTGGCAGAGCACTCGATTAGGTTCGCGGCGTGAATCTCCTTGCGCAGTCGCTTGCCCTCCTGAAAATATCCGGAAAAGTTACTATCAAGTTCAATTCAATACTGTGAACTCTGCAAATATAGCCTACCTGCGTGGTCACAAACTTCTCCGAGTTGGGGATGCGCAGGTCCAGTTTGGTGCCCACCAGCACCACGGGCACGTGACTGGAGAAGTGACGGATCTCCGGCCACCACTTGCTCTTAATGTTCTCGAACGAGGTGCGACTGCTGATCGAATAGCACAACAGGAAACAATTCGTCTGGGGAAGGAGCATATAAAATCGATTAGCTACGGTTCAGTTCAAAATAATAAAGTTATACACGGAAAAGAAACAAAGATTAAAGACTTTATGAACTGAAAGTGTTATCTCGGTGCAGCAGAAATATTTTCTTCAGATTTGAAACCAATTTTGCTTCTAAACAATTTACAGCCACCAAATAGTGAAATTGGATCTTAAAATAATGACATTGAATTTCAGTTCAATTGTTTGGTTTCGATCGTTTAAATATTCAAGTGTACCATTTTTATTTTACAAGTAAGAATTTCGCGACACCTTGAGGATGTGATGGTTAGGTAACATGTTTTGTAACAAAAATTTTGAATATCTGCGAAGGCTTATTTTCTGGTTATCTCAGCTTTAACACTTACATTTGGATAGCTCAGTGGTCGCAGTCTTTCGTAGTCCTCCTGACCGGCCGTATCCCAGAGGGTCAGATTATAGTCCCGATCGTCTACGGCTATGTTGCAGGCATGATTGTCGAACACTGTGGGTACGTACTCCTCGGGAAACTCGTTCTGTGTGTAGGTTATCAGCATGCAGGTTTTGCCCACCATGCCGTCGCCCACGATGGTTATTTTCAGCGGGCGCGGACTCCTCGACATGTTCGTCGTCATTCCCGATTAGGTCTTGGTTGGTCTTTGGTGGAAAACTGCAAAGAGGGCAAAATAGAGGCGTCACATTGGCTGCTGGCTTGACAGTTTGCTTCCCCGATATTGCGCCATTTGGCGGCAGATGTTGGTGCTCTGTGTTTATCTTGGCGCACCCACACTTTCATCCTTATTTTCTGTGGCTGTGGCAACCGGAAATCTCCAGGCCTTGCCCCCAGCTTATTTTATTTCAAAATTGTCAGCATAAAGCAGACATCAGAAGATTGTATAAAGTAAAGAAATATTCCAATAAATTTGGTTTACTTTGTAATGTTAATCTAAAATCAAGATCAAAAATCTGTTAACAATTTAAACCTAATTATTAATGTAAAGACCATAGAAACCGTTATAGTTTTCTATTTAAGTAGAATTTATTTGAAGACTCTGGGAACCCTTGGAATATTAGCAGTTTACTAGTTTTTTGTACACCTGCATATATCACATCTGAACTTCAAAACTGTGTAATCTAATCGACAGCTAAAATATAAAAGGCCACAACACTTCAAGAGCAGGGGTAATTTGAGCTTTTACGAGGGGCCAACTGTGGAATGGACTTCATCAAGCGCAATTGATTCTGCGAAATCTCTAATGGAAATAAATGTGCTGTTATGGCAGTTCAACAGTTATATAACAATTAAATAAAGGCCGGTCTAAAACTAATAGACTTTCACCATGTCCAGCTAAAAAAAAAAACAGAGTAACAAAACCGCATTCGTTTCATAAATTTTTCTTTTTAATTAAAACTGGTTTCGTCGGTTTCATGTTGACCCAAAACATAAACTAGATTTCCCTACCCAGCCTCCAAAACAAAACGAAATTCAAAATCAAACGACATTTGCCCGATTTACATATGAGAAACTCCGTTAGGAATGCGTATGGTGACCGGGGATTCTCGGGGTATCCGTTTAAGCAGAAAACTCATACGAATTCCAGGAAATGTATATTGTTGTGGTTATGACTCACCAACCGACACTTGTTGATGTCTCTTGCGGTTAATTGCAAATCTGAGTTGTGGAAGCGATCATTTGAAGAGCTAGGTCACACTTATGTCGGTGACTCATCGGTATGAAAAAGACTAAAATCAACCCACAACTAAAATTTATTAATCCCAGCAAACTGCATCTCAAATTATTCACAATGAGAAAAATAAAAAGAGAAACCGGTTATATTGGGACATTCATCAACATTTTACCGTTCGGCAAGATGGAATTTTTAAACTTTTGACCACGGAAGCCACTAAGGCAGATTTAACTAATATAAAAAATAAAACCAGTTAAATAATGTGTCTTTCAAGTTAATGGCAAACAAATTTACCAATAAGTACATTTCCTAAGCCTTATCAGTGCCTAAGCTTTGCGAATTACTACATGATAGTTAACCAAAACTAGAATGTTAAAGTATGGGAAAGAAAGGTATAAAAAAAAGATATACCATTTTTAATCTTTATAACTCTATTGAATAAAAGGGACAAATAATTGTATTTGTTTGACTTATCAGTTCGCAAAAAATTGATGACAGTTTTTAGACTATGTATAGAAAGGAAAGTACCAAATCATTTATACTTTTGATAAAGACTTTGAAGCTCTTTAGTAAAACCATAAAAAATATATAAATAAATTTATTTCCCCAGAATAATCCAATAGTTTTGTACAACAAAACAAGTAAAAGTTTTCTGCCACTAAAAAAACGTATAGATACTCAGAAAATTCATAACACAGAGAACGTATTAATACTTATTGTCCATACCAGCAATTTTTAATAGGGTGACTTGACAACATTTGTTCGTTTTTAAGATGTGAGCATACGTGAGTAATTAACATAAAATGCTTTATATTGGCACGCGATCTACAAATGTGACACTTTGACTGGGAGCACTTTGATGCTTGGGTCAACACAATTAAGTCTAATCACTGATGCGATGGGGTCTTTTCTAGGGGTTAAGTGCTATTCTCTTTGTGTGTTTGAATTTTATTTTCGTTTCTTTTCAGATTTTGCATACGTTATAAGTATGGAATCTTTATTTTGCAGCCAGTTTCTGAAGAACAGTAAAGGCTTTGTCAATAAAAATTATTATTTTATTTGTTATACATTTGATTGATGGAAATTTAGGCCAACGAACAGGCTTTTGAATAAATTGTTTCACAATTCGCTAGAATGACGTTACCAAGTTTGAATCGGATGAGTTCGTGCCTGCAAAAAGGCAACAAAAATCCACAAATAGAAACAGGTTTTTTTGGCCAAATTAGTAAACAAACCAATCTGAACAATCGGCCATTAGGTAGCCACCACCGCCAAAATTGAAACAAAAACACAAACTTGGCCAGGGAGCAACAACGAAACTAAATAAACAGCACTCACTTTTGTTTTGGCCTCTTTGGACGAATTTTAAATTATTATAAACAAACAGCTTTGGGAGCTGCTTTAGTGACTACAGAAAAGTGCAAATAATTAAGTCCCAATGCTACCGAATTTTTCTATTTATACAACCAGCTGATTAAGCAATACAAAAGAAAAAACTCGTGAATGAGTGGAAATTCCATTATGTAAACTTTTGGATTAAGAAACAGGTGTGGGAACAATCGAAACATTTCCATGAAAACCAAGTGGATGCCAATACCCCCTTGACTTTACTATACATATAAATGCATCATAACTTATTCACTTGTATCAGTTTAACAGAGTCGCACAGCAGCGGAAGCTCTTTATCAAGTGATTAGCGCCTGAAACGGAATGTGTATCAAGCTCGGGATGAAATTAATACACATAATAAATTATTTAAACATAATTGCTCTGTTTTTAATGCACTCCCTTGGAATATGAAGTGCACATGCCCTGCAGTCCATGAACATATTATTCCGGCTCTTTGTTATCGGCTGTCGTTGTTCTGGCGGGCTTGGCTTGGATGGCCTCTTGTAAACTTTGCATATCAAGTTACGAACTCGACGTTCTCGGAAGACTTGCCACATTTCACACTCTCTTTCTTTGCCTTCGGTACCGATGATTTCCCAAGATGGAAAGAAAAGGTCCCAAGCTTTCTCATGCGACACTTCTGCACTATAATCGAGATTCACATGCAATTCAGTTGGGTCACTTCAGTTCAGCCGTCTTATCAGCTTGTTCTTTAATAAATGGGTGCATCATTCAATATGTACACTTTCAGTTATGTCCTCATATATAAAGTCATCCATAAATAAATAAGTTACACAAAGGCTGGTGGTCGCTTAGTCAATAAGTGAATTATGCGCACATTCATACAAATGTGGATCATGGAATCCAAGAATTCCCGACTTTGTCCGATTTGACTTTATACAACAGTAATTCAATCTTACAAATGACGAATAAGAAAAGACGTAAGTAGCATAAGCGAAATTTATTTGCAGATAATACTTGCATACAATTAAGATAACTTCAGTAAATTTTCTTAAGCAAACAATAGTTCTTTTTAGTAGGGAATAATATAATCTTATATCTGAGTAAAGTTCAAAACAAGGAAAAGGCTATTGCCCAAGGGCAATCAAATTAATCTTCTCACGCCATCCAAAACCAGAGCGAATTGGTACTCCAAATCGCCTACATAGGTACACTTCTATATAGAGACCTATTTTCAACGTCTACACCGGTGCACAAAAGCTTCTTGTTGCGAAAAATATACGAATCGTATATGTGATAGTATTTTTATGGTTTCTCGCACGGGTATTCGTATTTAATAAACTGATTAGATAAGATAGATGTCGGTGTACATAGGGAATTGGACTTGAAAGAGCAATGGCGATAAGTGGAACCATGGCAAAAACCTATGGTTACCTGGTCAAAAAGCAAAAAAAAATGAAGCGAATCCAGAATCAAATTGATTCGGTCAGATTGCAATGGCAGTCTCTGCCAATTAGTTAAATTAATTGAGGTTAATGCGGAGTATTTATTGTCCCATAGGTCGGAATGAATTGATTAGTGATTATGGTTATGGCCGAAACGGCTGGGACCTCGATTCACGTACTCTGTTTCCTGTGATGGCCTTTAAATGGCTGTCCAACCATATAATTGTTTGGTAACTAAAAATGGTAACGGTCCCATTAAGGTGGACATACACCCAGTCGAGGAATCGAGTCTGAGATAACCACATCCCCGAGAGAATGTGAGAGGGCCCAGAAGAGCGAGAAAAAGAGAGATCGTAAGCGGTTTGGAATTCCAGCGATATAGACGGATGGGAGAAGGGTTTGCGGGGGGCGGTGGGTGACGTGAGCGCCATACAAAGTGACTCAGGTGATAAAGAATCACGAAGTTTACTCTTCCTACCACGGATCTTCTATGCCAACAGTGTTTACACCAAAGATAATTGTTGCCTTTATAATCACTCGCGCCCACACCATCGCAAGGTCACTGGGTCTTAGTCCCACTCTATCCACTCTATCCATTTGTCTATGATATTTAGCCAGCTAGCTGCATTTGCGGGGCGAACTTAGTGGTATCGTATGCGTAGTTGTTTGCACAGGCACGTACTTATAGATACGAGGTTTTTGTACTCGTAGATTTTTTTTCGTATTATTCGCAATACAATCAATCGAACAACACGTCTGGCGATGACGTACGACCTGATCAGAGCAGTGTGGAGGAGATTACTCGAACTAACGGCGGATAAATAACGAACAACCACAACCGATCGTGTGCGATGTCGTCAAACAACTGAGCATTGGCACCAGCCTTAAAATCGGCCGCACTTTGTGACCGACTCGCAATTCGAGTATCTCACGGATACCCAAAAGAGCATGAGCAGCGAAGAGAGTCAGCTGGAGGAGCTCTCTTTGTCTGAAGCTCTTGGGATTGCCCGTCGTCTTCAGATTGTCCTATCAGCTGGGCTGGGCGGGCCGACCTCTGATAACGGGAATCCGAAAATGGAAGTAAAATCGCCACTCTTTTATAACTACACAAGAAAAAGTGTTAAAAAAAAACTTTGCTCCTTTTTATAAATATCAACCACAAATGGTAAATTAAAATAAAATGGAAAGCCAAAGGACATAGTTTAAGAAATTGTTAGAATAACTTGTTGAATAAAATTAAATTTGTATTCTCTTGGAATTTATACATGGTTCTTAACAAACAGGAAGTTTTAATTTTGGAACCGGGAACATTATTTATATCAGTCAGAACTTTAAACTCAAAAAATGTATTATCGGGAACATTTTGTATTTGTTTCATGTGACACACATCAATATAGGCTGAGAACGTTTTTTTCTGCTTAGGGTTTTTTAGTAGTAATTAGTCATGTAATTGCCCCGTATTAGTTGGAAAATTATCTTACAATTTCAGTGGTATATTATATGAAATTAAAGCTAGAAATTAAATGCACATTAAAAATACCAACCTTGCAAGTAAATTGAAATTAAACTATTTTTTTTTGTTTTGTTTTAATACACAAAACTAGAATATGAGTTCATAACAAATAAATGTAGTCTGGAGTATTTTTATTTAGTACTACATTTTCTGAATTCAGAGAATAAAATGTTTTAGTCAACTGACTCTAATATCAAATCAAATGAACAATCCAATGTTCTGAGTACGTCGAAATTCTGAGAAAACCGAATATCTGAATAAGGTTCAGGGTTTATGTGTATTGTAATCCTCCGCAACTGGAATATCTGCCATGAGCAATTAATCAACGACATTCGCGAGTGCGTGCCGCCAAACTCAGGCTTTATGTATGTTTGGCCGATGTAACAGTAATTAGACCAAAGACCGACATACATATGTTGACATACCCACAAGACCAAAAATGTTGCGTTCACTTCTAGTATGTGGCACAGCCGTAAATGAGTTCAATTAAGCGACATGTTGATGGAGCATTACATTAATTAGAATTACCACTGCACTGGGCACGTCACTTCCGTACAAGGAATAAAGGTCAAGTGACAAAGGCTTCGACCTCCAAATTGGGCGGTCAGAGCAAAGAGAAGCGAAAAATTATTAATAAATATGAGTATGCAGTAGTGCCAATTAAGGACAGCATCTTATGTCGACACATGGGCAACATGTGTGCCCATGGCGGACTTCTGGAATATTCTTGGAGTAGGAGGATGGTACGTAAAAATATGAGCAGGTGGAGTCTCAAGGAGCACTTTTAGAAACAATTTAATCTGGCTGGGAAAACTACATGGCTCTCAAGGTCGCAGGGTGAAGCGCCCCTCTATCGACAAAAAGAATCAAATTCGCCGAGGAAAAGGGCGATTAAGAATAGCACAAGGCGACTCCAGATAATATTGCAGTGAGTTTCCATTTCCCGTTTCCGGTCGGTTTTTGCCTGCTAGCAGGGAGCTGAGTTGAGCGGATCACTCCGGATCGAAGGGGTAGGAGTGCACTGCACGGGTGCTATTTCTGAACAGCACTCATATATTATATCTTATCTGGTGTACCGGGGTCTGCAACAGCAAATGATGAGGGTGGGGGAGCTGGAGTGGCAGAAACAAATATTATGAGATCCAATAACAATCGTAGAAAGCTGGAAGTGTTCTTAAATCAAATGCGGTTTATGGTGTGTAATTGCTAGTGTTCATCAGTCTGTTGGTTCCTTTATAACATTTAAAATTCCCTATTAATTTTCATATAAAAAAAAACTTGGATTGTAATTTTAGGTCCTTCCAAATTTTCAAAAAATGGCTTTGCAGAGATGTATATATGAACTGCACTTCTAGGCCCATAACTTTTCTTACAGACATCCGATTTCCAAGTGGCATACCTCTAAATGATTCTGGTTTAATTCTTTAACAATTTGTGTTTAAATTTGTGGTTTTTATTTTTGGGTCGATTTTTCGTAATTTTTAACGAAAAATGGCTTTGCAGAAAAGTGTCAAATAACTGGATAACATAACATAACAAAACTTTTCTTACAGACATTTTGTGTCTACTTTTTGTGATTTTTATATCTTTGTACAGTGTATTATAATTTCATGTTTAATATCGTTTTACAATACCAATGCATTTTTACGTAAAATACAAATTATATATTGCGGAAACAAAAATCAAAATAAGTAAGTTTCGTGTCACGATATGAAATTAAATAAAGTAATCGATAAGTTAGCTGTGCTATGTCTGGTGATTGGTTCACCACTAACGAAACGGGGTGTCCACAACATTTGAGTAAAAGAAAATTAGTTTGGAAATTACGAAAATGCCGGAAAGCGACGTGACCAAAATGAAGGTAAGTTGAGCGGCTTAAGAATGCCGAGGCCGCTGAGTAAAAATGACTTTTGCAGGTGGCGGATTTGAAACGCGAGCTGAAGCTTCGGGGTCTAACTGTAAATGGCAATAAGACGGAGCTCCAGGACCGCCTGCAAACCGCTCTGTTGGAGGGAGACATTTCTCTGGAGGATTCTGCCATAGCGGACGCCATTGACGACGACGATGTGTCGCTGACAGACGAAGATGAGCACAAGCTGCTAGGCGACGAGAACGACGACGAGCTCCTGAAGAGTCCGGTTAGTACGCCCACAACAGTAGGCGTTCCGGACCTGCTGGCGGAGGATAAGACGGCAACGGGCTCAGAAGCTGCTCTTCCCGCAAAGAAAATAGTGCTCAAGCGAAACAACTCTCAGCAATCGTCGGGCACGACGGTCAGCACGGGGACACCGCCGTCCAAGGAGAACGAAGCCCCAATTGCAAGTGCTGAAGATTCCACCGGAGAGACTCCCACCAAAAAGCACAAGCCCATAGTAGTTGGTCCCAAAACTGAGGATGGTAAGCCATCCGGGGACAAGAAGCTCAACCAGTTGACAGCCCAAGAGCGATTGGAACTCCGGGCCAAGAAGTTTGGCATTACGCCAGTCGCCGCCACAGCTCCAACAGTGGCCACCACTGCTTCCACAGTTGCTGCAGCCATTAACAAATCCTCGAGCGCCTCCATTACGGCCAACAAGGGCAACAAGGAGACGGAGGAGCAGCAGAAGGAGGCTCTCAAAAGACGCGCCGAACGATTTGGATGCGTGGTGCCCGACAAAGCACCTAAATCAGTGGGTGATGACCGGCTTCAGAAGCGAAAGGAGCGTTTTGGAGCAGGAGCAGCAGCAGCAGCAACAGAAACCACCTCGACGGCCTCCACAACGGAGTCAAAGGACGCCTGGTCAGAGAAAGCACGCGCACGCTTGGAAAGATTCAAAACCGCTCCGGCCGCCGAAGCCACGAAATAAGGCAACAAAACTAATTACTTAGGCAAGCAAATACAATTGTAAATCCCTTCCTTCGTAGGAAGATAATGCATTCATATGTCAAACCTTATAGCCACCAATGCTTGTAGCAATTAAGGAAAATTCAATAAACGTACATCTCAACACAAACATTTTTTGGGGTTTACATAATTTTAATCGTTTTAATTCAAAGACTTAAAAATAACTTGAATCGCGTCTTCTGATTTATTGGTTCTTCTTTTTTGGAACGTCAATAATCATAATATTAGTCTGTATAATATGCGTATATATAAAAGTTATACAAATATGTGGGTGTATTCGTTTGGATGAGCTTTCGTGTCTTCGATGACAATAATTTTGGTTTTGCGGGGGAAATAAGGAAAATCTGCTCATTGGTCATCTGTGGATGTGGTCATGATTGAAGTTTCAATTGGCGCCAAGATCCGAATAATCCATTTCGGAACCCAATCTGCCGACTTAAAAGTATGTTACTTTAATGTTGCGCCCATCCAGACGGGAACCATCCATCAGAGCTGCAAAGAAAGTTTAAGTAAGTAAGAGTAACAAACCACTTTCGCTAGTTATCACAAACCTATGGCCAACTCGGCATCGCGCTCCTTAAAGAATCGCACCACTCCCACATCATTGCCGCGGATTTCAGCAAACTTGACGTCCCCAATCTCACGGAACTTGTCGCGCAACGTCTGCCAGGTGCAGCTCATTGGAACGTTCTTAATGATGATGGTGTCCGACTTTCGGGAACCGCCACCAGCATTTCCCGATCCAACATTAGAGTTACCCACATTGCTGCCGCCTCCGAAGAGGTCCAACTGGTTGCCCGAGTTGTAATCGTTGCTGTCCACGCCTCCTCCGTTGCCACCGCCAACTCCGCCTGAGCTGCTGTAGGCATTGTATCCAACGTTGCCGGAGACTCCACCTCCGCTGTAGTTGTTGCCAGAGCTATAGTTATTGCCACCACCGCTGCCGCCGCTGCTGTAGTTGTTCGAAAGTCCCACATTGCTAGCGGCTAGGCTGTCATCATTGCCCGAGTTACCCAGATTGAGACCCAGGTTGCTCAGCGACGAAGTCAGCAAGGGGTTGCTCAGATTGCCTCCCTGGCTGCCCAGATTTCCAACCACGGCGGCCAACAGGCTGGGATTGAGATTGTTCAAGTTCAATCCACCGGATCCAGAATTGTTTCCCAGACTGGGCTTTTGCACCGGAGCCACTGGCGAGGGCTGCACCGCTGCATGGTTGCCGAACATCACGCCGGTCAGGTTGTTCAACAGATTGGTAGCGTTGCTTACGGCAGTGCTGTTAGCCTGGCTAGCACTTACCGATCCCAGCTGGGATCCTTGCTGCGAGTTGCCGAGCAGCTGGCCCTGGCTCTGACCACCGTTGGGCAGGTTGTGAGCCACGTCCTTCAGCGGCTCGCCGTTGGGTCCCAGGCCGATGCCGACACCACCCAAGCCCTCTGGCAGCTTCACGCCCTCGTTCTTGTCCGGAATTCGGTCCAGACGGACGGTCATCCGACGGTCGAAGAGCATCTGCCGATCCAACATGGAAATGGCCTGCACCGCTTCCACCGGATGATCGTACTCGATCACAGCAAAGCCGCGGCTGTTGCCCTCTTTGTCCAGCGAGAGATCTACGCTCTGCACCTTGCCGGCCAGCTTGAAGACCTGCTTGAGTTTCTTGTTGTCCACCTTGTAGTCCAGCTGAAGGAATTTTAAAAGAGAGATTAGCATTGTGGAACTCTGATGGCTTAGCCACTGAAATGGTTTTGAGAGGTGACCATGCTGATTCAGACCGCTGTCTTCGACAAAACCATGCTGCAAAACTATGCTGGCGATAGATGAGAATCTCAGGAGGGTCAGTCCAGCAAACGTGCCCATAAACCAAAAGCAATAGCCCAAGACGACGCCGATTGCCTAATCCGTAACTGCTTCATATTTATAACCCATTTAAACAGTGGTCTTCGCAAAACAATGTTTTACAATGAGGAGCGCGGAAAAGTCAAAACACTGCAACCAACCAGATGGACAAACCGTCAGGAAACTTCCAAAGTCGTTGGTGCTGCAAACGTACCAATTGGTATCAACCAAGTAAACCAAAATAGCTTTGCAAATAAAGATTTTGAATAATTAAATTATTTATAGTTGCAACTAAACCCTTTTGGTAGAGCAGACCGATATTTAACCATGTATTGAAGGACTTGTAAAAAAAACACTTTTTAACTCTTTAGTGTTTTCCGCAGGGTTATGTATTTCCACACTTAGATAACCATTGGGATGACGTGTACTTTCGTTCCTCTTTACAGACTAAAATCATTGGAATGCGTACTCAAATTCGAAAAGGAAATGAACCCTTGTTGAAAAGGAAAGGCTTTTGAAGATTGCTGTCATTCTTTTAAAGTTGGCCCAGATACAATCAAGACAAGTAAACAGTGCCCTCCCGGAGGATGTAATCTACTTGGGTTATAAATAAGAAGCAGAGACCCAGTAACAAGAACAAAACGCAGCATATTTGTAGTGTGGTCCGGTCCAGTTGAATACTATACATAGGATTATTGGAATTTTATATTACAATATACTCACATTAGCAACAAAAACCTTATTATGCAAAGGTCCACTTATGCCAAGACTCTCCAAAAACGAAGCAGAAAGCCCATACAAATTGTAATTCGACGAATTATTATAATCATTTGACATCATGTTAAAATTATTACGCCCAGATCTAGAAAAAGAGAAGCCAGATTTCCAGAGAAAAATAACAAAAAGCAGAGGTAAGCTTCAGCTACGACAGAGTGGGATACCAAGAGAGCCGCAGGATCTTCAGACGCGTTCAGGTAAACTCGCTTATTATCAAATTAATTTCAACATAAATTCAGCAATTGTCTTCTAAAATATTCTCCTAAACATTACATTTTGTTATTAGTTCCTATTTTATGCGACTACAAATCCGGCGTAAAGTATTTTCGATGTAGAAATTTAACACTCTGATTGCGTCAAACTACTAAAAACACCAACAAAATCTTCTTCATGTATTTTTTAATGATTGCCAAAGCCTTAAAAATCAACTGCATAAATTCAAAATCGTGTAAAAATCCAAAAAGATTGTAAGTTTATCATCAGATCCGATGGTCGAATTCGCTTTTTCTCCGGATAACTAAGACAAATTAACTCAAAACCCCGTTTTTGAAAATAGAAACCGAATACATATTAACTTTCATTGATTCGAAACCTAAGAGATCCTCAGGAAGCTACATATGAATGTAATTATATCCATTTTTAAGCCAATACAGAAATTTGCCACCTTGTCACATGAAAAGGTCTTAAAAAGTTTCTTTCAATTGGCGAGAAGTTACTAAATATGTGTGCCGTATCTGCGAATTTCGAAAGCAATTTGTTCATTGATACGAATAGTTAAAAAACCCTAATGAATAACACGGCGTACCTGAAAACTGATTTAAATACAAATAGTATTCAGCTCTTAGCTGATAAACACAACCGGCAAATGATCCTTAGATCTATGCACGACCTTTATGGAAATACCTTAAATTAAATAATCTATTTCAATGCAGCAACGGCAACTGTTGATAAATATGTAATAGAAAACCACTGCCAGCTGGGAAGTTTGTGGGAATAGAGTAATTTATGCGTTCTACGAACTCTGCTTTCCTCCTCCAATACGTCAAAAAAGAACACAATGTGAAAAAATAGCATAATGGGGGTACTCACAATCTGTCGTCGTCTCGGCGGGAGAAGCCCCGGTCACGGTCGTCCATGTGATCACGGCCACCACCGCCACCTCCTCCTCCTCCTCCATTGTTGCCGCCATTGCCTCCTCCTCCTCCACCTCCACCACCGCCTCCAGCGCCATCCCGTACAATCCGTCCATACTGATCTCGCTGTTCGCCGTGATCCTCCTTAACCACGAGCTCACGGCCATTCACCTCGTAGCGGTTCATCTTCTCCATGGCCTTCTGCACGTTCTCCGGATCCTTGAACTCAACGATGCCGCAGCCACGCGCCTTGCCGCTCTCGTCGAAGAACAGCTGCACGTATTCGATAGAGCCGACGATGCGACGGAACAGGTCCTTCAGGTCCTGCCAGCGGTAATCGTAGGGAATGTTCGAAATGTACACCCGACAGTTGCGACGCTCGCGACTACGGTCGCGAATGTTGTTGCCGCCACCACCGCCTCCTCCGCCACCACCTCCCTGATTGCCACCGGCATTTCCATTGCCATCCGCGTCTGAGAAACGAGAGCCACGTGCTCCACGTCCACGACGATCGCGCTCCTTCTCACGGTTCTCCACAGAGTTGCCTGCGTCCATGTTCATTGTCGACTGCAAAGGAACCCCCAGAATTTGTAGTATTTGTAATATTTGTAGTACACACCGGAGCGGCGTCGGCGAAAACAAAATGGCGGACGCGTCAATGGACTTTTTCGCCAATGTTCTTATGTGCTTGCGGAATCTTACTTTTCTGATAAAAGTTGTGCTTACTGCTACTTGTTTTTCTCTCTCTTTTTACAGCTTAGTTACTATTATGCAATAAAAGTTCTTTTGAAATTACAAATTCGGAGATCAATAAAAAACGCACAGAATTTTTTTGCTGGAGCTGATAATGATTCGACTACCCTATTAGAGATGTTCACATTCGTCAGAATATCAATATATCGATATTTTTAGAAAAAATAATTATATCGTGAAACATTTATGCCCAAATATCTCATATAACATAAAATCTGATATGTTATTATTAAGCCAAACCTTGAAACTAGCATTTTAAACCATATTTGGCGATATATTTTCTTTATGTATTTACTATATTCACACAGTTGGATAATATTAAATATTCTTAATATCTAGTGTTTCGACTAAAGTTACCCCCAATTCGAGTGGAAAATTGTTTAAAATCTTGTTTTTACAACGAATGCGTCACAAATTGTTCCAAAACCGCCTTACAATGAGATCTGGGATTTGCAACTGCATGTACATAACCGAGCGGATTTTTTAAGGTGACTTAAATCAGAACTTGATTTAATTTACACACCAATCATTGTTTATTTAATTTATCATTTTAAAGCAGCACCTATTTATATTTTACTTTAAGCATTTAAAATTTATGTGTGAATATCTTCGATACGAAATGTTTTTTTTAATGTTAGCGATGATATCGATAGCCTATCTACTTTTGGCATTGGCCTATCGGCTTTTTTAGAAGTCCATTTCGAATTTTCGAAAACCAATATCGCCATATTTGTTTTTCTTACGCGCGTAAATTTAAATTGTCAATAGTTTTTATCGTGTAAATTAATTACACATTATTTTTCAAAATTTCTATAAATTTGATTTTTTTAACATACGTTTTATTTCATAGTAAAATGTGATTGAGTAGAAATATACCCATTTCTGTCAGACGACCGTAGTTATTAAAACCCACATTGGCTAAATAGTACACACAATCGATTTATTTCTTTCCTTTTTGTATGGCAAAAATGAATACAAAAAATTAAATATTAAATGTATGTATGTATGTATAAAAAGCTTAAAGCAAACTATATAATGTAAATTTAATTGGCTGCTTGTTTTCTCTCCGATTGATCTGTCAGTATGGGTATTGTAAGTAGAAAGAAAGGCAAATTTCAAGAACTCATGCGGATTATAATTTTATCATCATAGCACCACAAAAATGTGTTTGACCGAACAGAAATCTAGTTTGGGGCTAGAAAATTGGCTCGTTTGTGCGAAAAGTGCTGTGAGCTTATCTGTATATGGTTTTTTTTTTTTAATGATGATTACTAATGGAATTCTGTTCGTACGAGTGTGCTGGAACAGATTAAACATGACGAGGGTCTAAAATCAATTGATAACGGAGTTCTAAAAATTCACAATATCTGTTTACATCGCGTATCGGGTTTAAGCACGGATTATCTGGTAAAGTACAAACAACATAGAATCGAGTTTAGTGCTGGTTGAAAACAAACGGTTATAGCAGCTGAACCAAGGCAGTTACAACAGTATTCATAGTTTTATGTAGAGGTACATATTCATTTTCATTTTCGATTTGCTTCGTTCGTTTTTGTTTGCTTGTTATTGTTAATACTCTTAAAAGGGCGCCTCGCAGCCTTTCAAACGACACAAAACACACACATTCACAAAATCATTTCGACGTACATAAAACTCTAGTTACTTAAATTAATTACAATTTCTCTCTTGTTATCTGACAATTGCACCGACCAACACGCTCCCACATGTGTGTGTTTTTTGCATTGTGTCCAGAATGGACAAACCTTCAATCCCGAGACGATCGGCGATCCGCCGACGCACAGACAGACAAACAGGCGACATTTGAAGAAATAAAAAGTGAATAATAACCAATACGTGGCCGTTTAGAGCATTTTACATTTAAATCTACGATTCGGCTTGTTCATTTTGCGGCCCCTTCGTCCCTTGTTGTCTTTGTCCTTGCGGATCTCGCGCACCAGTGTGTAAAATGCATCGTCCACGCCCATGCGCGTCTTGGCGGATGTCTCAATGTATGGAATGCCGTACTGTTTGGCTACCTAATGTTCGGAATTAATTATTAATAGAAAGGTCGTTTGAGGTTCTGATAACCTGTACTCGCCTCTCTTGCCTGCTCGTTGTTTACGTTCCACGAGGCCAGATCACATTTGTTGCCCACCAGCACCATGGGGACCTCCTCGGCATCCTTCACGCGCTTGATCTGCTCACGGTAGGTGCCGATGTCCTCGAAGGACTTCGCACTGTTGACGGCAAAGACCAAAAGGAAACCTTCGCCTGTGCGCATATACTGATCCCGCATGGCTGAGTACTCCTCTTGGCCTGCGGTGTCCAGGATGTCCAGCAGGCAGGTCTCTCCATCTGTCGGGGAAAAAAAAGTGCTTTAGAATGAAGGAAACCTTTCAGACCTGTTTTGAATTTCATTTTCGATTGGTTCTTTATAACCGATTTGCACAAGTGATATCGGGTAGACAACCGGTAATAACCAGTATTAAAGTATAATTTTTTTGAAAGTAAAATCCAAAACAGGCTTTTATATGAACTAGCTTTAATATAGTCCTGTGGTGTACGTGAAATCCACAAAATCTCTGGTAAATTAATAACCATTAAAAAAATAGGAAACCATCGTTTTAACTATAAACCCTAGAGATTTCTGTGGAGACCGCTGTGCCGTTTGCAACCAGCTTTAAAAATAGTACTCACCAATAACCACTTGCTTTCGGTAAGAGTCCTCGATTGTGGGGTCGTATTCATCTACGAAATGGTTCTGGATAAGCTGGATGGTAAGCGCGGATTTGCCCACGCCGCCGGCACCAACCACGACCAGTTTGTATTCCGTCATTTGGAGTCCGTTTTCGATTGGCCGTAGTCGGAGTCACAGTCGCAGTCACAGTTGCAGGCGCAGTCACAGTCGCAGACTCTCTCTCGCGATCGATGATTTCTCTCTTATACTGCAGTCTCTCTCTCCGCGCGCGTGTGTTTGTGTGGGTGAGTGTGTGTATGGGCTGCAAGTGGAGTAAATTATTAATTAAGATTGATTAAAATAAATTAAAGGCATAATTAGGCAGGAATTAATGCACGTCACTGTGACTGGCGCTTACTAGCACTAGCACACACGCACTGCATGCACACAGCCAGACGGACAAAAAGAGATCAATGACTCAAACTCGAACTAAAAGTCAAACAGGCCCTTTATGCATATTAGTTTATCTCCCTCACAGTTACTGTGATGAATAAGTCGGATTTGTTAATTCGGCTCGAACTAACTCGCGTTGTTTATCGCGTTTTTTTTGTCTTTTTTCGCCTGCCGGGACTGCGGACCTTCTTTGTTGCTGCCTTTTCAGCTAGCTCCTCCTTGTTTTCCGCTCCTCTCTTTCTCTCTCGCTCTTCCGCGCAGTTGTTGTTGGGCACGTTTTACGTTCGCGATTAACGGTACGACGGGCGGTAGTCCTCGATTGCGCGACTTTTAATTGCGTGCGGTAATTGCAATTAACAGCGCAAGAAAACAATAAATTCGTATATAAAATGTAGAAGAAATCTAGGCTGTACGTAGCTGTGAAGATACTAGAGATGTCACCAAACCGATGTATCTATCGATTGCTGTGTTCTGGCCGGCATTATCGATAGTTTTGTCCTATCGGGGGAGCACAGGAGTCCCTAGGGAGCAGAATATGTACTATAGGGCGATATGACTTGGTACATATAGCCTGTTTTAAATAGATAACTCTTAAAAAAAATAAAATATATATTAAAAATTAATTCATCGATACAGAGTTCCAAGCAATCAGTTTGGCACGTCGAAGTTATGATAGAAAGTCAGGTTGGCATCTCCTGGGTAAACATTTTTTAGCCCAGACGCAAACCTGTGCCATTTAGGACGACCACCACTGTCACGAAAACAGCATGGACAGATTGAAATTCAATAATTTGGTAAATAAATCTTTATTTAATAAAATTTGAGTTACTTATTAATTATACTTTTCACAGGTCATAACCAACAAGAAAGTGATACAGAAAGCTCGAGCACAGACCATCGCTAAGCTCGTTCAGAAGCTGCGAAAGACGAAAGATGTTTTGGCAAAAAACCCGGATAGTGAGAAGGAAAAGATTCGACTGCGGAAAAACAGCGAATGCCTGTCCCAGTTAAAGACCCTAAAATGCCTGGACATAGTGCGTCAGTCGCTCCTCCAGGAAGGCACAAATCCCAATGTGGTGATTGCCAACGAACGCTCCACTCCGGATGAACTGGGAATCGCCATGTTGCGCCTAAACAAGCTGATGCACGGTTTGGTGGACACATTTGTGGAGACCCTCAAGCTGGGCACAGAGAAGGAGGCCAAATGGCGCGAGGAGATCCTGGAGACGAGCAAGCGTCGAGTCAAAATAGAGCGCACTGAGGAGCGGAAAAGAAAACGCAAGGAGCTGAAGGAGCAGAAGGCTTTAACTAAAAACAGATTAGAGTGGTTGGAGCAAAATAAAGTGGGGGGTTCAGAAGTTGAGGGAGCAGCAGCGGAGGATACATCTAATCTTGAAGTCAGCCAGGAGGATCAGCAAGATATCTCCAATTCAGATTCTCTTGAAGTCAGTCAGGCGGATAAGCATGAGATCTTGAGCCCTCAAACCAAACCAGAGAAACCTCAAGCTCTCGCCAAAGAGAAAAAAGAACCCCTTACCAAAAAGGAAAAGAACCTAAAGAAAGAAAAACCTATAGTCACAAAAGATGAGCAATTAAAACCAGAGAAAACCAAAAAGGAAACGGTCAAGACAGTCCAGGAAAACCAGGCAAACTCTCAACACAAACAGCAACAGCAGGAAATCAAGACAAAAGAACCTAAGCCTAAGCCTTTGGAAAGAAAACCAGCCAAAGAACAGAAGCCTAGACCTAAGCCAGAACAACAGCTTAGTATTGAAGAAGAGGAACCCAAGCCAGACCATAATCGTCCTACACATGTTGTTGATCCCTTTTTCATTACTGAATCGGGTCAACCGTACATGTCCACGGCCGTGGTTCTTTCCGGGGATAACGACAGTGAAGCTGAAGAGGAGCAGAGGCCACCGCCAGTCAAAAGGTTCCGCAACGAAGAGCGAAGAACAAATACAGGTTGGGAAAGACCCGAAAGGCAGCAGGAGTTTAAAGCAAAGAAGCCAACTGACGATCGTCATCCTTCGTGGCTGGCGAAGCAGCTGCAGAAACCAATTATCAGTGATTTTAAAGGCAAGAAGATCACATTTGGGGAAGATGGTCAGGCGGACAGAATTATTACGCCTAGTAACAATCCCCCGGCCTCGACTGCTGCTCCTTCATCCACCGAGGGCATGCATCCTTCCTGGGTGGCTAAGCAGAAATTTAAACCCAAAATTGCTGCCTTCCAGGGCACAAAGATTAAGTTTGACGAAGATTAAAAATGTTAATGGTATTTTGTTGTTTTAATCACTAAATAACTGCAATCTTCCCAGTTCAGACGCCAACCTTGGGCACATAGTGGCCCCGAACCTTGTCTTCGTTGCGCAGCTTCTCCACGTCGACATCGGGGAACTGGCGACGAAGTACTCCCAGGTCAAAGTTGGGATTGCGGCGCAGGATCATCATGACTTCGTTGCGGGAGCGGCTGCAATTAAATAAGATTTTAATTAGGATTCTTAATACAACCCGAGTTCACTCACTTCTTGGCCTTGCGCTTGGCATTGTAGAGCTTTTCCCGGTACTTCAGCAAGAATCTGTTAACAGCTCGGCCACCAAAGCCAATGTTGCGGGACTTGATCCATTTCAGGTTCATGAAGGGTGGCAGGGCGTGCTCGCAGGTTTTGTAGTTGATCTTCAGACCTAACGCATTCTGCACCGGCTTCTGGGGCCGCTCTCCGGTTTCACCTGTCTCCAGCAGGTGATACGCCTTGTTGCGCTCCCTCACCACTGTCTCCAGGTTCTCCATAGAAATCTTCACCTGCGAGTGAGGGTTATATGGGGTTCACTTTCATCAGATTATATAGGCTACCTTATCGATGCGCTCTGGACTGGGAAAGGTTTCCATTTTGTCGTTGCACTCGTGCTCCATTGTCATCAACATGTTGCGTTCCTTGAGAAGCACAAACCACAACTGGTGGAGGTCTTTGTTGGACTTGATGCGCAGTTCCTCCGTCCGCCAGGCTCGGCCCACCTTCACCTCCGTCTCGCTCCAGTTCTTCTTATCGTCAAAGAACTCCATCAGATCCCGGCGAACAGGTGAAGTGTGCATCTGCATCTGGGCAAGCGGCGTCTGCAAAGCGAGCGCACTACATATTACATAAAAACAAATGTACGCATTAATGGATAATTCTGTGTGAAAGTCGGTTATGTCTGAGAGAACTCACCTGCAGGCTTGCCATGACTGCATGGGACCGGCCAGGAATCTTCGTACCGTCACATTTCCCGCAGCTTTTGCCAAGTTAAAACATTTTATTAACGTTGAAGACATTTTTCCAGCAGCTGTCCGGCGGAGAGTGTGACCGTCCCCGAGTTAAAAGAACTAATGGTAAGCAAATTGAGTCTTTGCTAACGCGATACCTTATCAGGGTTTTTTACCTAGGTTAGAGTCTTAGAACATTTTGATAACACGATATCACGATATCGGCTAACGCCTTGAATATCGATACGATATCGATTTGTTCTGCCACCCCTAGAATCAAATTAACGTCGATTCTTGTTCCAGCTCTAGCTGCGCTTTGCTCAGTGCTAATGAAAAATCGAATTTTTCCCTAACCGACTAAAGTTAAAACGGGCAAAGTATCACAGAAGTTACACTCAAGCAGTTGCACAGCATGCAATAAGTAAATGTAAGTGTCCACTCCCCTCGAAGTTGGCTTGTTTGTTCTAGCCAATCCACTTGGTATGCAGGAACGCCAAGTTTTCCGTGTGGGTGTGTGTGCGTGCGTGTGATGACTAGTGTGCTGGTGTGTGTGGCATTCAGTACACAAATTTAAATTGATAAAACTCGACAAAGGCAGCGGTTCTGAATTGCAACGAGTGCATTCCCTGCAGCAGTGCCAAGTGCTTATTAATTGTGCATTTATCACAGCAAATTCAACCAATTTGCACCTCTAAATGCGCGAGCAAAAACAAATTCATTGACCAAAAACGAAAAAAAAAACAAAACTAGAGCGATGTAGTAATAGGACAGTGTTGCCGAGCTGCTCCAAATTGGTAGTGTTAGTGTGCAGTGCAGTGTAGCATACATAAATATTTATCTGAAGACGTTATCAGGGAACATGAATCCAGAGGAGCGTATACATATATTCGGGCAAAACAATTGTTATATAAAGTGCAGACCTTCATCGAATTAAAAGGTCACCGAGAGAATTGATTGATCAATTTGGCACAGGGGTTGGAGTCGCTTGTAGGGTTTTCTTCTGCCTTTCGTGCTTTTCTCATTTCTCTTTTCCTGTTTTTCGTAAGACTTCTGCACGGCGGTGAACGCCCAAAAACACAAACAAGGCATTATGTTTTGTTGCTCCTCTGCTTTTTTGTGTCAGTCAGGGGTTAATTTCTCGGTGTCGCCTCAATTATCCAGGTTCTGCATTTCCCTCCGGTTCGTATTTCTGGACTTGGTGACACTTGTTGCCCCTGTTAACAGAGCTGTTAGTTGCAATCCCCCGGAAACCTCGTCATATCGTGCGATAACCTTTCTGTGGGTTTCGTTTGCTTCTCATTTGATTATCATGTTCCTAATAGAAGTAGCAAAAAATAGCGGAATTTTCAGTTCTCCAAACTCATTCAACGAGAATTTAGAGGGCTTTATCAAGCATTTTGCTTGCTTTTAGTTTGTGACGCCCATATTATGGCAATACATATGTACATACATGTGGAATGTATTTAATGGGCTGTAGTTATCTTAAACCCTCAACTGAACCGTTTATAATTATAATTTATAATTTTTCCAAAAATAAAGTTGATTAAATTGGACGCCTACAACTGCGGTCAATTTAATAATATAACAAAGACATTTAAAAGTACATGTTAGTGGTTATTCTCTACTGTAACTATGACATCATGACGTATACGTGATTTTCGATGAACTGCTCAATTATATTTAAACTTCTTCCATAATTTATTGATTTCTCGTGATCTACTTGGTAAACACAAATATTCTGATTAAGCAAGCAAATAACAATTCATTTACAAAAATAAATAACTGCGCCGAATTAGTAGTTTGTAGTTGAACATAGTTTGTGTAGGCCTTTATATAGAGGAACAAAATTATCAAGTAGTCCAATTTAAATATTGATGTCTTATCTATCGATTTATCAATTTAAACAAAATGTGAAAAATCAATAAAAGATTTGGCTTTCAATTCTGATCATGGTGTACTTTAATTAGTATTATGAGTGTGCCGTTTTTATAATTTTAGTAAAATCTCATAAGAACTGGAAACTGATTTGTACTGTTATTATTCTAACTCCTTATGCTAATGTAAGCTAATATATGATACTTTTAAGTGTTTTCTGTGTGCCTGGTAATGTGGAGGCAGTGAGTAGTTGTGCTGTATTCTCTAAAGCTCTGCTCTATTCATTAAAATGTGCGTGTGCATTGAAGAAGAAAGCCAACGAAAGTTGTTCGCCACATTACCGGCAATGTTGCAACACCGGGCGCGTTGTAATCGTGTGCAAGAAGCGCGAAATTCGGCCAAACGCGACCGGAAGAACGAGAGGCGAGGCGTAAAGTAAACAAAATATAATGCAGCAAGAGCACGAAGCAGCAGCCACCTTCTCACGGGAAGCATTACCAGGGCGCCAGATGCAGAGTCCACAAAAAACCTCAAACATCGATCTTTTTTTCCCTCTTTTCTCGTTTCCGAAGACCGAAGAGCTGTAATGTCACAAAAAGAATTGGCGGCGCTTGTCGCCACAAGAACAAGCCGCAAGCGCACAGTGCCCTCGGCCACATCTCCAATGTCCACTCGCTCGGAACCGAGATCCATCATAGAGATACACATATCCAACGACTCCTCCTCCACAAAGAGAGCATGCCGGGATGTGGAGAATCCAAATTTGAGGGTGGATCAGGCTCAGCAGCAGGAAGAAGATAACATGGGCCATGTGCCCCCGCTGACTGAAGAAGAGCAGCAACGGCACAATGAGTTTCGGACCAGTGGATCGATATTTTTGCAAGATTTGCCCTGCTTTAAGCTGCAGCAAGCACAGCCAGCAGGAGGCTCCTCACCGATTCCCAAGTGTCGGGAGTGCCGAAGGAGAAGTGTAGTTCCCAAAGAGGGTGAAACTGTCGTCGGCCACGATGTGTATTGCCGCTTCTATGAATTTCGACGCCTTCAGTTTAATGAGAATGGAGAGTTGGGCGTGGTTGGATTCCCGAATCCCTACAGCGAGCCCACACCGGAGGACACTGCAATTTGGCAGCCAGATGGAAGTACGGCCCCGACCAGCGGTTATATGGATATACAGGTCTGCAGGTACATCCTGCTCCATGCTGGCGATCAGTTTTGTTATTTGTGGCGTCAGGAGGCAGAGGCTTTGAGATTGCATCAGAATCCGGACGGCACCATCGCTTGGAAGAAGGCCGTTAAGGGCACCCGAGAGATTTGCGACGTGTGTGACACCACGCTGTTTAACTATCACTGGACATGTCGCAAGTGTGGCTTTGGAGTGTGCCTGGATTGCTTTAAGGATCGGAAAGGAGGGACTGCGACTGCGACGCGTGGAGACTGCTACGCAAAAGGGATGCGACGAGTATCACTGGCTCCTCTGCACCGATCCCAGTGGCCCCCAAGAGCACTCCCTCACCGAGCTGATGCTTACCCAGATCATAGCCGGAGATGCCCTGAACGTCTTGGGCAGACTGTTGCATGAGATTCGGACTTTGTGGCAGGTGCCACAGGTGTGCGGTTGTCTGCTGAGCAAGCAGGCGGTGGAAGACGCTCAATTAAACGAGCTGATCCAGGATATGATTAAGGAGTCCCAGTTAAAGCAGCACACCAGTTTTTCCTCGCTGGCTTCCGAGCAGAAGCTGCACCAGCAGCAGCGCCTAGAACAATTGCACGCCAAGAAGTTGGAGTTCGCCAGAGAGCGGGGCATAGATTATGTGCCAGGACGAGTTTGGACCAAGGAAACCTTGGGAAAGGATCCCATAACCACGGCTTTTGACAATTTTAAACACATTAATTTTCTGAGGAAGGGATTGGCCGGTTTAAGGAGGTTTCTTCCACCCAGAGCCATGACTTTGGCTCACTCCACTCAGTTGGCACCCGGTGTTCCACACGAGTGGCTCTGCGATGGCAAGCTACTGCGCCTCACTGACGCCATGCATCCGGATAATCGAGTCCTTTACCAGGAGGTGTGGAAATGCGGCCAGCCGGTGATGATTTCGGAGGTGGCTCGCTCTTTGAACTTGGATCTCTGGCATCCGCAGGCCTTCTGCCGCGACTTTGGCGACAAGCCCAATGATCTAATCAATTGCCTAAATGGAAATCTGGTGCCCAATCAGCCGATGCGTCACTTCTGGGAGGGATTTCAGTGTATGAACAAGCGTCTGCTAGATGCCAATGGCAAGCCCATGCTCTTGAAACTTAAAGATTGGCCGCCGGGTGACGATTTTGCCGAGATACTACCCACCAGGTTCGCGGATCTGATGAGGGGACTGCCCATGCCGGAGTACACACTGCGAACGGGAAACCTGAACATTGCTAGCTGTCTGCCAAAAATGTTTGTCCCACCAGATTTGGGGCCTAAGATGTACAATGCATACGGATCGGCTTTGCATCCGGACAAGGGCACAACCAATCTGCATTTGGACATTTCGGATGCAGTCAACATAATGGTTTATGTGGGAATCCCCCAGGACGGGGATACTAAGCCGCAGCTAGCGGCCACGCAGAAAGCTATTGCTCTCGGTGGATGCGACTATATTACAAGAGCTCGTTGCCAATCGCCAGATGTCTTGCCCGGAGCTTTGTGGCACATATTTCCGGCTCGCGATGCAGACAAAATAAGGGACTTGCTGAACCGTGTGACCCTAGAGAAGGGTTTTCGCCTGGAGCCCGATCACGATCCCATTCATGATCAAAATTGGTATCTGGACGACAAGTTACGTGCCCGTTTGTTTAAGGAATATGGAGTTGAGGGACATCCGATTGTTCAGTGCTTGGGGGATGCAGTCTTTATACCGGCTGGCGCACCTCATCAAGTTCAGAATCTGCACAACTGCATCAAGGTGGCTGAGGACTTTGTTTCGCCGGAGAACATAACTCACTGCTACCATCTCACCCATGAGTTCAGAAGACTCTCACACTCCCACACCAATCACGAGGATAAGCTGCAGATCAAGAATATCATCTACCATGCCATTAAGGACTGCTGCACAATCCTGACCAGGGCTTTGGACGAGCGCATAGATGCGGAAATGGCCAAGCTTAAAGCGGATTAGATTGCATAAATACATTTCATGTCTTTTTTGTTTTTTCTTTAGTTTCAAACTTTTACCGTTTAAGATTTTAATTTGTCAAAAATTCAATAAATTCTTACTTAGAAACAAGCAACAATTATTTTTTTGTTGAGTCTGCTTAGAGTATTAAAAAAGGATTTACTAAACTCCTGGGCTTATGTTTCAATAGTAAAATAAATAAAATTGTGGACATTTTATTATTATATCCAATTATAATTATTTTCTTGCAGTATAGTCTACGTAGAGGAAAGATAGTCGACAGCAACCTATGCCCATGCATGCTGAGGACGGTACTGAAACTGATGATGAGGAGTCCAGCCCAGGCAAATAGTAGCATCGAAAAGATCGTTGAGCTCCTGGGACCTCTAAAGAAGTCAAGTCAATTACAACGCCAGAAAGCCTTTTACGTTAATTGAGAGTGGTGAAGGAAAATAAGATTTAGATTAACTAGCATTGGGATCAGAAAAAAAGAAGCAAGATGACGGTGGACTTCAACGATTATTTTTGGGTAAGCAAAATAAATTTAGATGATGACTCGTCATAAACGAATTAAAATTTAATTTACAGGGCGAGAAAAACAATGGTTACGATGTCCTGTATCACAACATGAAGTTTGGCCTGGTGGCCAGCAAGGAGTTGTCCGAGTTTCTGCGCGAAAAGTCCAACATTGAGGAGCAGAACTCGAAGATGATGTCCAAGCTGGCCCACAAGGCTGGCACACTGAATAGTACATTTGCTCCCGTTTGGACCATACTGAGAACCTCGGCGGAGAAACTCTCCACCCTCCATCTGCAGATGGTGCAGAAGCTGACCGAGCTGGTCAAGGATGTGGCTAAGTATGCCGACGAACTGCACAAAAAGCACAAATCCGTCAAGGAGGAGGAATCGCAGACCCTGGAGTGTGTACAGGCCATCCAAACCTCGACGGTGGCAGTGCAGAAACTGCGTGATCTGTACGCCAGCAAGGTCCAGGAGCTGGAGAAGTTGCGCAAGGACAATGGCTCGCACAAGGATGCCGAGAAACTGGAGAGTAAGCTCAAGAAATTACAAGAGGAGTATAAGGCTCTGTTGGACAAGCATAATCCTATAAAGAATGAGTTTGAGAGACGCATGACTCAGACCTGCAAGGTATTTATATTATAACATTTTTGATACCCTTGCTCGGAGTTCATGTTGTTTTTAAAATTAATAAATTTTAGCGCTTTCAAGAGATTGAGGAGGTGCATCTGCGGCAAATGAAGGAGTTTCTGTCTACCTATTTAGAAATGCTGCAGAACAATCATGACATGGTGGGACAAGTACATTCCGACTTTAAGAGACAATTTGTCGACATGTCGGTGGACAAACTCTTGGAACAGTTTGTGCTTAACAAGTACACGGGTCTGGAGAAGCCAGGTATCTTATTAAATATTCCATTGTCGTTTGTTTATAATTAATTTATAGTTTTGGAAAACTTATATAATTGCTTATGACCAACTCTTTATTTTTATTTGACAGAAATGCCCGAGCTGGAGTATGTGGTCTTGTCGAGTGGTTCTCGTCTGCAGCAGCCTCAGGTCTCGGCCACTGCATCCAACTCAAATTCGGCCACCAGCATTCAGGCAGCTCTACGGGCTGGAAATGCAGCGGCGACAGCCTCGGGCAGCATGGTTTCCATGGATCAGCGGGGCGATGCCCTGGCAGCGATCTCCCTGGGCAGCGGTAGTGCGGCTAGCGGAAGCATCCCCTATGCCGAGGATCCGATATTGGGAGCCATGGGATCGCCGCGTCCCACATCGCCGGATATGCTGGCGGGATCGAATGCCACGGCGATTCAGCCACAACCGACTGGTGGAGCCACGTCCACGGTGAAGAGTCTGCGATCCTGGTTTTTGCCCGCTGCCAAACAGCAGCAGTCGGCGGGCGCTGGAAATTTCGGTATGAGCGGAAGCGGAAGTGGAAGCACCAACAACAATACCACCATCACGACAACAACAGCAAGCAACAATAGCAACAACTTGAACACCAACAACACAACAGCAACAACTACAACTACAACAACAACTGGCACGAATAATCTCACCACCACCAAAAATTCCCCTAATTCTGAGGATACTAGCAATCAAGGTTCATTCTCTTTTATTTTATTTGGTTTTTGTTTAATTTATTATTTTTCTGTGCTCACTTTTTATGGTTATAGTTTCATCGTCTTTCTATTTGTGAGAACTATCAGTTTATCTTTTAACTCTACCTGTTTCTATTGTAACATATTTCTTATCTGTTATTAGATATATTTCTGTACATGTCACAAAATTACCTTCGTATACATGTTGATTAAAATTTTTGTAATTTTTTTAAAAATGTTTCCGAAGAGTGCTAAGTCTAATGCTTTGTATAAAACTATGTAAAATTGCTAAATGTGTTTTTACACAGTTTGATTTCTTGGTTGACAAATGACAGCTTAGATTAGAAATCAGACTGTATAAAGAAGGCTTACGAAAATGCCAAATTTTTTCATATTAAAATTGTCTAAGCCTGTACAGCATTAGACACCACTTTGTCCTAACATTTGTAAATTATCTCTGAATTTCACTAAACATACTTTAAATGTATATTATTTTATGAATTCTTATTTTTTTGGTTCTTCTTGTTTTAAGTTATATACTATCTGAAACTGTACACTCAAACACCAGCCAATCAATCAGACATTTCTCGGGACTATTTACATAAACTACAGCACACCAAATGCCATCAAAGCTATTTAACTAACAGCACTAACAACTGTAACCTTTTCTCTTTGCTTATCTATGTCTAATTTCCGTGTTCCACGCTTTGTACACATCCATTTCCATCGCATCCGCCATCCATCAACCGCCATCGCTCTTCCCAATCATCCATCCACCCATCCATGCACCGATCGACTAATCGAAATCAAAACTTTAGATCAGGCAGCACAGCAACAGGCAGAGGCCTTAACTCCAACCGCAAGTGCCACTGCAATTGCAACGGCAAATGCGGCTGGCAAGAAGCAATTGAACGCAACGACAAGCGAACAACAGCTATCGAAATCATTAAATGAGCAAGATCACCTACAACAGACTGCAGCAGCTACGGCAGCAACATCTGCGGCAGCAGGAACCGCCACAACGACAACGTCCAGACGTGCAACGTCACTTTTAAATATATTCACATCAAACTCTCAGGGTAAATGATTCAAGAATGTCAATGAACGTGATTGGCCCTCCATTTCACACCCCGTCCAACTACTAAAACACTTGTACAGCTCCAAAACACCCAAATGAAAACAAAAAAAATGCATGTATTTAGGTTTAATATGTAAAGGCTTTTCTGTGTGCTCAGCTTATTGTTCTCTCATACCCGATTAACATTCAACTATTTTTAAAGCACTTTACGGCGGTGTTTGAGTTCTGAGGAAGACATTACATTTAAGTTTCAACTGTTCCACCACAATGCAGTTTTCCCGATCACTGAAGTATACTGAAACTCCTTATTGGAGCTCGGTGTTTAGGCGCCATCTACCTTTCCTATATGTTCTATTAGTTTCTAGCTTGCTTAATAAGTCAGTCATTTTACTAACCCCATGTCCTGCTAAAACTAATGTAAACCCTATTTCGCCGGCAGTCTCTGGCATTTTACGAAGTCGTCGCGACAAGACGAAGACCAAAAAGGCAAAGAAAAAGAAAGACAACGAGGCCGCTGAGCACATACAGGAGGAAGGTCTCACCAGGTGAGTTTAAGACATAAATTTTTATACATCAATAGTTACTACCATTATTTAAACTTTTTCCAACATAATTTCTTCAATATTATTTAACAGTGTGGAGCGGGCCAATAACACGTTACTGGACTATGACGATCATGGACGTAGCATGAAGACACAGAACTCCAGCGGCAGCAGCGCAGGCGGTGGCTTGGCCGCCCTTTCGGTCACTTCGGCTCAAGGAAGCGTGGATTCGGCGGGGGCGAGCAGCATGGGCGGCAGTGGAGGAGCTGCCGTTGCCAGTGGCAGCTTGCCCAATACAGGTGCCCTCACTAACTCGGCCTCGACCACGGCTCCCGGCGCCTCAAGTGGCACTGGAACAGGTTATGAGGTGGATGAAGAGGGATTCAGCATACAGCCAGCCAAGGAGATTGCCTGGGAAGAGGGCCAGGATAAATGTAAGTCCATGAAAAAGATTTTAAAGAAAAAATCACTAAAAATGGGAATTATTTATTTTAGCAGGTAGTTTCTACTCCGACTCGGATACGGACTCGGATAATGACAAACAAGAGCGTCGGATCCATGTCAGCATCAAGCCGCTAAAGAATGGTCAGGCTCCTATGTCAGCCAGTGTGGATGAGCTGCGTGCTACCGTGGAGAACATTTCGCTGTCCCCAACTGGAGTATTTTCAGTGAGTTTAGCCTACTATTTTTAAGGATTTATAAGACTTATAAATTAATTAAAAATCCTTACCCAAACAGCATCACAGCCAGCAATTGCAGGCAGCCAGAGGAGCTCCGGCGTCGTCCCGTCAGCAGTCACCGGAGATATCGAACGCCTCGACGCCCACGGCTAGTGTGCATCCTTATGCTCCGTTGCAGAGTCCCACGCTATCCAACAATAACAATGCAAACAATACTACAAACAGCCGATATGCAGATCTGGGCGATATCTTCTCGGAGCTGGGTGACATGAGCATGTCTGCACCTTCATCGGCGACGCTGGGAAAACCGCCAGGAAGACAGATACCAACACCGACTTCAACGTCTACTGGTGGAAGTATAGCCATCCCGCGTCCGCCATCACGACGCTCTGATATGATTGCCATTGGACCAGCGGCAACGGGTACTGCCCCGGGACGCGGACGAATGTCTCCGGCTCCCGTGACCGCCATGAACCGAGCCGAAAGCATTGGCAGCCTCGAGTTCCGCACTGCCATCGGGGGAGTGGGCTCTTCGCGAGGACCTTCACCGCTCACAATTGGTATTTCGGACACCATACCGCTGGCGGTGGCATTCCATGAAATCATTCACGCCTATTTCCGGGGCAGCGACGAGTCGCGCTGCCAGGTGAAGGTGTCTGGTGATATGATGTTATCATTCCCAGCCGGCATTGCCGGCCTGTTAGCCAATAATCCTAATCCAGCCAAGCTGGGTTTTCGCATTAAGCACGTTCAGAACCTTGAGAATCTGGTGCCCAACGGAAAGCTGGTGCAAATGTAAGTTTTGAGCTTTTCGTAATTCCTCTTACTTCAGAATCTAAAATTTGTATACGGATTATTTACAGAGATCGTCAGCAGTCGAGCACTGTGAGCACCATGCTGGAGTTCAATATGAACGCCTTGACGGCCCTCCTGCGAAGGCAAGCGGAAAATAACCCTGCAGCCTCCTACTTTAACGTGGACATACTCAAATATCAGGTGCGCACCAAACCGGGAGCTAGTTCTTGTCCCTTCCAGCTGGTGAGCTACTGGAAGTGTGAGTCCAGCTACACGGCACTCAAGGTGGACTATAAGTACAATAATCACGCCATGGCCAGTGCCTCGCCTCTACTGAATGTCACTCTATCTGTGCCTGTCAACGGATCTGTTCGTAATGTCCAGTCCAAACCGCATTCCGCCTGGTAAACAAATAATAGTACAGATTTATTTAAACAAAAATTATATAACATAAATTTGCCTTCCAGGTTGGGTGAATCAAATCGTTTAGTGTGGAACTTTACGGACATTTCGCAGAACTCACAGGATGGCGGAGTGGGCACTCTGCGGGCCCGGTTGGAGCTCAACGATGGTCCCTCAACACCGGCTCTCCTGGCCACCCAGTTCAATTGCGAAGGCACCACACTCTCGGGCATCGAGTTTGAGCTCCAAGGCAGCGGCTATCGTTTATCGCTGGTCAAACGGCGATTCGTTTCCGGTAGGTTTAAATATACAACGTGTATAAATACTATATAGTATAACTCATAACTCATTCGTTTCCCAGGAAAATACGTGTGCGAGGGCGATGGTATACGTAGCGGAGCCACGCCCACGCCTCCGTCGGTGGGTTCCACCAGTCCGTATTCGGCGAAGTCAAACTAGTTGCCCTCCATTCAAAAGACAGGAAATGGGAACGGAAAATGGCAATATGGCAATAGGCTCGTGAAAAACTAGAGAAATTTTTGTAACTAATCTTAAATATGAGACAAACACACATACACATAAACCATATTTAACTAGGCACAGAAATAGTGGAGCCTTCTTAGTTTTCTCCGAGCTTTTTATTATCCCCCTTTTTCTTGATTCCAAATTTTGATAGCTCAGGGCCGAATTAGCATTGATAAACTTTTGCTTTTCCATAAATTTGTCAAATTCGTTAAAACGAATTTATCAGAGTAAAGATTTTTTAAATGCTATAGATTTAAAGAATATAAAATGACAAGATTTTGGAAAAAACAAATTTGTATCAATTCATATTCCACCAAAAGAAATTGAAAAGGAATTGGAATTAGGGCTTATTATGTATTTTTGTACACGAGGAATTCTGTTGTCCACGCGAAATGTTGAATCTGCATGCTGGGTATCCGAAATGCGGATCGTACTCTGCTTAATTTGGATGTATTATTTGTTATATATACGTATGCGAGTATATATTATTAAAATGTATTTATTATGTTAAATTGAATATGATGTAAACGAACGATATTGTATGTAGCTATGTAGATATATAAAAACCACACACTGAACGTTGATTTTATGTTCACTTTTGTACACACAACCAAATCCAAATGTATTAAATGTAAGATACAAAAACCTGCAATACGTCTCGCTTGGAATCTTGATTGATATTGCTTTCGTCACCGGGCGTCTGGATAAGGCGACGCGGCACAGCCCATGCACCGGAGTTTGTCTCTGTTTTCAGCGACTGCCGTTTCTCCGGCGATCAATTAATTATCAAAATTAGACAAGAACATGACTCGGTCTCTTTGGGGCGCTTGACAAGGTAAATACATATAGGAAATTAGCAGCCCGTCGAAAATAGAATAAACATAGAATGCTGAAATCAAAATCATTAAAATGTGGGTGCACAGATCGCCGCTGGGGAGCATTAGCCTAAAATTTAATTTGTAAATTCCTGTAAGAATCGTTTTTGAAAAGCGTGAGGCAGCTGTCGTTGTGTTGCTATTGAAAGCCGATGACGTCATGCCGCCACAAATTGATCTCAAGGTCGAGTCGACGGACGCGTTTTCATTTCACTTGGCACACTTGACTGTGGGCTGCCTTTAAATATATATTGCATTTGTCCATTTAGCGAGAGACTACTTGTATCTTGTATATTGTATCTTCTAGAGCAGGGAACAAACGAATCCAATTTATGCAAGGGTGACTGACTGGACTTCGAAAAGTGCTCCACACTTTCCTATAGTTAGCTGACCATAGAGATCTCGTCGTTGGCAAACGATAAGATTAAATTACTAAACAATTGTTGTGTTCATACAATTGCTTTTTGTATATTGCCCGTGGGTACATAAACCATTAATTGTTCAACAAAAGCAACCGACCTAACACATGTTTGTTGATATATGACATTTACAGCCCTGAAATGTAGAACGCAGTGTCTGTACTTTTAGTTAGATAACAAATTATTAACAGATGCTGGGCGATGCTTTTCGCAAATCAGTTGGAGTACCATAATAAAAGGTTTTTAATCTGTTTAACAACATTGCACTTTATTTATATTGACTGCATTAGTAGAGCTTAAGCATATACATATATTTATATAGATATTACTGGTATAAATTAGGGGATAGCAAGCTGGATAGCTTGCACTTTTGGGTTTTAATCAACAACTTTCTAAATTAACATTAATCGCTTTAAAATTATATGGTAGATTAGTTTAATTCCGTTTGTCTGACAAGCGCACCCTATATAAAAACACACAACTCAAAAATATATTTACACATCCAGTGTTTTTTGCTAATAAACAGACAACTTTCGGTGATCAATTTCACTTCACCCTCTGCACAGTGGTTAGAGATTCTTTAAAATGGTTCATTGAACTGCAAAAAATTATATAATCTTCATGGTTTTGTTTATAACTTTGGCATATAAACAAATATGAGTTGCTTTTTCCAATACAGGCTATCAGACACGAGAATCCACTTGTCCCACTGTGCATTTAGTCAATTCAAGTTGATAATACACATGTGTACATTTGTTTTAGCTTTTGCCATAAATATCGCCGATTTCTGAGTGTGTGCGTGTCTAAATAAACTACGGCTGACATCATTTCTGTTAACATATTCGTAGTTAAGCTCATTATATCGCAAGACATAATTTCGTAAAGTGATTAGTTAGTACATCTTACAGCACTGGGCTCCTCCTCCGCATAACCGACCAATTCCATTTGCCTGCAAGAGATGAAAAAAGAAATTCGGTTTAAATCGCAGCAACAAGGTCATAAATTCCAATGTACTATACATATTGTTCGTATACAAGTATAATTGCTTAATTACGGATCAAATAGATCACTCGATCGAACAAACAATGGGGGACTGAGGTGGGGTGAGGGTACCTCTTTGAAATATTAATATTATTTTTAGACCTCCCCGGTTTTTATTTACAGTAACTTTTATCCGAACCTCGTCGGGAATGGAATAAATAGAAAAAATAAACGCAAACGTGCCTGGAATTAAGTTTTGTGTGTTCGGTATGCGGTTTTTCTGAAATGCGCAATTGACGCCCGCCGGTTCGTATGAATTTATTTCAACTTTTGCGCTATATAGAAAAGTAAAATCGATTTCTATGAACGGCTGTTTATTTGCATATTTCGCTTTATGGCTCAAGTGAAACATTCCAAAAAATTCAAGGTGGAATCGGACGATTGTTTGAGAATGTTCTAAGCGAGTTCAACAACGAGTCTCTTATCAAGTTATTCAAAAATATGTATCTTTAAAGCTAAACAAACAACACATCAACAACTATAAACTCGTCCGTGGGCAGATCTTTTTTTAGTCCCCACAAATTGTAGCCAAATGTTGGGCTCTATAATAAACAGTATAGTGGATCACCTGGCCGTCTAATTCTGATAGCGAATAAACTGGCAAGTAATGAAAAGTTGCCTCTGTAGCATGGCAATGCACAGTTAAGCGCTTTGGCCTTATCGGGCGACCTCAGCACATGACCGTGAATGGGAATATTAATCAAATTGAAAGAAATACCTAATAGGGCCACTGAATAGGTGCGGTCCTCCAGAATTTGGCTACTTTATAATGGGCTGGGAAAGGCTCTTCGATTCTGAGTTCGAATCTCAATCATTTATAGCCAACTGACTCATGACAGAAACTTCCGTTGCGAAAAACGTGAAGCCAGAAATTTTAGCCAAATGCTTCTACATGGCGCTCGTAGATACGTATACGTGTTTCTCGATGTGTGCTTGGCAGTATATGGAAACCGTTAAACAAACAAACAACCGGGGCGTTATGTAAAATAAACAAAACGAAGACGAACCCAAGCGAACGGAAGGGCCCCAGAAACTGAAGCGTTTTTAATAGTTTTCCCATTTGTAGCGAAGAATGATGATGAATTTACAGTGACAGCTTGGTAAAGCAAATATTTGAAGAGCATTGAATTTTACACAATGAAAGTTTCTCTGGGAACAACTTTAAGCCAAGGTAGCCAAAAATAAAGTTCCGCAAGCAAAACTAATGTCTATTTTAAAACAAACAACAAGGGAAAAACACTCTAAAAATAAAAATGACTCAACCAAATCTTGGAAACGTTTTGTTTTTGACAATAAAAAGTATATTTAATTTTAAATAATGGCAATAATAAATGGTTTCATGGAAGTGCTTATAACTAAATGCTTTTTTGGAATTATTATTGTTTGACCTTTTAAATAGACTTCATGAAAAAAACTAAAAGGAAAGCAAAAACATTTTTAAGATATTATTTCAAGTGCTTTAAATACGAGAGTACGATAATTTTATTCATAATTGGAGCTCTTATTTCTTGAACAAATATAATGCACATATCATGTTTCACTGCTAACTATTTATTTTGATTTATTTTAATGAAATCTAGCAGTTATATTTGTCTTCGTTTCCAGTTTCCAAATATTAAACCAACTACTACTAGGAATTTTGAAGACTGAATTCACCTGGTCGGATGAGCACTGTAATCGGCAATTTCGACTCCCAAGGACGGACCGCACCCAAATGAAGCTATTTTATTGCCCCTCACAAACTGCACCAAATCATGCGTCTCACCTGTTTGTGCGCCACTCCTGGTGGAATCCAGCCTGCTGACCTGTTGACCCGGGCCACGCCCCCTTCCTACAGGACGTAGTTGCGCAGCTTTTCAGTGGGCAGGGTTCGATTGGCGAACGAAACAATCGCCGACGCCGGCTGGCTGACGGACAGGTCGCAGAAGACATGACACTGGTTGTCCGTGGAGCTGTGCGACCTCCTGGCCACAAATGCGAAGATGGTCTTCTTGTCCGCCTCCCCCTCACTGGTCCACATCCGGTTCTCCGGGTCGATGGCACAGTGCGAGATAACATCCGCCGTATAGTGCTTGCGGAAGAACTTCTTGCGCGTGTTATCCGTAAGCGTAATGCCCTGCGAGGAGACCTTGAAGTGCACCTCCGTGGGCTGCGGCGCCGGACGTTGGTCGTACATCAGCCGGATGGCCTTGCGAATGGCCTCGTTGCCGGTCAGCGATTCCGTGTCGCAGGAGAAGAGCCACAGCACATTGGTAGCTGCCCCGTGAGCAATCAGATGCTGCTGGGCCGGGGTAGTGGCCCTCACCGGCGGCACCATATCCCGATCGGGCAGACGGAGCAAACACGGCAATGCCAGCTGGCTGATGGAATGCTCGAAGACCAGTGCGGACAGTGAAGTGAACACCGGCTCGTCATCGCAGCCCTTCAGATGCACTCCCTCCGGCGTGGGTTCGATGAGGAAGTGACGCACCAGCTCCTGGGATCCGGCCGGAGGTTGGGCCACCCTCACCACCAGGCCATAGGAGTTCTTGTACGTGGTGGAGTCCCTGACCAGGAAAGTTCCTGGCTGGGCCGAGGCCAGGAGAGCAATGGCATCTTCACGCGTGAGATTGGGCTTGTACCAGAACTTGGCCGAACTCTGGGCAAATCTCACGGAATCGGCGGACACCTCGATGGGCTGCAGGGTAGGGGCCACTCCCCGACGTGGCCCTGTTTGGTAGATGGACTCCGCGGCAGGAAACTGGGTCGACGGTGACGACGAAGATGATGATGCCCCAAAAGGCGTGCGCGGCGTGACCGGAAAGGCGGGCGTTTCTGGCCTGCTGGTGGGACTAGGCGTCATCTGCTGTTGGCCATTGGTATTTGGGTTGCTCACTCTCTTCGTACTGGTGGCATAGATGGGCGAAGCTGGTGCTGGTGCTAGTGCTAGTGCTGGCGATGGCGAGGTGGACTTCGATGTGGATGTGGATGCGGAGAGATCGCGACGAGTGCGCGTGAGTGTCTCCTCCATGTGGTTCTGGCCATAAACGGCGCCCAGTTGCTCCAACGGCTCCAACTGGTGGCGTTTGTGGGTCGTTTCCAAGCTGTTAATTGTGTGATAATTGCGTTCCATGGCCCGCCGATTGACCACGCCATCTGGCACATCCTGATCCAGTCGCAGATCCTCGAATTGGATATTTCGTGTTGTATAGGGAGTGGGTTCCGGCTTAGCATCATCCAGATTAAGATTGAACTCGAAATCGTAATTGTATTTAGTGGATAGTCCATTTGGGGGAGTGTTTCTGTATAAGCTGGTGCCGTTGCCCAAACCATTTCCCGAATTATTGCCGTTCTTTAACCCATTTCCATACGAGTCGCTGGCGTAGAATTGCCGCTGTGGCGGAGTGGGCGGTACTCGACCCCTCTCCCCCGACTCCCTGTCTGTGTTCCTATATTCGTTATAGACCTTTTCGCGTCGCTCCCGCAGCAGCTGCTCGAAATTATCTCTCACCGGCGTCGGCGTTGCGCTGCTCGACCTGTAGTGGTATGTATTGGCTATGGTGTTGGTGTTCGTGGAACTAGTGGGACTACCGCCGTTGCCCAGCGTTTTGCGCACCAGCAAAGGGCTCGTCAGCCGGGTGGGGGGCTTTATCATATCGCCAGTACCGCCAGTACCCGAACTCAAACTCCCATTATTGGTATTCCCGAAATCAAAGTCTAGAAAACTATCCGAACGCGTCGGCGTCGGAGTTTTGCGCAGCGGTGTGGAGGTTTTGGCTATGCCATAGCTAAATGGCAGCGAATTCTCGCGCGCGTGATAAGGTATTCCATTTCCATTACCGTTTCCACTGCCACTTCCACTTATATTCCCATTTCCATTCGCCTGCCCATTGCCATTCACATTATAGTTTTTATAGTAATTATTGTTATTATTGGCCGCGGTGTATTGGTATTGGTATTTGTGGTCGGCAGCAGCAGCGCTTTCTTCGTACGGCGACCGCATTGTTTCGCGAATTCCAAAAGACTGATTGAAAAAATCGAGAAGATACAACTCAAAACGTAGAGTAGAGTAGAGCTCCTCAGCGTTGGCGTATCCGTATCGCTCTCTCGCGTGCTGGGCTCTCTATCCGCGTATCTTGCTCACGGCATTTGTTGGCCAACAAACAACATATCAACCTTAAGTCCGCAATTGGCTTGGTATGTGTGGGCACAGTGGGGCTGGGACTCAATGAAAACTATTTAGTTTTTTATATTTTATCATAATTAACCTTTTTTAAATGTTAAAGGAGTAACCGACATGGCGTATAAGTAATTTTAGTAGGATTTTTTATGGTAACAGTGCGTATGAGTAATTTTTGGTTCGTTTTTCTTGATTTGAAAAATGTTTTATAGTAATTAAGCATTTTTTAAATGTTAAAGGAGTAACCGACATGGCGTATAAGTAATTTTAATTGGCTATTTTATGGTTTCAGTGCGTATGAGTAATTTTTTGTCCGTTTTCTTGATTTGAGAAATATTTTTAAGTTAAGACTAATTACTTAAGTCGTGATTAATTGTAGTTTAGAGATCATTTTAAAAAACTATCAACTTTTATCTTAGAGCTAAGAATTTTTATCTCATAATATGTAATATAATACAAATAAAATTTGAGGTTTTTTTATTTTTATAAAACTTTTTAAAGTTGTTTAATTTGAAAACCCGGTTGGTTTTTATGGTTTATGGTTTTATTAAAGTCCGAATTATTTATATTATTATATTCGAAGTTTTAATGTGATCGGTAAAAATAAACTCTAAAATGAAAAGTCCACACATATCTATATTACGAAAATTAAGTCCAAGCACAAAATCATAAATAGAACTAACATGGGTATTACCTTCCTTTACGCCCACTGTAGTCAAAGTGCACACTGATACACCGCCAAAATGTATTGGATGCCAAGAGAGATCGCTCCATAGGAGAGTGAGAGCGAGAAGTGGAGAGTGGGAGCCAGAGAGAGAGAGGCGTCGGTGATGTCATCCCCACTTATTTACGAATACACACGAAGGAACCCCAGCCAAACGAACGAACTAATCAAAACAAGCAATCGAAGCCTATACAGATTAGAGACCCCGTAAAGTTCGAACCACGCACGTTGGACGCGAATTTTAATTAAAGAACCCGCATATTGCAATTCCAATAAAAGACCAACGTGTGCAGCGATCGCATTGGCCTCCAATTGATAACAGCTGTAGGGGATCGTTCTCTCTTATTGGCTTCCCTTTTATTTGTCTCTCTCGCTTTCCCGTAATAAACTACCCCAATTGGGGGCCATTTAAAATGGTAATTCGTCGATGGAACCCACTGTAGTTGCAGGCACGTTCTTTGATTGCATTCTTCTCGTTTCCATCAATTAAATTGCCGCAGTTTCATTGAAAGGCTGCATTTGTTTTCGGGGGAGTAAAACAAACGATCGTTTTATGCCATTTAAATGAGTTTTTCTTTATCAATCAATTGCGGTCTTGTTTCCCAGCAGGTTCAGGTTGCACTTTCCCAATGAACTTTTGCGGCTATTACACATACACAAACAAGAGGCAAACAAATATACACAAGAAAAAAAGTTCAGATTTTCTGTAAAGACTGTTTCTATTTTGATATATTTATTTTATTAAATAAAAATAATAAGAATGTTATTTTTTGAAATAATCTTTTTTCCTTTTAACCATTAAAAACTCGGTAATTGTGAAATCAAAATATATTTTTCTAAATTTTCTAAACACATTATCTATTTATTTTATGATTTGTGCTAATTTTATGTTAGGAAAGGAAATTTTTCCAAGTCGAATTATAGGTTTGTATTATTTATCTTATAGAGGTTTGTATTTTGTATCTATATAATCCGTACAGTTAGGCCAATTTTATTTTTTTCGGTGCATTACATAGAGAAGAAGCTGTCGCATCTTTTTTGATTTCTCAACATTTTCTTGTAGAAAGTATCGTGGTGGGCACAACCACAACGACGACGAAAATAAAAACAATAGCTAAGGCAAAATATCATTTAAACCTCAACCGCCAAGTGACGTCAGTAAAGCGACAGCCAAACAAAAACAAATCAAAATCAAATACAGCAAAAATGTGCACTGAAACAAATAAAGTTAAAAAATTAACTGCAAAAATGCTCTGCCAATGCCAGCAGAGGCGATCTTCTTCTTTATACAGCAGCCAGTTGTGGGTGGCAAATAAACAAGTTGCGCTCTCCACCGCTCTCCGGTGACCTGTCGCCGCTCTCGCTCTCTCTCCCACATTCGCCCCGTCTCTTTCGTTGGCCTTAGTCCCTAGTTGGCAACTCGTTTACCTTTTTTTCGCTTTTCGCTTTGCTTTGAACATCTGTTGTTGTTAACTCTTTCTGCCGCAAATCTGTTGAAACAAAGTCATGTGGAATTTTGGTAATGCCAATCACAGCCATATGCTGTGACAACCGGGGATTGCAGGCCCATGTGGGCATCTAATGTTGGCCAAAACGATGGAAAGCTATCGTTGAGTCGGTTAAAGACACTTTGAGTGTGGTTTTCGGGCGTGAAAGATACGCATTCGATTTAATTGATTCAAATGTCCCAATCAAGTGACCGTTTTGATTCCCTCTTGAAAGTCCACACTTTTAATCAGGTTTGGAGATTGGGTTTTCACATGCATCTCAAGGGGATGCTTTCCCAGCGCATGTCTTACAAAGCCCAAATATTTGTGTACTCAGCTGAAAAAATGTAATCGAAATAACTTTGCTACTTATTAATTAAAATTTGCTTTTGCAATATTCATGAATTATTAAAACACAGATTTGTTTTCAATATTACAATTTCGGTATTTTAATATTAAATTTAAACTTTTGTTTGCCCCAAGAATAAACCCTGCTGATTCTGAAAGGACTTCAGATCGAAAATCAATACGCCCATATCTTATAGCTTCCATAGGAACGATCGTTTCAAATTTGTTCTTTTTGAATACATTTTCTTATTTCTCTTTGTTTACCCATCCCCAAAAAGTATAGATAAACGCATCACATTTTATTGACGTTCATTGAATTTTATTGAAATTTTGCGAGTTAATACAAAACCGAAAATTGAAATTATTGCAATTAACATTAAAAACGCCCGCTCACCGTTACAATGCCACTGAAAAACGTTTGTTTAATACTATGGTTAACTGATTTACAAGTACTAGAAGAGTGTCTCGGTTCTTGTCTACAAAAATGTAAAATAATAGTCACATTTAAAATTGCATAAATTCTAGACAAGTGTAGATGTTATAGTATGTCGTACATATTTTTTTTTTTTTTTGGAGAAATTCTCATGCGTAAAATGTTTTTTATTTCATAATCATTCTTCTGTTTTTTTTTGTTTTTGGTTTTTTTTTTTTTGTTTTGTTGTAATAATTTGGAATTATGCATTATATGTTTTAAATTTTATTGCATTTTATGTAATTAAATATATATAACGTACATCACAGCAAAACTTTATAATTTTTTTGTTTGTGTTTTTTCTTGTTTTTTATTTTTGTTTTGTTACTATAAATATATTTTTATGATAAGCTTTTGATTTTGTTAAAATTGTTTCGAAAATAATAAACCAGAAGACAGGTAGAAGAAAAACTATTCGATGGAAACACCTAGTATTAGTGCTGTTAGTTCAGGATAGACGGAGAGGTATAGAACAAACCGAATAGCGTTAAATTATCGAAACCGGATTAAAAGAATAAATTGATTAAAGTTTTTTTTCTGCTTAGCTTGGTTGATTGAATTTTTTACATATACTCGTAAGTAATTATGTCAGTGCACGTATAAAAGGTATTCAATTCATGTATATAATATATTCTATATATATTTATTTGCTTTTATCATAACGTTCTGTTATTGTGACAAAAAATAAACTTTATTTGGGTTTTCGTTTATCATTCAGTTGATGTTCCTACTAATAAAATTCTAGAAAAGCACAACACCTTTACAATGGTCTTTTGGAAATACCATTCATATAGATTAAAAACAAGAAAGAACTTTATAGTCGAGTGTTCCGACTAAGTGATACCCGGTACTCACAGTCGTGATCCAAAAAAAAATCCAAAGCTTTCTACAAAATGGTCAGATTTGGAATATTTCATTGGAGCTAAATAATGTTTATCAATTATCTAAACTGTAGAGAGTGTTTTCAGATTTACTGATGCAAATAGATTTTCATTGAAACTTTAATTGGATTTTATTTAAAAGGGCTTTCAAAGACTACATATCAAACTTATTTTCTATCGGACATGGTTTTATTAATTGGACTTAAAGAATATCTTAACTTCCTTCGCCCAACAATACGAATACAGTATATGCTTGAACTCTAAGATTACCGGGTAAAATGAATACACACACGTTTTACACATACTAGGTATCAAGATTTTAGTAATGCATAGCTTTATTAAGGATTTGAGAACGTGGGGTTTGGGGCACAGGGAGTCTGGGTTGGGGAAGTGCTGCAAAACTCTTGCTATAAGCAACGGATGACCCATGAGATACGGCTTATGGCCTTCCCGAAGAGGCTAAACTAATGTTATGTATATCCATTCTCACAAAAAATCAATGCTATCCATAGTATATATATGCTATAAAAAGTTGTTGAGTTAGTTTCAATGGTTTTTAATACGAATGGAGGGCAGGAATCATTTCAATTTACTTGTTCTTCTCATTTCTCGTTTGGTTTAGTTCCACGTTAATTGGTTATGTTTATACCGATCGATCGATAGATAGATATAGATAATTATTGTATGGTACTCGTACTTGTACATGTATATTGGTAAAAATTGTTTGCTGTCGTTCTCCGGCTTTAAAGGCTAGTGCACGTAGTTCGCTTGAATCGCATATATCAGAAGGAAACTCTCTATATATCTGGGTGTGTGTATATATGATACTCGTAATGCTCGCATCTGATGCAATTTTAATAGACAAGTCACATTGAAGGAGGTTAAGGTGTGTATGTAAGTTAATGCTTGTGTTTAGAGCTACAGACGTTACAGTTCAAAAGGCAAAAATACTACGGAAGTGGATGGACTGGTCGGTGGGTGGTTGAGGTCACCACCGACGCACGCTTGCCCTGGAAAAGTCTGGTTACGATATTACGATATTTGTGTTCTCATAGCGATTGCATTATGTTTAATTACGCACACATCTACTACAAATACATTAATAAGCCCACCAATATACATATGTTTCTATGCCTGTATGCTAAATTCTTATATGGTTGGTTTCCCTCCTGTTAGTGAGTGTGGGTGTGTGTATATATGCATCTATATATAGTATATTTGCTGAAACGCTTATCGTCCTCCGCTCATCTGGTTTAGTCGATTTCAAAGATTGCTTATATGTTTCAAGGTTAGTTGCTTCCGTTTATAGTTACTAATTTTCAAACAGTAGAAACGAAAAAAATATATATACGATCTTTATCTTTATCTTTGTTTTTATGTTTTTTTTTGCTAGTGCAAGAAGAAGAACTTCTTCAGTGGGTTCAGTTCGTACAATTAGTATAAAATGCAATGCACTATATTTATGCTGGTTTGTTTGTATGTATGTCGTATAAGGATAAATATATTTAGTTGTTAAAAAAACTAAAAGTAATGGTAGTAAATATAAAATACAAAGAGGAAGCAGCGAATATGCAAGCCTAACTGAAAAGCAGAAAACACAAATCCAAATTACGAATATTCCGCTTTGCTTAAATATGTATTCTTTATATAATATAAAGTTATTCATAGGTATGCGTGTGGACAGCAACAATTCATGATACACAATTTCTAGTTGGCAACGGGCACTCAAAGTCTAACCTCCTGTTTATTTTTTGGACTTAGTAATCCTGAACCTATTCAAGCACTCTGAGAGCCAGCTACCACGCATTTGAATACATATTCGTTTGTTCGTATATAGTTGTTTTAATGGATTTAAGGATATCCTCGAGTGTGAAAGGGCAAAGAAAATCTATAATGAATTTTGTGCAAATCTTGGCTTATATACAGACACTTGTTTTACGGCTTTACCTTCTCTATACACACAAATATATATATATATATACGCTGTTTAACTATACTTGAAATCTTGGTGGTTTGCTTATATGGGTTACTCCTAATTACGGTTACCATTACTCACATACAAACTAATGTCTACGACAAGCTATTGAAGAGGCGGCGAGTTTCGCGAGGGCGTGGCCGAGGGGCGGAGCGGGTGGTTGTTTTAGGCCAGGTGGGCGGGGGCTTACAGCTGAGGAGGAAGCGTCGACGGTTTGGCAGTTGGATTCGTTGCGCGTAACATCAAGTGATGGCGGGTGGGCAATTGGCTCCCCCGCCACAGACCAATCATTCCTCCACCCCAAAGAACTCCACCACCTCGTCCACTCATCGTCCGGAAAAGCCAAAGCTGGAGGTGTGTGTAATACGATTACGACTGGTTTAAGCCGCTTGGCTCTGTTGGGGATTGGCGGTGGTTGCCGCAGTTGCGGATGTTCCCGCCACTCCGGCCGTTCCACCTGAAGTGCTGCTCAAGGCGGCTGCTGCTCCTGCGGTCGCCTGCGCCTGTTGCTGCTGATCGGCGCCATCGAAGTAGTCGGAGGCGTTGCCTCGGCAAATGGGGCAGGTGCGATTTGACTGGCGGAAAAAAATTACGTTATTGTCTAATTGAATTTATGTGTATTATTAGGTGCTCACCCTCAGCCATTTGTCCACGCACTTGGCGTGGAATTCGTGGGAGCAGGGCAGGACGCGCAGCAGCTGGCGCAGCTCGAAGTCGCACATGCACACCACACAGGATGATTGATCGCCTGGGGGGTGAATAGATATGTGGGTGAATATTTAACTTTGTAAAAAAAAACGTGTAGACCGTTTTCACCGCTTTCCGGTGAAGCCATAATACATTCATAAACTATTTATGCATTCTCAAATACTTTTTTATAAGAAACTAAATTTTCTAGATTTCCTAAAAGACAATATTGCATATTTTTGTACTTTGTTTGACCGATCATGAGCCACTTTAAAAGTGCAAACAAATAAATTTCAGTTCACCTATGCAATAAAAAATAGTTGCCTACTTTTTTGGGCCCCCTTTAAAGTTTATCAAGTATACGTAATGTTGCCCTTAGCAAATTATTGATAGTAATAACAAAGAAGTTCAAGAGGACTTAAATGGAAAACGTCTTCTCCTTCATAAAGTGTAGAATAGAAAATATAAACCTATCTGGCCTACCTGTCGAATGAGTAATATTTGCCTGTCATGCTTGTTACTGGTAATTAAGCACCCTTTAAAATTTATCAAGTATACGTAATGTTGCCCTTAGCAAATTATTGCATATCATAACAAAAAAGTTCGTGAAGACTTAAATGGAAAACCTTTTCTTCTCCATTAAATTTGAGAAATAGGAAATATAAACCTATCTGGACTACCTGTCGAATGAGTAACATTTGCATGTAATGCTTTTTACTGGAAATTAAGCATCCTTAAAGAACTCTTTGAATCACTCACCGTTATGCACCTCCGGGTTGAACTTGTAGCTGGGCAACTGATCGATCTCGTTGCGGGTGAGTCCCCTGGGCTTCGCTTCGCCCAATCGCTCGGCCAGGCTGAGCAGCGCCTCGTAGTTCTCCGTCTCATTGGTGTCGCCGGAGCTCAGGTCGTGTTGGTTGTACGGCGATAGCGGGAACATGGCCCTGCAAGAGGATTAAAGGCGGAATTAGGGATTGTCATACATCCGTTAACACTAAATGGACTCACAGGAAGTTGAGCAAGAAGCCCGGGTTGATGATGCCCGAGGTGGCCTGGATCTGCACCGGAGCTTGGTGGGCGGCAAGCGACTGGGGCGGCAGGACGTGCCGATGGCCGTGATTCGCCGGCCAGAAGCGCGGGATGCGGCGGTGGGGCGGGAATGTGCGGCGGTCCGACGAGATGATGATCTGCTGCGGCCCGGCGGACATCTGGGCACTGGCCTGGGCGGCGACCGCCGCTGCAGCTGCCGCCGTGGAATGTAGGTGGTGGGTGGCGGCCGCGGCCGCTGCTCCGCTCAGCGGGGTGATGTGGATGCCCGGCGGCAATTGATGGGCATGCGGATGGGCATGGGGATGGGCGTGCGGATGGCCATGGGCCCCGGGTCCCCCAGGTCCATGATGCCCATCCAGATGATGGGCTCCCGGCGCTTCGATGGGCCCCAGATTGGCCGTCGCTATGGCCACCACATCCCGCTGCTGCTGCTGGGCCGTCAACGTGGCCTGGGCTATCATCTGCTGGGCAGCCGCTGCTGCGGCGGCCATCTGCGCCTGCGACGGCACCGAAGCCACCTGCAGAGGTGGAGGAGGCGGGGCGGGGGCGAAGGGCTGCGTGTAAACGCCATGCAGGTGGCAGGGCGCCAGTCTAGCCTGTGCCGGTATCGGGTACGTGCAGAAGGAGGCCCAGAACGGCTCCGAGGGACGCAGCTGGAGGCTCACGGGCACCTGGTTTAGATTGAGGTCCACCATGAGGGAGGTCGGCTGCGGCGGGGCCGGTGGATAGCCCACCGTCTGCTGGTGACTCGGTGGCTGCGGCGGCGCCTGCACCTGCTGCAGAATGGGACCCACCGAGCTGCTGGCTGTTGCTCCGCCGGCGCTTCCTCCACTGCCACCCAAATCCCAGGGAGAACGCTGAACGTGGGGCGGCGGCACCTGCTGCTGCTGTTGCTGGGAAACGTAGTGGGGCTGGGGCTGGGGCTGGTGGTGGTGCATCGGGTGGTAATTTGAAGGCGGCTGCTGCTGTTGCTGCTGGGGGTGGTGCACCTGTGGGCCGTACTGCTGTTGCTGCTGCGTGGAAGTGGCTACGTCGCGCAACCGCGGTCGTCGAAGCGGCGGACTTCCCTGCTGCATCTGCAATAAGATTACCAGTTATTAAATAAGGTCTTTCTAAGAAGACTTATCTGAACACTCACATGAGCCATAAGACAGCGCTGCTGGGTCTGCGGACCGTTCTGGGGTCTGCCGGAGATGCGGCGACGCTTGCGCGACGGACTGTCTGAGTTGAGGCCTCCGGGTCCGTTGTTCAGCGACAGCGAGGATCCCGACAAGCCCGATCCCGAGGGCAGTTCTCCCATCAGCCCTGGTCCACCCGAGGATGTGGAGGCACCGTTGTTGTTTCCATAGGCCATGTGCTGGTAGTGCGATCCATTGCGTCCGTAGCCTCCTCCGCTGCCGCCTCCATTGCGCATAAAGTTGTACGAAGAACCCTCAGCTCGATCCCGATGATCTGGTCCACCCTGATCAGAGTTTCCAAAGTGCTAGAGGAGGAAGGAAGGGATTAAGCCAAAGATCATAAAAGATTCATAAAACTATCCAGTTACAAAATGAATCGAAAAGAAGTCATGAGGATTCCATACAGAATCATTTAACTTACTAACTGAACCTTAGATTTATGTGTAAACTTTAAAATCTTGAAAAATATTTTAGTGAGTATTCGCTTACATTATTCAAGTTCCTATCGTTGTAGTTGCGCTGGTGGTGTCCGGAATTGATGAGGCCGTTCATGGATGAGGAGGCGTTGTTCAGATGGTCGGACATGTAGCGTCGTCCGTTGTGGCCGTGTCCATTGCCATTGGAGTAGTCCCGCGAAAGAGTCGGACACAAGCCTCGCCGGTAGTTCATGTAGTCGGGTGGTCCGTTGGCATTACCATTACCGATTCCGTTCCCGAGTCCCCGGTTATTGTTGTTGTTGTTGTTGTAGCCACGCTGGTTGTGGTTGTGGCCAAGATTGGGCGAGTTCCCGGATCCCTGTCCCTGGCTGTGGCTATTGATGGGTGCGGATGCGTTATTAATTTGATGTTGTTGTTGTGGTTGTTGGGGCAGCATCGACGACGCAGACGAAGACGAAGACCCATGAGGAATTATATCGGTACAAGAATTTACATTCACAACATCAGTAGGATTACTATTTGTTGTTGGATTGGTTGAATTGAAAGTTGTTGCGTTGGTTGAATTTGAATTCGTTCGTGTTAGCGGGAGGGATTGGCGATTAGTCTGTTGCTGTGGGTGTGGGTTATGCAATGGATGGTACTGGTGTTGCGGATGGTACTGGTACTGGTACTGATGTGGGTTGGGATGATGGTTCGGGTTCTGATTCTGATTCTGACTACGTGCCGGTGGGTTGTAATGATTCTGATCACTGGAACTGGAGTTGGCGCTGGAATTGGAGTTGGATCTGGGGGATCTGAAGGACACTACTCGCTGGGAGGGGGGCGTGGCAGGACTTAGCGTTAGGCACAAGCGGGCGGAATTCAGTCTCACCAGGGAAACGGACATGGATCCGTAGGTGTGGGTCTGTGTTCCACTGCTTCCCGGACACATCTCGTAGTAACTGGGATAGGAATGCTGGTTCTGATTGGCATGGGGATTACTACTACTCGGGTTTCTAGTGTTGCTATTAGAATGACCATTGCTGTGTGTGGAGTTAGGGGAGTTTGGGGAATGCAGTGGGTACTGGCGATAGCTGTTACTGTACTGCTGTGGTGGACTCGAATGCGGGTGGTGGTGATGGGTGTGCATTTGGGGGTGGTGGGGTTGGCTTTGGTGTGGGGAATGGGGGTGATTAGTGTGACTGTGGCTCTGAGTGTGACCATTGTTGTTGCTGTTGTTGTGATGATGATGCGCTTTGCTATTGTTATAAATACAAGTTCCGCTAGAATTACTTGTTTGTACATCGCTGGATTTTCGATTTTGAGGTTTGCAGTTGCAGTTTGTTTTAGATAATATGTAATACATATATACGTATATATAGAGAGTATAATATTCGGTTGTACGAGATACAGTTGAAAATTGTTCAATCAAATCAATGCAGTAGCAGTGTGTGGTAGTATTAAACACAACCCATATATAGTTATTTGTATGCATAATACATGTACAGGTAGTAGGTAGTAGTAGTAGTAGTGGTGTATATATGCAGAGTGGTAGCCACACACATACGTTATTTATATAGATTTTTTTATTTTGCAGTAGTTTTCGGTTTTTTTTTGGTTTTATATGAAGAAGAAAGAAAAACGAAAAAGATAAAAATAATATATATGTAAATGGCAAAATGCAATAATTAGATATTAGTTTAATATAGATATATATATATAATATCGATATGTACACACATTTAGTATAAAACAAATACGTACGTACTAATTTGTTTCACATCGTTTGCAGATTTTTTCTATTTTCCTTTTTTTTAGTTCTGCTCTTTTGTTTTGAATGCATTTTAGGTGGAAATTTGGTTAGTTTGCTATTTTATTTATTTATTTGTTGCTCACTTTATTTTTATGCACACTACGCTTACCAAAAATTGAAATGGAAACGGAAATTAAAACAACGAAACGCCAATCGCACACTGTTCTTCACACTATTCAAATTTAACGTAACGGCAAAAAGGCAACTGTAACGTAATAGGCCGTTCTCACTAGCTAAACACGAGAGAAATACATTGGATACGTATATATATATTTGAGAGAGAGAGATAGAGAGAGAGTGCTGGTCATGCTCCAAAACTATATTAAAGAGAACGTAAACCGAAAACGTAAATAAACTGGTATAAAAACAACTCGTACGTAAGATACGGTAGGTAAGCTTGAGCTTTTCTTCAGCCTGTGAAAAAGCTTTTACGAATTACTGTTATTTTTAGCGGGGTGAGAACGGAAACGGAAATGGAACAGAACGGAGATCCAAAAGATCGTGATCGAGCTGGGCACACACCAAAAAGTAGTACTTAGGCCTATGTATAGTTACTTATGTACACGCACAGCAAGATAGTGGGGGAAAAGGGGCGTGACTGAGCGTCGAACGCTATAATTTAGTCGTAACTTAAGCCGGTGTCAGCGCAACGTAGTAGGTAGTAACTCTTACGGACTAGATGCAAAAGCTGCGATTGCAACTGGCTAGAAATCAAATAACAACTATTTATGTATGTACAGATGTGTTCAAAATAATAGAGGATATTTTAATGCCGTACTGAATTAGAAAAAAAATTAATATTTTAAATTTTCTTAATTGTAAATATCTTTTAAATCGGTTTTACTTTAAGTTTTTTAAAATCATTTACTCTAAATTAAAAAATCAGATTTTGTTTACGTGTTTTTATATTCAATTGCAAATTGATATCATTTCTATGATTTTGACAGGATAGCTTAATAAAAAAAAGAAATTCAATTGCTATTGTTTTAAACACAACTGTATAATAGTTAGACGACAAATTAAAGAGTACTTGATAAACAGAGTGTGACAATGACCATACAATGCTGTACTTGTTGTTATTGTTATTATTGTGGCTCGCTTAAAGTTACACACACACACAAACAGTCAGTAGTAGAAGAGAGTAGAAAGAGAGAGAGCGAGGAGTAAATCAAAAGAAGAAGGATATGCTCGAGCTATTTAAAAAGAGTTGATTTATCTGTTATTTCGGTAATTGGTCGGTTTTCATTGTATTATTGAATTATCTTTTTTGGTTTTTGGTTGGTTTTGGAATTTCTATAAGGTTAGTTTGTCAAACATTCTAAGCCGCAGTGTGCAAAATGCAAATAAATAAGTAAAACATTAAGCTGAGTTTGTTGATCATTTGCAAAACTCGACTCGGTTCGCCTCGACCTACGCAAAGTTAAGCAAAATACATCAATCAATAGTCGTCAATATACTTAGCTATCAATCAAGAAACTCAACTAAAATGCATCATTCATAAAATGTCGAAATCGAAAAAAATTACAACTAGTTACGGTACGGTTTGGATAAAGAGGAAATTTTGTAACTAAATTCATACTTGGCTTGCACTTTTCACGGTTGCATTTCACATATTTATCATCGCATTTATGTTTGTTCTTGGTTTTGGCTTTTTTTAGTATAAATTTAACGAATAGCGTAAAACGTGAAGCGACACTATGCGCAAAACGAAAGAAATTTAACAAAATTATATTATAACGTTAGATTAAATCAAAATATTGTTGGTGGGGGGTAGGTCTTGAAATCGGGGACATGTGGAAACCCTATCTGATGATTACCTATAGTATTCGAAGTATTCGTTTAATTTTGAATATAAATATTTTAGAAAGATACACTAGGGAGCTATATTATTTATTGAATCCTATAGGATTAAAATACTGACATATACTTCTCAACAAACTACAGTGGTCGCCCGCAAATAGAACACGTTAACATTAAAATCACAAACATAACCAGATGTAATTTTTTGTTTAAAAAAATTATAACAAATATTTGTTTTGTTTTAAGAAACTAAGTAATTTACGAGCGACAACTGTAAAAATTCGAATAAACATAGTATTCGTATGATTTATTCTTAAGCTGAACAACTCTTTTGACTATGATGCATGAAAAGCACTTACCCACCCGACTCGCATTATAATTGATTAATTGCTCACAGTCGTCGTTTGTCGAGCCTTCTTCCGTTGATGCGTGTTCCTTGACCAACCAATTAGAATTTACTATTGTCTACTGCTTTTCCTGCTCTAAACAAGGGCTTTAAGGACCCTTAAAGGTAAAATTAGTAATTGCCCAGACAATATAAAGACAGTGAAAAAGAGAAGGAGGATGGCGATTAAGGTAGGTCCTTGAGGATGTTCTTAATGGGCCAGAGAGAGACAGAGAAACGGGTGGGGGGAGAGATAGCATGCTGGTAAGTACTTAAGTCCGTTAGGCGCGCTTTAATCAAAAACAAGAAAAAGCGTTTGGGACAAAGAAACGACTACGAAACGAAAGAGAAATTGCTACTTAATAAGTTTGGATCGCCATTTTCAAGTGCTCTTCATGCATTTTCTTAGGGAACTGTTTGATTGGTCTTAAGTTTATGAAACATTGAACGTTCTTTAAGTTGTTACAATCGAAATCAAGAGTTTCTGATTCGGTTAATACGGTTTCTTCTACGGAACTTCACACTGCTCAAATTTCGTGTATGGTAATAAAAGCGGTTAGAGAATGTACATACGATAAACATTAAATAAATCAAAACTCAGTTCTTGCTGGATAGTATAATGTGGGTGTATGTACGAGTATGTAATGTTGTATTTGATGTCGATGCAGGGATAGTTACAACGATAATTAGTATGTATGACATAATAACTGAGTGTGTTAAGGGTGCCAATCTGGACGAGGAACATAACACAAAATGTACAGTACGCAAGAGAACGGAAGAGAGTTACAAATGATCGAGAAGTATAAACGGTATAACACTATATCCATTATGTGTCGCCATCAAGTTGGCGATGCAAGCGTTTTTTTTTTGTTTAGTGCTTCGAAAATTCAACGGTTAGGACCAATTAAAATGTATTTGGTTGCACTACTGAACGCGACATTAATTACAAAATTCTCCCTTTAGCCTAAAAGCGATTTTCGGGTTTTCAGTTCAGGTGTAATAGAGATAGAGATAGAAAGTAGATAAACTGTTCTAGTCGTGGGGGAAGTTACAAGGATATGTCTTGTTAATCATGGATGGATTTTGGGGGATTTTGGGAGCGGTTCGGATCGGAGGGGGTACGTTTCAAATTCGCTTTTTTTTCAATGTCACTTAAGGCTAACATAAGCTCGAGATCTCAGAGGATTTCAAGTGGGTAGGTGGAAAAATGGTTCTAAAACACAAGCGGCTCTCGACTCTTACCAATTCGGGTTTGCATCTTTGTTATTGACATTGTTGTTGTTGCTGTTGTTGTTGTTGCCACCGTTGTTATTGCTGTTGCCGCCGTTCAAATTAACGTTGCACCAAGGGCTGTGACCAGGTAAAAGGCTGTTGTTGTTGCTGGACCGCTGCTGTTGGCCCTGTTGCTGTTGTTGCTGCTGCTGTTGGGCGTGGGAGTGCGGATGTGGGTGTGGCGAGTAGACCATGCGACCGCTCACTCCGCCCCCACCGCCGCGATGCGAGCGGACCGACGAAGAATTGCGGGAAAAGGGACGCCGGCTGCTGCCCCCATGGTTGTTGTTGTTGTTGCCGTTGCCATTGCCCAAGTTGCCGCTGTTGGCATTCGAGTTGAGCATGTTGCAGTTGCAGTTGCGTTGCTGCTGCTGTTGTTGTTGCTGCTGCTTCTGCTGCTGTTGATTTTGCTATTCGACTTTCGACTGGGCGAGAGCTTTCTTTGGGCTTTTCTTTTTAATCACACAGCTGTGGGGCGGGAGTAGAAACGAGACGATTTGCTTATAAAGTGGCCGCTTGAACACTTAACTATGCAGCCCCGTTCCGTTTACAATTCGGAGAAATTTGGAGGAATCAAAAGTGATCAGAATTCAAACTACTTTATTACAAGATCGATCAAGATCCCTTTAAGGGAAAACTTATTTTGGTAACCCAAAAATAAGGAACTGAAGCTTTTAGTTATCTTATTGTTCGCCTTTAAATAATCCATTTTCGTTTTTTAAGCCTGATTTATTAATTTTCGCGAATTATGGAGGAAATGGAGAACAGGACTCTAGCTAACAATGGCTAAGATTTTGTATGTCATTTTTGGACACCATAATCGCTATCTATTTGTTAAAAAACGTTGGGAATTACAATTTTACATATAAAGGTTAAATTCGTTCAATTCGATGCCTCCAACTCAGATTATAATCGAAAACGGAAAAAGGTTTTTTAGCTCTAGAGTTTTATGGTTTTTGATTTGTTGAGTTTTTTTTTATTACTTTTTGTGTGTTTTTTATTTATTATTCATATAGGAAGTATTCTAAGCCCGACCCGCGCTCCAGAACAGAAAGCAAACAACCAACAAGCCAACATGCTCAATAACAAAACATTTATGGTTTCTCTAGTAGGCAAAATACTTACTTAGGCAAGGATAATAAAATATTTATATATGTGTATATATTGATATGTATATATACGTGTGGGTGTGTTTATGTGTGGATATATGTAAATATTTGTTGTAATCGTAATAAATAAAACAGCAACAATTTTTCAGTTTGTTTTAACAGTGTAGCTTTAATAGGTTGTCAATTATATGGAACTGAGATGAGATACGTGCGTGGTTAGTCTTTCAACTATAGATATAAGTACGATATAAATGTATATAAATTCATGTATTGGGGGTATGTGAAAAAGCTGCCGATACAGATACGGATACGATATATATAAAGTTAACAGTTACGGGTACATAGGTAGTATATATGTATGTGTATATGTGAGCTAACTCCGCCGACTCCGTCCGCCAATGATAAGTGGTAACGACAAATCTTACACTTCCAGCGTTTCCAGTTTGAGTTGTTAAACACGATAACCTATCGTTAAGCCGCCCCTCGCATATATACATACATATTTATCTCTAGATGTGTGTGTTTTACATGAATGTGTCAACTGAACAAAAACAATATTAGTGGTTCTGTTTTTGGGTTTCTGGTTTCGGGTAGGATGGATATGGATGGATCGAGGTTGAGGGGCGGATGACTGATTACAAACTTATCACTTATCGCCCGGCGGGCAGTTAGTACAATCGAAAGATTCCAGATCAAGAGAGCGACAGATAAAGAGGGTTACACTTAACGTACATGGGCCGTGTTGTAGGTGTGTGTGCTCTATAAGTAGGTAATATAAATACTAGGCGTAAAGTAGAAAACGAACATGTGCAAAGTAAAACAAACAGTGTGACAAAGTCGTGTTGTCGTATAGTATATAGCATAAATGGATGGGTTAGATCGATCGTATTGGAACCATTAGGAGAACAAAGGACATATACAAATAATTACAAGATGGCTAATCGTACTTAGTACTTCTTTTCAGTCTTCGATAATATGCTTAACAGGTTTACAAAAAAACAAAGCTTACAAACTAAAGCCGTTCGGTTTGCCAGTTGCGGTAGACCGTTGATAGGTTGGTTTGTTGATTGGTTCAGGTTGGCTGATAGGTTGGTTGGTTGGTTGGTTTTTTAGGCAGTTCGAGGATTAAACGTTTAAAAGTTGAGCTGAGCTGAGCTGAGGTTCAGGTGTGTGCAGTTTGCAGATTGCATTTGCGCTTGCGGTAGTTGGTCAGTGAGATTGAGATACAGATACGGATACAGCCAGATACAAAAGTGTCAACGGCACGGCAACGCAAAGGGCAGATGGCAGTCTTATGTGGTACACACGGTATTACACTTTCGCTTTAGTTGCTTTCGGTATCAATATCGCTATTTGTTGATTTTTATTTAGATTTTTACATGTGGCTATTTACGAGAGTCAATAGGGGAAACACTTGATGATCGGTATTCGTTTGAGAGACGTGTGTGTTAAAGAAGCGGGGCACGTCTGGCCGCGGCCGTTAACAATGCAAATTTACCACCAAAACCAGCAATAAAATATTGTATGTATGCTAAAACAAAGAAAATAAAAGTAAAAGAAAACATTGCTATTACATTCAGTTGAGAAACTAATTACTTGGGTTGGTTTAGTTTGGTTAGCGATAAATGTATGTATATGTGGGATAATATTAAAATATAGGTCTATATAAAGCCTGGTTTTAATTGCGGCCAATGAGTATTAATGCCAATGTAATGCAAATTAGACGTAAAAAATAGGCAGGCAGTACAATATACAAATGCTCGGCTATTATAACGAAAATGGTTGTAATTGTGGTTCCATATACAGTTGCAGTTAAAATAATAGTGCGGTAAACTATTGTTTGGCTTTTAGTCTCGGCCAAATGTTGGTTACTTGTATTTGTTGAAGTGGAGTAAAATATCTTCTAAGCATAAAGTTAGTGATAACTAAGAAAAGCGTTTTTAGTAGTGAAGAAACCTTTAAATTTGGAATACTTTAAAATCGTAATAAAATTTATTTTAAAATAGAATTATAAAGTAATTAATGACAAAAATGTAACGCATAAATAAACGGAGGCGCCGTAAGTACTTAAAATCACTTATAAATGTCTCTAAAAGTATGCTACAATATATTTTCAAAACCGGAAGTCCGATTAATCATTTGTTCTTCATACATTTCAAGATTTTTTGAGAGGTTTCCAACTTTCGAGTAATTTAGCTGCCCCATTTTTATGGATTTGTCACAGCACAAACACCCTCTTTGATCAGGGCCTTTGTGGTAAATATTATTATACAGATAAGATAAGTGAATTTCTAAACATAGATTAAAAAGCTAAATAAGGTGATAACATATCTATAGACGCATTTATGTGGCTCCCCTTCAACAAGACTACATATCCGTAATTTAGATATTATTTTGACCACAACTGAGTGCATGTTTAGCGCACGGAGGCGCAACTCCAAATTCAGATCGTAAAGCTATATAGCTAGGGCTACTATTCATACTCGGCACTTTCAAGTTGGGGTCACGCTCCGCCCTCTCAAAATTAAAACAATAAATTATAAAAAATATACGCATATACACACAAGCAAGCAGACGTCAAAATATTCGCTTTTCCCATGGAGTCCAAACTAACACACAATGAAACACTGAGAGAGCCCCCAGCAGAGAGCGGCACTGAGAGGCGGAGAGAGTGAGAGAGAGGACCCACCTAGCAAAATCTTCCTGTGTCTGTGTGGGTGCCACTCTTGTTGTTGCTATTGCGTAGTCATGGCAGTCAACTTCATTGAATGCTCTTTTTCTCGTTTCGTTTTCTTTCACACATTGATTATATGAATATAGTATACATATACCAACGAAACGTTTGTTGGCTGGCTGGTTTTTGGCAATTACGCTGCTACTTGGCGTTTCAAAACACGATGATGGGGCTAAAAATTTTATAGTCTCGAGTATAGACAAAGGTTAATTTGCATTGGCTGCCCCTAACAAAACTGCACTTTACACTCACACACATGCACACACGGGCAATGCAGCCAATCAGGGGGCGGGTATTGTATTAAATGCGGAATAATCGAAATAATCAGATTAATAATACTACACGCCAGACGCGGAGCTCCCGAATCGAACTCGACGGCAGACAAAGACGCAGTGTGGTAAAAAGTACCCAGACCAGACGGGCGCTCCTCTCTCTTTCTCGTTCGCTCTCTTTTTCGCTGCGAGTGTAGATATGGATGGAAAATCGAAACTCTGTGGCTGCCCCCTCCTCCCGCCCCACTATTTCTGTCTCGCTCGCTCCCCCGCAAGGGGTACAAAATCAACACAAGTTCACACACATACAGGCACACGGACGTGAACTCACAATGACAACCACTTCGTCACCAGCAGATAAAAAAAGTGCTGGCCCTAAAAACAATTGCGTTTTATGTAATTTCACTACATACGTACGTTACGAAAACAAGCACTATTCATATTACACGGTGGATACAAGTACTTGGTATCGAGTACGGATTGCTAGGCAGGAAAAGTATCTTGCTTTTTACGTTTTATGGGAGTTTACCTTGGATCGACCTGACAAAGAGTGTGGCCGCGGCGAGACTGGTAAATCTTACCAATATTTTCGGGAAAATACCAAATTAAAATACCCTAAATATGTCCAAAAAAGAAAATTTGGAATAAAACAGATTATTGTTACTTTTTTGTATTTACTAAATACAGTGGCATATTTTAATGCTCGTGTCACGGTCACACCAATCTTCACCGAAAACGCTACCCGGAATTAACTCCTGTAAAAAAAAGTAGGGTTTATAAATAAAAACATATTGGCTAGCTCTTTTAAGAGTGTGCTGCCCAAAACAACTGACCGCAAACTGAATCTTCAATAAGAAAATGTAAGTAGATGCGGGCAATTAACCCCACGAACGGCTGAAACATTTCGCTTTTCTCGGCCTCTCATAGGGCGCGTGCCCAGAGTCCAAACGGCGAGGGTGAGAAGGAGAAGGACAACAAGGAGAAGGAAGTCAAAGAGAAGGACAGCAAGGCGGTGGCCAGCAGCTCCTCGCGCAGAGACCGCGAGCGCAAACGTCGCGGATCGGCGTCCTCCAGCAGCGACTCAAGAAGCAGGTAAGTCAGCCGGCAAAGGTGTTCCCGACAGATGGTCCACATCTGCCACTCCAAATAAGGGTTATTTCCCAAAGGGCATTTAGTGTGGGAAAAGGAAAAAAGTGGACAGAAGGAAAAACTTGTCGGTCAGACAAATTTCTTTAAAGGGAAATTACAATTGGGGTATTTGATGATACCATCAGGACTCGCTTTTTTTTTGTAAAAAGTTTAGTAGTATATCCCAAAGTAAATCCTCAGTTCTTCAATTAATTTTCATAGGCCTTTCAACACAAGTAAAGGTTATAAGCTAACAATTTTTTTCTTTGTACTAACTAAATCCAGTATCTGGTTAAGCTTTCTTAGTTAATTAAGAATATTTAAAGATCAGTATAGTTTATTTTTATGCGAATCAAAATATAAGTTTAGGCTAAGAATATCATATACCTTTTTGAAATATTCACATTTCCAGCTCATCCGACAGCAGCTCTTCGCGCAGCAGCTCCGGCTCAGACTCGCGCTCCAGCTCCAGCAGTTCCAGTGACTCATCGAGCTCCTCCTCGTCCTCGTCCAGCGACTCGGATCGCAGCGGTAAAAACCGGCGGCGTGGTGGCGGAGCTGCCATCAAGGACAAAGAGAAGGAAAAACCAAGTGCACGATCCCGTTCCCGCTCTCGCACCCGTTCGCCCAGGCGGGTCTCCAAATCCCCTAGACCGGGCAGCAAGACGCGAAAGGAACCAGAGAGGGATCGTGAGCGGCGCAGTCGTTCCCGGGACAGAGCCCGCCGAGCTGGATCCACCGATAGGCCCGCCATCGAAAGCAATAACGTAAAGCGCGAGCGTTCCCGCTCGGCCAGTCGTTCACGATCGCCACGCCGTCGTGGACGTGGCTCTGTGGAGAGGACTCCCCCACCGAAGCGAAGGGAGCGTTCCCGGTCGCGCTCACGCACCCGTTCGCCCACACCCAAGCCGGTTCGCATTCATGTCGGCCGGCTAACCCGCAACGTGACCAAGGACCATGTGTTCGAGATATTCAGCAGCTTCGGGGACGTGAAGAACGTGGAGTTCCCCGTGGACCGTTATCATCCGAATTTCGGACGCGGCGTGGCGTTTGTGGAATACGCCACCGCCGAGGATTGCGAGTCGGCCATGAAGCACATGGATGGAGGGCAGATCGACGGCCAGGAGATCACGGTGTCGCCGGTGGTTATACCCAAACAACGACCCCCCATGATGCGCCGCCCCTCGCCTCCGATGCGCCGTCCGCAGAACAACCGCTGGCGCTCCCCGCCCCAGTTCAATCGGTTCAACAATCGCGGAGGAGGAGGTGGTGGCGGCGGCGGCGGACGTCGTCAGTCGCCCATAAGGAACAGGCGTTCACCGCGTCGCCGCTCCCGCTCGCCCATTCGCCGCCGGCGCCGCAGCAACAGCAGCGACAGCTCCCGCTAGAGGACACAACTCGTTTCCTAGTTTGTACAATGGACACACGATTCATGCCGATTGGGCACAGGCACTTTTCTTTATATTATAATCGAAACAATAAACGTGAGCAAGGGCCACACACAAACAAGCTATGTTAATGTATGAAGGAACACTCGGTATCCTCGAGGGGACATCCAAATGGGTGATGGAGCTTGAAGAAGCAACTACGCTTTTTTGTGGTCAGACGGGATTGAAGAATAGCCGTCGGTTTAGGGGTTCTTATCCCTATGAGATCGCCGCCGCAGAACTCAAATACCTCGTGTTTATTTCTCAGCAAAGTTTTGATGCCACCGCATTCGGATTTGATGCCCCTCAATTCTTCCTTGGTAAGGCTCTGGGCAATCTCTCGCATGGGCAGGCGACCTGACCACTTATCTTCTTTGGAGGCGAGGATTTTGTTGAATATCTTCAGCACCAGACCATCGATGATGGATTTGTCCACCTGCGTGCAGTTGCGAACGCTTTCCTCCTTCTCTCGCAGTTTAATTTCGGAATCTCCTGTTTTGTACTTTATTAACTCCTCCTGGACAAAGTATTCCAAATCCTTGCTGGTGTTCCTTTTGATTCCTAGCAGAGCCAAGCGTTTAGTGCTGGGTATTTTTAGGCGGTCTTGTAGCACCTCAAAGCCACATTCCTGTGAGATTTTGGTGACGTATTGAAAAAAGTCCTGGTAGGAACTTATCTTGGTGTTCCGCCTGCGGAACTTAGCTCCCGAGAGTTCATAAGGACAGCAGGGCAGTAGGAAGTAGTTGGTGTTTAAGCGCCCAGCCAAAACTGGGAGCCAGGGAGAAAGTTCATCCGAATGATTGCCAATTAACCAATCTACATCCGGAAAATCTAAGCGGAAGTTGTTGGGCTCAACTGCTTGTTCGATGAGGCTCTGCTGGGTTTCCTCCGGATAAAGAGACCACAGCTTTCGCTTCCTTATATCGTAGCCATAGCCCTTGTAGCCCTCGGCATTGAGGACATGCACTAGAAGACCGTTTCCGCAACCCAAATCCGCGAAGGCCTTGGGCTCGGTTTGGGTTTGACCCCATAGAACAATAAGATAAGCGGCTATGGCCAAATCCTCGTAGATAAACTTTAACGGATCCGTGGATTCTTGAGCTGTTTTCCAGTACTCAAGGAGACGCTGGGAATGCTTCTCTTTTAACTTCTTGTACAGGTCATTGTACTTCTCCACATTTACCATGCCCAATGACTTTAACTTTGATTCATCCTGTTTGGATTGCGACCAGCTTAGGAGCTTTGGTTTCAGAACAAATTCCAACCAGTTGGGGTTCTGTTTTGAATCCAGTACAAGCTGTCCCTTGAGAAGTCGCACCGAAAAGTCTTCGATATCATCGCTGGCAAATTGGCACTCATATTTGTTATTCACAAAGTCTGTAAGTTATAATATATTAAGAAAAGTGGATAAACCAATATAGATCTTATCCCACCCACAGTTCCGGTGGCCAAGATGTTCTCAGGCAGTTTCTTGGGCAACAGTTTGAATCCAATCTTTAAGCCTGTGCACGTGCGCTTGATTGGGTCTTCTTTCAGGCACTTCCCCAGTTCCTCTTCGCTGGAATCACAAAGTCGACCATCCTGCTGCTTCTCCACTTGGGTGATTACCACCTCGAATATCTTTTTATTCAAGGCATGATAGTTTTTGATCAATATTCCAATCGCCTGCCAGAACTGCGCTTCTTCTACTTCTGTCATGGTGTCGAAAGGAAAAGGTGACACAATCGCTAAATATCAAGTATACGTTTATTGGTTTGGTTTTCCTATCGATATTTCACTGGCGCGAAACTAATATTTTAAACTGAATTGGCAAATCTCATTATTTATTTCAAAGTAACTGTATTTTTCATATTAATAATTGTATATGTACGGTAATGTACATAGTTTTATTTATTAAATAGAACTCGAAACAAAATAAACAACTAGTTTCGAATAAAGATATATTTTTTTAAAAAACGATCCCGATGAAAATAAGTAAAAATCGATTGCCATAGGTATACCGATACGGTATCAACATTCATTCCATCTATTGCGTAATCAGCTGGGAAACACGCAGCTGAATCTGAATCTTTGGCTTTTACCTTACCTGTTGCATTTAATAGTTTAGATACAAATAATATATATAATGTCATTCCTGAGAAAGTCTATGCATTGGATGGGTGCTGTGGCGAGGCAGCGACAACACCTGAAAGTGGTTAGTATCAGAAGATATCCCATGGCTTTGTTGTTATTCGTTTGAATATTGACAGATTAGAGGAGCGATATCCACAGCTGCGCGGGATTACAGCTCAGAGCCTCCGAATGACTTCGGCAATTTTCCCGGAGCGAAGGCTCCGTTCGTCAGCAAATTGAATCTAATTCACCCCGAGGATTACGCGCCAATTCCCATTTACCGGGTGATGGATCAGGATGGCTTTATAGCAGACGAGAGTCAAGATCCCCAGCTGAGCCGTGAGGTGGTGGAGAAAATGTTCCGCGACATGTTGCTGCTTAACACTATGGACAAGATCCTTTACGAATCCCAGCGACAGGGCAGGATCTCATTCTACATGACCAATTTCGGTGAGGAGGCTTCCCACATTGGCAGTGCCGCCGCCCTGGAGATGCGGGATCTCATATATGGTCAATACCGCGAGGCGGGTGTTCTGGTATGGCGTGGCTTCCGCATCGACCAGTTCATCGATCAGTGCTATGGCAACGTGGACGACTTGGGTCGCGGCAAGCAGATGCCCGTGCACTACGGCTCCAGGGAACTCAACTTTGTCACCATCTCCAGTCCCCTCTGTGAGTTAATATATTACGCTATCTTAGGAGAAGCTGGTGCTAATCTTATCTCTGTTGGATTGCAGCCACCCAAATGCCCCAGGCCGTGGGTGCCGCCTATGCCATGAAGATGAAACCGGACAACGATGCCTGTGTAGTCTGCTACTTCGGAGAAGGAGCCGCTTCAGAAGGAGATGCCCATGCCGCCTTCAACTTTGCAGCCACGCTCGGTTGCCCAGTTATCCTCTTCTGGTGAGTAACGAATATAAAATAAAGGGCTAGTAAGACGATAACGCATAATTTTCACTCGTTGAAAAATAAATATTTAACACACTACTTCGATAAGATAAAATATTCTACAGTAGATATATTTTTATCTTATCAAAAAACTCAATTTCGTCATTTAAAAATTCCCTTATCTAAATCAATGTATAAAGCAGCTCTTTACTTTTTAAAATTTTAAACAACCTAAATATGCACCTCAAAAATATTTTTGTATGAGCTAGATTAAATTAAAACAAAGAGTGAGTCCATACAAAAGTATACTTTTCATATAATGAATCATGATAATGCTCTTTGAAACTAATCAACCAACTCCTCCCGTCAGTCGCAACAATGGATTTGCCATCTCCACACCCTCCAATGAACAGTACAGAGGTGATGGCATCGCAGGACGAGGGCCAATGGGATATGGAATTGCCACGATTCGAGTGGATGGCACTGATGTCTTCGCAGTGTACAATGCCATGAAGGCGGCCAGGGAATATGTGCTCAAGGAGAACAAGCCGGTGGTGTTCGAAGCCTTGGCCTATCGAGTGGGCCACCACTCCACCTCCGACGACAGTACAGCCTACAGGTCGGCGGAGGAGATCGAGGTGTGGAACTCGGTGGAACACCCCATCTCAAAACTGAAGCGCTATATGGTCCATAAAGGATGGTTCGACGAGACCGAGGAAACTGAATTCATCAAGGATATCAGGAAACAGGTCCTTAAACAGATTGCAGTTTCCGAGAAGAAACTTAAGCCAAACTGGCGCGAAATGTTTGAAGATGTCTACGACGAAATTCCAGAGCATCTGGTGGAGCAGCGAGAGGAGCTGGAGCGGCACATTGGGGCGCACAAGGACTGCTATCCCCTAAAGAACTTCGAGAAGTAGATTTCTCGTGCCAGAAAGAAGCTAACAACTCAGAAATCAAAGCAAACCGAGAGACTCGATCGAAAGTGCATTTATTATGATTAAGCAATAGGCAAACAATTTTGTGTGGGTCCAACCCGTTTGTTATGACTCATCCGTGCAGGTTGGGTGGGTCGATTTTTTGGGACTAAAGACCTTTTTGATTTTTCTCTGGAGGATCAACTTGGTTTCATCCTGAGTTGTCCATGTATAACATTTTTGTCTTCAAGTATATATTTAAATTGACCCACTCTGGCGCAGGTGTTATGAAAAGGTGTTAAAATTTATTAGGTTTGATTTACATACAATATACATATACTGAAACAATACGAATACAAATATATACTTTTGACTTAACGCAACGCATCGCAGACAAAAACGCGGGTGGAGGTGAAGCTACCTATTGCAGGGATGACTCGCTGAAGCTTGGCTGGAATGATGCAGGGGCGGGAGGTGCTCCTCTCAATTAGTACGAAGCTGGTAGTCTCCGTTCTGCGTTATGTACCGCACCCAGGGCAGCGCCTGGTAGCCGCTCTTTTCGATGATCTTCAGGTAGCGCACCTGGATGCCCGATGTGGTAAAGTAGGGGATCTCGAAGCGCACCTGAATGGGTGGCTTGCCCTCCGTGTTGTCCTCGCTCTCCACACTTGGCAGACCGAAATGGGCCCGCATCAGATACTCCTTCCCACCCGGGAACGACTTGATCGTCCAGATGATAGCGTTCTGCTCCGGCGCGTACTTACAGCTTCCAATAGTCGTCTTAAACTTGGGCGAGTCCGCGTCGGCGGGCACTGGTATGACTATCTCAACATTGTTGGCCGTCGATCTCCTCTTGAACTGCGACTTGGCCTTGATCATGTACTCCACGCGCGAGTGGACATGCCGCTCAATAACCGACTCGATCCATATCAGGGGTTTGACCTGCCAAGAAGAGTTCGATTAGACTTAAATTGGTGTTTCCAAAACTTCCATCATTAAAGATTTAATTAGTTTTAACCAAATTATATTTAGTTCGTTAGTTAGTTAGTTTAAAATAAAATTATTTTTTGGGTAAAGTAAAGGGCTCCTTATCAGAAATACTTACGTGCGTGTTCAGACGATAGGACATCAGCTCGAACTCGCCATCCGGCGGAATGAAAGAGATTGTGCGATCGTTCTCGAACCGGGACAACCGGACGCACTGGTGAAACTTGACGTCCTCCAACTCCACGGACTTAGACTTGCCGCGGCCCGTGCTCTCGAACAGAACCTTGTCGTTGAGTCCCAGCCGCAACTCGGGCATTCCCGAAAGATAGACGCGCATCTTGATGGCGCCCACGATCTCGCTGCGCAGCACATTGCCATTGGCGTTGGCCAGCAGATTTACCGACTCGATGACGTCGAGGAAGACCTCGTTCTTGCGGTACTTGATGCCCTCGGAGCGCCAAGAGACGGCATTGGTCACGGCCACCGGGATGCGGGGCTGCAGCTCCAGCTTGTGGCCCTCTTGCGTGATGTACTCCTGCAGGATCTTCGAGTCGGTGGTCTGCGGGTAGCCAAAGTCAAGCAGCTCATCCAGCAGCTCGTAAATAATCACGAAATTGTCCCTGATGGACTCTTCCTCCAGTTCCTTGAAGTACTCCACGAACACCTGGGCGATCTTGTGCAAAAAGACAAAGACCAGAGCGATATTCACATTCTTATTGCGCGGCGTCGTGGACACTATGTACAGGTTGTTGGTCTTGATGTAGGCGAACGTGGTCTCCGCCGTCTGGAGGATCGGTGTGATCAGGCCCTCCTCCTCGCGTTCCATCAGTAATGGCATAAATTTGTCAATGACGGCCATGTCGATGTTGTCGCCGCGGTAGTTGCGCGATATCAACACCTTGCCCTTCACGTCCAGCACGAAAATGGCCGACGAAGACATGATTATTCTGCCCACCAGCTGCCACTTGTCCCAGGTGTGAAATTCCCAATTGGATCGAGCTGGAGGTCCCTTGGCAGGTTTTGCTGCTCGCGGCAGGCGTTGTTCGTAGCGGATAGCGACGGTGGCGAGGCGTTGATGAGTTAGGGTGGTGTTGTGTTGAGCTGGCTTCACATATTCCGTTTCATGGCCTAGAAAATGCGAATGAAAACTTCCAAATTTCTTACGTCGCCCTTTATGCTGTTGCTGCTTCTTCTTCAATTGCACTCCAGTGTTGGTAAATGATCAGGTGCTAGAAAGTGTGACCAAGTATGATTTTCTTGGATATGACCATCAAGCCTTTTAGCTAATAAAAATTATATACATATATTATTATTATAAAAAGTAAAAATTTTGTCTAGGCATTCTGCAAAAAACTTGAATGCAAAAATTAAAGAAGATATATACACAATCATTTTACATTTCTTTCATTTTTACCTCTGAAATCTACACATTCCACATCAAACTTGTATGCAAAAATTAAATAGATCACACATGTTTAATTTTTGTAAGACCACAAATGCTTTATATATGCAGTATGTACAGACAGAATTTTTAATTTATATTAGAATAAAAAACTATATTTCAGAGGTAAATATGCATGATGTATAATATTGTTTTGATTATATCTTGAATAAGAAATTGCATTCTACTTATTTTCAATAAGCTATCACTAGTGAAATAAAAAATATATTTATATTATTCAATTCCTTATTTCGAAGAGTTTCATAATAATTTTAAATATGTTATTGGCAGCACTGGAGCCTTTTTGGGTATTTGTCCTTCCGCACTACGGTCACACAATCAGCCCAGACGCTGCTTTTTTGGAATTGTTGTTAATAATTTACTTCGGCGAGCATGCAAATGAACCCGAGCGTCACAATCGAGCGCAAACGCGTTGACTGCAGTGTCCTGCCAAAAGGATGGCAGCGGGACGAGGTCCGAAAATCGGGCAACAGCTCCAATAGCAACGCCAACAGCAACAACAACAGCAGCACCACCGCCAGCAGCAACAACAACAATAACAAGGTGGATGTTTTCTACTACAGGTAAAGAAGAAGAGTGGTACTACATATAGACTAAGGGGGATATACTAAATATCGGAACACTGCACGCTGTTGAATCGGATATACGTTTAATCACTTTCACTACCTTTCTGTTATTACATCCACATCTACACCAACATACACACACACGCACACGCCTATGCATACACACACACACGATCCACCTAACCCACCCAAATCTCCACCCACCGCCGTGTCCGTTCAACAGTCCCACAGGAAAAAGGGCTGAGGGAAAGCCGCAGGACGTTGGAAGCCCTGATTTCCAACCCGGCAAGATGCAACAACGGGCCCTGCCCTCGCCATCCATTTCGCTGTACCGCTGCAGCGCAATGCCGCTGCCTTTGACAAGTGGCGGTGGAAATGGTGCCACCACCGGATCGGCAGCCAATGCCCTCAAGCGCAAGTTCGCCAGGAGTCAAGGAGGCTTAGCTGCAGGAGCAGGAGCTGCTCTCCCGCCAGTGGCAGCCTCATCAGCATCTGCATCCCCATCAACGGCCAATCGCCAGCAGCAACAGAACGAACTCAGGTAGAGCCAAGTGGAGGAGCACTTGACTCTTGCATGCCAGCGTGTCCTGTCTTGTTTGCCTGTACCCTACAATCAGGAGGCAAAGTTTACAGCCCGCGGGAATCAAAAACCATAAAGCAACCAAACCACAATTGGCCATCAAATTCGTAGTAGTCACAAAAGAAAAGCTGTAGCTCTGTGCCACCTGAGATTTTTGTTCACCATCTCTGCATGTTTAAGCTCCACTTTACGTTTTGTCTTTTGTGCTGTTTGGTGTACTAGCTACTAATAAACTTGCCATTAATGATGCAATATTTCATACCTTACAGCCGAGCCCTGCGCACAGATGTCTCGCTGGTGCCGCCCATTCGACAGACTGCCTCGATCTTCAAGCAGCCGGTAACGGCGATCCGCAACCACAGCCAGGATCCTGCCAAGGTGAAGCACGATGCCAAGCATGGCACCCAGGAGAAACCCAAGCAGCTTTTCTGGGAAAAGCGGCTGGAACGACTACGCGCCTGCCAAGACAACGGCGAGGAGCTGGACGACATCTCACTGCCCAAAACCATACGCACCGTTGGCCCCAATGTCAACGAACAGACCGTCCTCCAGTCTGTGGCCACGGCGCTGCACATGCTCAATGCCGGCGTCCACGGCCAGAGTTCCACGAAGTCTGACTTGACCAAAAATGCTATGGCGTTCATGGATCCCGAACAGCCGCTTATGCATGCGGTAATCATCTCGGAGGACGACATACGCAAGCAGGAGGATCGCGTCGGTGTGGCGCGGCGAAAGCTGCAGGATGCACTCAAGACATGAGTGCAATGGTTTCCCCTCATGCATCTACCAATTCCATTGTAGACTCTAACATCTCTATTGTATTGACCCCTATTCGAAATCTACGTTTAAGACTAGTGTGTAATAAACCAAAACCAACTCCAAACGTGTGATCCCGGTTTTTATTGAAGGAAGTTTTGGTTCCCTTTATAATAACATCTGCTATCCTCTGTTATCCTTTTTATTACGCTCTGATGACTTTAAAATGCTATTTTATACAAGACAGTTTAAAAACAGATTCGAACTATAATACATGTATTGAATATGCATATTAAAGTAGGTCGATTTGTTAGAACAATCTTGGTAGTGGAAAGAAACATATAGATAATTCTGAAGGTTCGCGGAACTTGCATTTGTAAAATTAAGGTCTTTTCAAATAATGTAGTTTCCCTGCCAAATGAGTGACACGAAAATTACACACATGTATGCGAACTCCTGCCAGATTAACTTAAGGTTTCTGTTCGACCCAAAGATTCATGGCCCATAAATTGACGACCTCTAATGTATACGCAAAACTTTTAAAGTTGGACAGTTTTTGTGCTTCATCCCCTCATTGTATTTTAAAATATATATACTATACATAGATAACGTTGCAGAGGCGTGATTACTCTAGGCCCTCCTCCAGCTCGTCATCCTCGTAATCTATGCCGTCGTAGTCCGTCGAGGAGCGTGTTGTTAGCTGCAAGGGATGAAGCAATCGGAAATTGCAATTAACTGAGAATTTCGCACCTGCACTTGTTGCGTGCCTAAAAGAGTGTCTGGAGCCAAACAAAGACATTGACCCAAAACTATCGAATAAGCACCAGGCAGTTAAGGGTTTAGATCTACTTAAGTCAGCCAGCGGTGCCCACCTGGTTGTAAATACCACGCCAAGCTGCAAATGCTCCCATGGCCAACACTGCTCCCACGCCGGCCACTATTTTGGTGTTCAGTTCGGAATCCATGAACTTTCGCTCCGAAGCCGTCAGACTCGCCTCCGTACCACTGGGCGTCTTCGTAAGCTTAACGGAACTGTAGCCCTCATTGCGAAATATGTCCTTCGTGATGCGGTTGATAAAGTTCACCAGGTTCTGGCAGCCCTTAATGTGATTCTGGAGTGGATTGTTGGGCAGTGCGATTTTGAAGATAATGGCCAGATAGCTGTACACAATGGCATCGAACTCGCTGTAGGTGTCGCCGAAGAACCACACCTTGCGACCCAATTTCCGAGACAGCAGGTTCACGACCTTTTTGGCATTGACGACGAGCTGAAGAGTGAAGGTAATCATTAGCAAATGGAAACATGTTATAAAATTGATCATTAAATTTGGAAACTAATTCATCACTTGTGCGATGGTGTGATGAAATATTGACCAGCATTAATGGAATAACTTAGTCATATTAAATTGCAATTAACTTAGTCCTATGTCACAAGTTAACTAAATGATGAAATAACAATAAAGGTTAATCCATTATTCTTAAATCAAAAATTAGTAATTAATAAAGGAAAAGGATGTGAAAGGAACTCTGAGTTAGGGCTTTAGATTTAAAATGAAACACCAATCTGTAACTATTAAGATGCACTCACATAGTCGCCTTCGTGCTTGTCCATCTTATCGTTCACATCGAAGCCGGCCATCACCTGGACCACGTCACAGGCTTCCCTCTGGTAGGACGAAGGATAGTAAAAGTTAAAGGGGAATGGCGTGCGCTTGGCGTAGAGACCCCGCGTGGTCGTATCGAAGTTGTGGGGCTCTCCGTACAGGAAGTAATGGTAGTAGGCGTGCAGATTGGTGAACACCCAGTTGGCATAGGCGGAGGACAAATGCTTCTGTTTCGTGCTTAAATGCGCATCGATCGGGTAACCCTGGAAGAGTGATTGTTATAATAAAACCCATGCAAAAAAATAATAAAACCCATGCAAAACAAACCTATAAATAGACCACGCAGTTTGTTCACCCGGCATTATTTTGCGCACTCACCTCGAGATCCAGCACGCGCTTGATTTGCCTGTAGCCCGCGAACTTCTGGTTGCCGATCTGCAAGTAGGGCAGTTTCCCGGCTCCTGAGCGCAGCGGATTGGAGCTGGTCTCCACGTCCATGGGACAGCGGGTGAATCGCAGGAGGCACTGTCACCGGGGAAGAGGCAGGTTCTTCAGAGATAGCGATAATGGGCAAAACAGGCGTGCTGGCCGCCGTGTGATGCAACGGAACTCACCAGCGCACGTAAACATTCAAAATCAATGGACGGCAGTCCGTACTCCCCCTTGTACACATGCAGCATCGCTCCTAGTTGCATCTCCATCGGGTCTATGTCTTCGCTTGCTCGTACTCTTGTGTTTTGTGGGTTTTTAACAGTGCACCTGCATGGTAGCCATCAAAATTTGAATCCAAAAATATATGCCAAACTTCTGGCCGACTGCTGAGAGTGCTTTTAGATTGATAATTGATAGACACTCGATCTATCGTTCATGTATATCGGCGCCTTATCGATTAATGGTCAGTGGTGAAGTTACAAATTACTATTACTAATCAGACTGAATTTCTAACCTAATTAAGCAAATATAAATAAATTTGTTTATTTTGGATTTTTTCATGGCTTGTTTTTAAAATAGCTGGAATAAATTCGCAGTCTCTACTATCTTACCACCGCTGTTATCACAAAAGTATCGAAAGCAGGACATCTCTATCCCATCTGTTTGCGAAAAAACATATATTTTGGATATTGAGAGTAAATTACTTAGCAATTATGAATATGATAAGTGGTATTAAGTTGTACATTGAGAAGATGTGCTCCGAATCGGGGCCGGGCATGAAAATCATCCTGCTGGACAAGGAAACGGTGAGTAGAAGCTATAAATCCCTTGCCATATGAGTCCATCCGTGCTTAAAATCCACATCATTTGCAGACGAGTATAATTTCAATGGCCTTCAGTCAGTCGGACATGCTCCAGCGGGAGGTTTATCTGTTCGAACGCCTGGACTCGGGACGGTCCAATGAGCGGTTAAAGTACCTCAAGTGCATCGTCTTCATCCGCCCTACAAAGCAAAACATCCAGCTTCTAGCCAACGAGCTGAGGAACCCCAAATACAGCGCCTACTACATATGTAAGTGGGTCATAAAACACACCTAGCTGTGCTAAACTCTTTTAATAGATTTCAGCAACATCATACCCCGCACGGACATCAAGTATTTAGCCGAGTGTGATGAATCCGAGTCGGTGCGGGAGGTAAAAGAGCTGTATGCGGACTTCCTGTGCGTTAACCCCAATTTGTTCTCATTGAACATACCCAACTGCATGGCAAACCTTAATTGGCTGCCTGATGCACTGACCCGCAGTATGCAAGGGATCACAGCAGTGCTGCTGTCCCTTAAACTGAACCCAGTCATCCGGTACCGAGCCGGCTCGCAGGCAGCTCAACTCCTGGCTAAACTGATCTACGAGCAGATAACTAAGGAGTCGTCTCTGTTCGATTTTCGGTCCAACATGGATGGTGCTGCTCCACCACTGCTGCTTGTTCTGGACCGGCGAGATGACCCAGTAACGCCGCTTTTGCATCAGTGGACCTACCAGGCTATGGTCCACGAGTTGTTGCACATCAAGAACAACCGTCTGGACCTCTCCAACCGCCCCAACGTACCGAAGGACTTCAAAGAGCTGGTGTTATCCGGCGACCAGGATGAGTTCTACGGCAACAACATGTACGCCAACTATGGTGAAATCGGATCCACCATCAAGCAACTGATGGAGGAGTTCCAACGCAAGGCCAACGATCACAAGAAGGTGGAGAGCATAGCGGACATGAAGAACTTTATCGAGTCATATCCGCAGTTCAAGAAGATGTCTGGCACCGTGCAGAAGCATTTGTGTGTGATTGGCGAACTTTCGGGGCTGAGCAACAAGCGAAATCTGTTTGAGGTTTCCGAGCTGGAACAGGAGATGGCCTGTAAGGCGGAGCACTCGGCACAGTTGCAGCGCATCAAGAAACTTATAGCGGATGAAAGGGTTTCTGTCGAGGATGCTCTTAAGTTAGTGGCACTTTACGCGCTGCGATACGAGCGTCATGCCAACTGCGACACATCCGGACTGCTGCAGATCATTAAATCGCGCGGGGGACGAGCGGCGGTAGTGCCCTCTTTGATCGAGTACGCTGGAACCCATGTGCGACAGGGGGATCTTTTCAATATGGTGCGGATCACTGATGCCGTAAAACTGACCCGCAATCTAATCAAGGGCCTTAAGGGAGTGGAGAATGTCTTCACCCAGCACACGCCACTACTGAAAGAGACCCTTGAGGATGTGTTCAAGGGTCGCGAACTGGATCCCCTTTTCCCGGCTATTAATTCCGAGCTCGTGCCATTCCGACGACCACCCCAGGAGGTAGTTGTCTTCATTATTGGTGGAGCCACCTACGAGGAAGCCTTGGCCGTACACCAGCTGAACAATGCTGGATATAGGGTCATACTTGGTGGCACCACCATTCATAATTCCCAGACGTTTATCCAAGAGGTCCTGGCCGCCACTAGTGGCATCCAATTTAAGCACACTAAATCCATGATCAAATACTGTTCCACTGATAACATTTAAAACTACTTGTGACTAGCCCCAATTATATTGTTAACTATTTATTAACTATGTATGTATGTGCATAATCCATTTTCTAATCCTTTCAATTCGTCGATGGACTAATTGCTTTGCCTTAAACTTATCTAAGTATTTAGCACAGAAAGCAAGATTTGAGGAAACGATAATAAGGATTTATGATTAAGCTTATTCCATGCATTATACCCATTGAAATCCACTGCACTATGTAATCCTTAAGTATTCCATGTAATATATCTGTAAACATATTTATTATTATCCTTGAGGGCAACTAAAAGCAACGCCAAAATATGAAATGTATTATATTCTGCTCTATATGTAAAAATACTAAATGGGTACAGTTCTTGTAATTATTCCACCCTTGTAAGACATACAAGCTCCATGGCAACAGAAAGGATAACCTGGCAACGTTCCTGATTGATTGTAATTTAAAGAAGGGCTTCAGTTTTACATTGAAGAGTCTTTAATCACCATGTCCAGCACATATTTTAATGACATCTGGCATCAATCCCAGCATGAATGTGAGCTGCTGTCCACTATTGACTACGAGAGGCAGCACCAGGATGTGGAGACAACGGTGGCCACCATGAATGCTGCTGTTGGCTCTGTCGCTGCTGATGCGGATGCCAAAGTCCTGCTGCAATCGAGTCTATACGAGTTCTATCTGCGATATATCTGCTTGAGTAATCGCCTTGAGGATGTTTACGATAATGTGGGTATACGAATTTAACACTGATTATGCTCTTAAGATAAAAGGATACATCTTAAATTTATATTAAATAGTCATGTTCAACTAAAGACCCTTATCCATTCCCAAATTTGCATAGATGATCCAGCCCCAGAAACGTCAGTTGGTGCGCAAATTGCTGGATGCCTGTCTGGGTCGAGTGGTTGAGCTAAAGCACGATCTCGTGAACATAGATTTGATGGAGTTCAGCTACAACGACGACGTGGTGGAGCGACTGCGTCTGACACCAATGGAGACCGAGCTGCGAATTCCCCGATACTTTCTCCGCGAGCGGCAACAAGAGTTGGAGTTTCGCAAGAAGACCATGCAGGAGATCCTCGTAAAACTGGGCTGGCTGGAGGAGCACGAACTGGAGGAGACAGTAACCACCGAGATCGAAGCCGTACGGATGCTGCAGATGCATGAGCGAGCACGTCAGGGTCGTTTGCGCGCCCACTTTATGAAGGAAATTCGTATCCTCAAGGAGAAAGGTAAGTCTGAAGAGCGCAGCGAAAAGGAGCGTAGTGACTCCGGACTTTTGGCCGCCATGAAGATCCAGAAAATGTGGCGTGGCCACACAGCTAGGCGAATCACGCGCCGCCGTAAAATGGAGGAGATGATCCTAATTGGTATGCTCCCACCTCCTCCGGCCGTGGTTAAGGAACGGGCTGAAAAGCTGGAAAAGCTGCAGCACAACGAGAAACGCTACCAGGCGCAGGCACTTTACGGGGAACAGTTTGAGGAGAGACAGGTCGCCGTGCAGGAGGAGATCCGGGCCAAGCACGGCGCCAGCATGAAGGAGGATATCGCCGATGAGATCCGGGCCTGGGTTAAGGATTGCTACGACAAGACGGGCAAGCTGCCGGACTTTCCCTCCGAGGATCAGGGCGGCTCCCTGCACATCTTCAGCAGACCTGGAACGGAGAGCGAGCACAGCCGTTCGTCAGCACGCTCTTCCAAGGAGTCTCGGAAGACGAAAGACAAGTCTAAGTCGCCGGCGCGCAGCGGAGACCTCAACGTCAATGAAAACCAGGAGGAGGAGGTCAGTTTCCAGCCAGCGCCCTCCGTCTGCCTTCCAGACATCCGCGCGGAAATTGATCTGTAAGTAGAGAGGGAACCACTTAATTTAAGAACGTAATTACTCTTATGAAGTTACCCCTTTCCAAATTTTCGAAAACTGGCTGTGCAGAAAAGTGTCAAATAACTGCAGTTCTAGGCTCAAAATCTCTGTTCAAATCTAGGTTTGTTTTTTTGGGTCGATTTTTCGTCATTTCTAATGATGTACCCCATTTTAAAAATTTAAAAAAATGGCATTGCGGAATAGTGACCAAAAACATCACTTTAATGCCCAAAACTGTTCTTATAGTCATTCGATTTCAAAGGTGCATACTTTAAAATTATTGTGCTTTGATTCTCTAAAAATCTGTGTTCAAATCTAGGTTTGTTTTTTTGGGTCTATTTTTCGTCATTTTTATTGAAATACCCTTTCAAAATTTTTAAATAATGGCCTTGCGGAATAGTGTAAAATAACTGCCCTTCTACGCGTATAAATTTTCTTACAGACATCCGATTTCCAAGTGGCATACTTCTAAATTATTGGTTTAATGATCTAAAAATTTGTGTTTAAATTTAAATCTATTCTTGTGTTTCTCGGTCGATTTTTTGGCATTTTCATGAACTGCACTCCTTAACATTTTATATTTTATTTGAAGTTGACTTATTAGCATTGAAGGCATTCAACTAAACTATTCTTAATATGCCGCCAGCTTCAACGACACATGGCGCGACAAAGACGAGGCGGGGGTGCTGAGCCAGGCGGCCTACGAGGACATGATCTACAGCGACAAGTACCAGGAGGTGGAGCTAGAGTTTCGACGTGCTGTTGACGACGTAATGCGTCAGGAGATCGAGCTGTTGCAGACGGCGGTCGGAAAGAAAGTCAAGAAGAGCAGCAAAAAGACGCGACGCTCCGGCAAGAAAAGCAAAAAGAAGAAGGAGAAGGATCTCACGCCGGATCGCACAACTGAGTCGCTGTATGAGGAGCTGGTCACGAATGGCATTATCCGGAAATACCCGGAGCTGAAAATGAAACAGTTTCTGGGCGACAAATCGCTGACTGCTCGGAATGGCACGAATCCCTCACCGGGTGACATCCGCCAGATCCTTACGGAGTATTGCATCCTTCCGCTCGGTTCGGATGCCATCCACAATTGCACACCGCTCATACGCTCCATCCTGCTGGCTGGACCCAGGGGATCCGGAAAAAAGGCCCTGCTCCACGCCATTTGCACGGAGGTAGGAGCCGTGCTTTTCGATCTGACCCCGGCCAATATTGTAGGAAAGTATCCTGGCAAGTCGGGCCTCATAATGCTGATTCACCTGGTCCTGAAAGTGTCCCGACTTCTTCAACCTGCCGTCATATACATGGGCGATGCAGAGCGACCGTTCATGAAAAAAATTCCCAAGACTGATCGCACGGATCCCAAGCGGTTGAAAAAGGATCTGCCTAAGCTGATTAAAAACATAGCGCCAGAGGATCGTGTCATTTTTGTGGGCACCTCAAATCTGCCTTGGGAAGCTGACCAAAAACTTCTCCAATCCGTCTACAATCGGTTTATTTACATTCCACGACCGGACTACGGAGCCATGTCACATGCCTGGAAAACATTGCTGCAGTGTGTGATCCTGGTGATATTAGAGTCAAATATCTTCTAATTGTTTCCCCTTCTAACAGCGACTATTCTGGTGGCATTTCCAATCTGGACACCAGCGCCATGGCCAAAATATCAGACGGCTATACCATTGGAGCCATCGATGCCTGCCTCAAGGAGGTGATGACATGCAAGCGGAAACTGCAGCTTCGCACCCAACCGCTCACCAATGCCGAGCTCATCAATGTCCTTTGGTGGGTATATGTAACTAGAGACAATAAAGCCATTGCAATTGTTCCTGCTTACAGCTCCCGTGATCCTGTCTATCGCGAGGAAGAGGAGGCCTTCGAATCCTGGTGGTCGAAGACACCCCTGGGACGCCGTCGTCAGCGATTTTTGGAGCTGGAAGAGGAGCGCTTGCTGGAGGAGCAGGCTCAGGCTGCCAAGCAGGGAAATGGAAATAAAAAGAAGGGCCTCAACTAAAAGGTAAACATGATATTTCTCATGTTTAAGATTGGTATAAAAAGGACAATTGTGACTCGCTATATTAAGAGATTACAATTTTTTTAATTGGAATATCTACAAATTTTAGAATATGAATTATAAAACTCAAAGAATAACAGCATACACAATTAAAATAAATGTAATCCTTAAGGAACAACTAATCGAAAGGTATTAAAAAGTAATCTATAAATTTCAAAAAATATAATTACATGATTTGTTATCTACTTTAGCATGTAAGTAAAATCCTTGTTGCCAGTTTTCAAGCGCACTTCAGTGACGGCCAGAGGGAGAGTGTCCTGATCTTCCAGGAGCTCTTTGAGTTCCTTCAGCTTGTTATTTAGCAGTTTCTCCTGGTCACCTACGCACCAAAGGAGACTAACATGGAAAGAGGCCGGAACGTAGAACTGCTGCAACCGGTAGTCGAGCAGCACCTGGTCTATGGGCTGCAGGATACAAGACATCTTTTCCGTAAAAGCACCATCCAAAGGGGCGGCAATGAATGTTCTGGTTCGCTCTTCGTTTGTGTAGATCCGCAGGCCTTGTAAAGTGGCAGTGAAGCTAAACGCAAAGGTTCTTGAAATAGAGTTTAAAGTACTTTTAAAGGATTGAGGTACTTACCTTGTGGAGCTGTTAAGAGCTGCTTGCAGGGATCGTGAAAACTCATCTATCTGATGGTACTGGAGCACCACTGTTCGACTCAGACTCAGATGAAGTGACTCATTGGCCTGCAGTTCCAAGTGGGGCGCCAAATGGGCTATGGCCTCGGCTTGGAACTCCTCCAGCTGCTCGGCACAGGCAGTTGCCGGCACATAGACGTAGGTGGCCCAGTTTCCTCGCTCGTGCTTGAAGCTGCGAATGCGACCGCCATGTAGAGCCGGATCATCCACTACATCGTCAGCAAACTCCTCGGCTTTCGGCTTCTTGGGGCCCAACAGTGCGGCAGCTGTGGGCAGAGCAGGTCTTCAGCGGTTTAAATGTAGAAATCTACGGGTATTTCAGTTTTCACTTTACCTTTTGAGAATGTTTATCAACGTGGGTTGAGTGATTTTAGAAGATTCTTCATCTTCAGAGGCAGAGGAACTGCTGCCACCATAGTCAACAAGAGCCATTTTATTTAAAACTTATTAACTTTCTACTAATTTGGAAAAAAAAATAATATTTGCCAAGAAATTGCCGGTTTTTATTTACACTTATCGATTAAACCAAAAAATTAGTGATGAAAATGTAGCCTTTTTTTTCCCATCAGCTGATTTAAAAAAGTTTTGCTAAGACTTTCAAGAACAATTTTATTACAAATTTGAAACCACGATTTTTAACTAATCTTTTTAATTATTCTGAAGGGATTTCAAAATGATTTTCCAATATTTCTTTTTAGCATGTGTAATCGATACCAGGTAAATTATTAACCGTTAAGCCCCTTAAATTTGAAAATATTTTTGTACATTCAGACTAGAAAAAAGATTTATTTATTTACAAAAAAATCTACAGAAATGCATTTTGATTTATTACAAACTAGCTTCAATGGCTAATTTTGTCTCGCCAGTCTTCTCCAACTTTGACTGCTCCCACCTGTAGTTGTAGGCCCGACCCAGTTGGAAGAGCTGCGTCAGACTCACAAAGAGATTCACAGCGAACAAGCTGTAGTTCTTTGGAATGATAACCAGGGAATAGCGCGTCCATATGAGGTTCGTTGCTCCAAGGGCCAGACATCCGTTGGGTGAAATTGTGTCTGCAGGACGCGTCAAATCACTGAGACCAGCGATAACGAGGCTCTATAGTATGAAATTGAATGAGTTCGGAGATTAGTAAGATCAGGCTGATAATACAGGGTAAGTCCCCCCATTGACTGCAAATCTCTATCGTATGTTGCTAAAGCTCTCTCCTAGGCAAAGCAACAAATATTATGAAATATTCCACAAAAACCGCAAACTCATTTAGTTATCAGAAACTCGCGCGTGGGGACGAAAAAAAAATATATTAATTTATCGCGTTGAACAGGTTGCGCGAAATAAACAAACAATAATAAAACACAATATGCTCCCACAGATTTGTTTATCAGCTTGGCGATAATGAAAACTGGCTAAGGACGCAGGGCTCAGAGTTATATAACAGGCTCACGACGAACTTACCCATTTAACGATAGGACCCCAGAAGAATATGGTCTTTGGACCTATGGTGAAAAATCCGTAAAAATATTTTTTAATTTGCGAGTTACCACTTATATTACCTGCTGGGTGCATCCATAAGGGTCGCATCTTGGCGGGCACATATTTGTCACATGCTCCAATTAGTCTATTATAAGCCCTGGAGTGAAGGCCCTTTCCTGATGAAGCTGGTGCAGTAGAAGGAGGAGGGGGTGGAGTGGCAGACATTTTGGCCGGAAGATAGATCCTTGCTACTGCAACCTCCAAACAATCGAAGATGTAAAGAGAAACTGATGTAGTTTCGCAAATCGGGAGGGATGTTATTATAACCTACCTCTAATTAAGTTGTGTATGGGGTTATTGATTCGAAGCGATAGAACAGCACTCAACTGGGGATGCGATAAAGTTCCACTGTTCCAGGTGAGAAGTAAAGTGCCTATTAAAGTCTGGGGCACAACAGCTCCAACGAAGCGTCCATCGACAACTGAGCTTTCAGAAAAGTCCGGGGTCCATACACATATGTTTATGTTTCTCTAGTATTATTAGCTTAGAGACCCTGTTATCATCAGCATTATCAACTACTAGTGGCTGGTGCCAGCCCCTCTTTTCTCATTTTATATTAGCCGTAAAAAAAATATAAAAACAAGCTAGCTGAACGTATAAGAGTTATTAGCAATGTTCGCTAATTTATATTGCCCTAGGTGAGATATTTACGTAAAGCTTTTTATTTGCTTATTACTAATTAGTATTTGTAAGACTATTTCTGAAAAGCACATTGCTCAACAAATGTGCACATGGCGTATACATGATGTCAATTTAGTCCGGTTTTAAAAAAAACTTTAGGGTTCATCCGTAGCAATGAACACTGCCTGCATATTTGTAAAAGAGAAATTAAGCTTGCAAAATAAATTCTGTTTTCTCTTGTAATAATTAAATCTATTTTGTTTACATATATCTTGTGACATGTTTGTTTTTCAGTTATACCATAGTAACGATAGTTACTATTACTTTAATAAAAAAAAAAATGAGAGCAACCGGAAATAAATTTAAAAAAACCTATCCTAAACTTTTAGAAAAGAATTTTTTTTTATAAATTCAAAATAATAAAATTTGCATTTTTATTTTAAATTTGTACACTCTGAAATATAGTCATCAAAAAATTAGATCCATGAATTAAAACAAAGTTAGAATTTCTAGTTTCTACAGTCTTACAATATATTGGTTTATTTGTTGACAATCACAAAATGTCCATTTATTCTCGTATTCATAAAACTATACGCAAAGCCTCCACAGTTCCAACTTAAGTAATACGAATCACGTCGATAAGGCAATAGACCATAAATAATAATGGTAACAGATTGTAAAACGCAGATGCCGGATCTGCGAACACAGCTCCCTCTTAATCCTTTCGTTTACGTTGTGCGTTGTGGGATTTGTAGTATGTACATAACATTTCGATCTAAGTCTATGTAAAGGGGACAGCACCGGTATTCGATTCGATATGTCTCTAATTCTGCGCCGCCGGCTGCACCTGCTTCAGCTTCTCCTGCTCCTGATGGTAGTGGTAGGCCCGGGCCAGCTGCACCACCTGCGTGATGCCCACAAAGAGATTCACGGCGAACAGGCTGTAGTTCTTGGGTATGATCACCAGCGAGTAGCGTGACCAGATGATGCCCGTGGCAGCCAGGGCTGCGCATCCGGACACGGAGATTGAGTCGGCCGGACGGGCCAAGTCACTTAGACCGGCGGCAACGAGACCCTATAAGAAGAACACAAGTAGTGAAGTTAGTAGGCATTAAAATTTTACTATTTGTTATTTATAAATATTGTTTAAAATCATGTTAGATCATTAAAAAAGGTAATAAAATAATATCGGCGATATTGATCTGTAAATCCAAACCAACATTTTAAACAATTTTTTTTTTTTGTTTTGGGAAATATGAAGATTAAAATATGTATATATCTCGGCATTTTTGTTTCTTATGGAATTTGTATGGTTCGTCGAGTCGCAAAATCAGACAGCTATATTTAAGTATACATGGCTGCTATCAAAATAGACATAAACAAACGTAATACACTTTTTGCAGATGGCTGTTAAAACGTATATAAAGGGGTGAATAAGAATCTGATATTATTGAAGCTTCCCCAGCTGTATCCCGGAACCTTTCCATATATTGTTCCATAATTGAAACCAACAATCGCAATCCGCTCACAAACACGAACGCGAACAGTTATCAGGCGCAGGTTGCTCGGAATAATCAAATAATTTCATTTAATGGCACCTGCGCACAGATTTGTCTACCGTCGTTTCGGATTTATTGCGAACGAATGTATGTGTGCGATAATGAAAATCAGCGAAGGTCGCCCGCTGTCCGAGTTATGTAATCCTTCCGTCTGGTTTCTGTCAACTTACCCACTTGAAAACGGGTGCCCAAAAGAATATAGTCTTGGGACCTGGAAATAAAATGCGAATTAGGAGGGGATTCAGGTAGGTAAAAAGATGACTTGACCTACCAGCTGGATGCATCCACAGTGGGCGCAGCTTGGCGGGCACAAATTTGTCGGCGGCCCCAATCATCCCATTGTACAGCTTGGAGTGCAGACCCTTTCCGGCGGAGGCGGCGGCCGTTGGTGGTGGTGGGGGAACTGGTGGGGGTGGCTGAACGGCGGCAGATGACATTCTGTTATTTGTGCGAAAAATTCCACGGGCGATGATAATTTATGCGTCCAAACTCGTTAGCTGGCAATCACAAAATAAAATCTCCTATGAAACGCTAAACAACAAAAGCCTCAAAGCTTTGCGGGAGAGAGAGAGAGAGAGAAAGAGAGGGGCGCACCCACACACCCACAAAGGCAAACAGCTGAGAGGTCTAACGTGTTTAATTTAACACGTTCAGGAAATATATATGTGTATGTATGTATGTACAAACATATGTAAGTACAACTCGCTCTTGACTTTCTAAAAATGTGCTTAAATTGTACATTTCTATATTTAACAATTATGTACATATAACTTTATAGTTCCCGATGGGAAGTTTATTAGCTGCCGCAAAACATCCTTGACCTTGAAGAGAGTGTGCCAATTTCCGCAGCTAAATGTTGACGGAAGCAAGTGTCTGAATTAAATGCAGCGCTACTTATACAAATGCAGAATATCTATAAATAGCCCGTAATTGCAAGTTTTTTTAAAGAGTCACGCGATACTAGCGATGAGTAATTGGTCAAGTATCTGGGGATTTGAAAATAAAAAAATGTAAATGAGAACGATTTTGAACTTTTATGTAGAGTTAAAAACTTGAAAAATATTTAACTTTAAACACAACAAATTACACAATAATATAATTTTATTATTACTCTATATAGTTTGTGATCTCTATTTCCAGTGTTAAGAAACGAGCAACTTGCATAAAAATACAACATGTAGATAAACCATATTACCCGTATCAATAAATAATACATATTTGCAAAATTTGAAACCGTTTTCCTTAAAAACTTTATATCTTAATATGGAATTTATAAATAAAACTTTAAATCTTTAATAACAAATTTGTTCTGACATGTGATGTATACGTTCATGTAGAGCATATGTAAGCAGGATGTAATTATATCAAAAGTTCCAAAAACAACCGCCAGTTTTTTTTAAATACGTGTGAATTATTAAACAATTATTTGCATTTCATTTTTACTGCTTAATTTGAAATTGCTTAAACGCGCACGCACTGTATTAGCCAAATAAACGTGATTGATGAATAGTATAATTTTTTACTGAAGTACTCACCTAAAGATAAGAATATTCGGTGATTGCAAATGAGTCATCAATCCAAACGCTTTTAATATCAAACACCAAATGGGAAAACGCCCAGACTCTTCTGTTGCAACCCCTCCCACTTGTGTGGGCGATCCGATTGTTTATAAATATTTGATCTGTTTCCTTAACCAAACTGTTTTTTTAGCTGCCCCTGGAGTGGTAGACTGCAATTGCGCATTAATGGGAAACGTGCTCAAGTGACGCACTAGCTTAAATAAATGCTAATTATCAGCAACTCGGCCGACACCTCAAATGCCTGGCGTTGAAACGCGAAACGGCCAGACACACTTGTGCTTATAGTTTTCTGCCTGGAAACAAAACCATGAGTGGCCTCTTGCTTTTATCGTTTTCATGTTAGAAATGTATACATATGTAATTTCAATTACAAATCAAAAGCGTACATATTTAAATTATTCCATATAAATCAAATAGTTCTACATTGTTTTTGAAATTTTTTTTTTTTTCATTCCTGTGTGTATATATTTTGGATGAACTTTAGCAGTCATTCCAATCGGGTTAGTCCTTGCATTGCACAGCCACACACCCACAAGTGTGTGTATGTCTGGAGTTTGTAATTTTGATAACACAGAATTGAGAGAAGCTAAAACGACTGCAGCGGATTATCCGTTGTGTATCCTTCCGAGTTCCTATCCTTGTTCCTAAAAAGAACACGGCTGTCTAATTGCTGCTGTGTGGTGGACAAATTATAATGCTATTATTATGTGAATTGGTTGGCGGCTCGTCGGGTTTTCATACACAAGAGATTGTGTACGGATAAACGCCAAATTATGTGTGTTGCACGCGTTTGGTTTTCACTTTACTGCTACGGCGGCTGCCTTCGGATTGGATCGTTAAAAGTTGAATGAGTTCATTGGTAGTTTATCGGCATTCGGGTCGAAGTTGTATTGTGTGCCGTCGGAACTGGGTGCCATGTTAGCCTGTTCGCCCTGTTAAATTTAAAATGGTTTAAAAATCGATTATACATAAGATCGACTCTTCACTCACCTCATCCGTAAAGTATTGATCGATGATTTCATAAGCTAATTTGTAAATTTCAACGTTCTCGTGGCTCTGCAGCCGTTCGATCTTGGCCAGACCCTCGCATTCCTCAATAAAGTTGGCCACCGCCTCGACATGTGAATCGGCCACTTTGAGCATATTGTTCAGGCCATCAAGAACAACCTGTTAGAAAGAGAAACATTAAGTTATCAGTTTGCATATGGCACGCCAATAAGGTTAATTTAAAATGATATTTCTGGAAATTTATCCGACTAACAAATAGTCCCTTACATTGATAACTTGCGTATCCTGGCACGATAGGAGATCACAGAAGGGCGGAATAACGCCCTCCTTGATCAGGGTGAAGACCTGTTCCCTGTTGCCGCTGATGGTCAGATTGCTGATGGCCCAGGCGGCCTCCTTCTGTGTCTGGAACTCGCCCTTGCTCAGGTTCTCAATGATTTTGGGCAGCAGACCTACGTTGATAACGGCCTGCACCTGCGATTGGTTTCCTGCGGTGATGTTGGAAAGGAACCAAACCGCCTCCTTGCGAATCTTCTCCTTGGGATGCGAGAGCAGGGCTGGGAAATACGAGAGCGCGTCGTAGTTGAGCACAACTTGTGTCTGCTCATCGGAACCGGTCACAATATTGCCGACGGCTCGCAGTGCTGCGGTTTGCACCTTGACCTCATTGTTTCCCAGCAGCGGTATCAGCTTGGGCACCACCCCGCTCTCGATGACCATCTGGATTTGCTCGTTGCCGCCGTCAGTCAGATAGCTAATAGCCCACACCGTGTCCACCAGAATGTTCGTGTCGGTGTGATGGATGAGCACGTTGAGTGCAGGCAGGATCTCGTGGATGGTGGCTGCCGGTGGCGGCGGATCCTTGTTGCGGCACAAGTTCACAATCACCCAGGTCACATTGCGCAAGAATGAGATGGGGATGTCAGGTTTGATAAACGACAGCAGTGGCTGGACAACGCCGTGCTTAATGACAAAGTCGCGAAGCAAAGGACCATCGCCAATGATGTTGCCCAAGGCCCAAACGGCTTGTTCGCAGACGTTCGGAGCGGGCGAGTTGAGAAGTTGAAGGAAGAGTGGCACGGCGCCGGCGGCAACAACCTAAAGAGGATTACCATGCATTAGAACAAAGAAAAAGCAGCGAGAAGAAGCTGAACCCACCTGATTTGTCTGGTCCGAGGTGCCGGAGGCAATGTTGGTCAGGGCCCAGGCGGCCTCGAACTGGAGCATTGTGTGATTGTGTTGTTTGAGGCACTCTACCAGGATGGGAAGAATGTCGCTTTGGATCAGATCGTTGATGGGTGGATTCTTGTCCGAGGAGAGCAACTTGCGGGCAGCCTGGACAGCGGCTAGCTGCTGCTCCGGCTTGGTGGCGTCAGCGGCTGCCTGAGCGAGCTTCTTCAGGTTGATAGACGTGGGCAACTGCTCGTCCTCGTCTGTGTTGGAGTCCAGATTGGGTACATTGCGCCTCTTTAGGATGGTCTCTTCGCGCTTGTTCTTTCGCAGTTCCACGGTAACTTCATTGCGGCGACGTCGCATTTCCTGCAAATTAAGCAATGTTAGTTTTCGTACAAGATACTCAAACTTCGGACCACTTACATCCTGGTCTTTCCCTTTGTTTTTGAAATTTTGCAAACGGTTTGGCTCCAAAGACGTCATTTTCGGTCCGGTTCTTGGTTCTTCCTAATTGCCGCTTCAATAAGAGGCCGCAACTGCGTTTGGCTGGTTAAAAATGCGTAAGCTAAAAATCAATTATGCGTGGAGATGGCGACGTACGCCTCCTGAAGAATTTCGTCGGACAATTAACAATTTGTTTCAATTGCACACCAGCCAACGGAAAAATTTAATCGCACGCACACCAACGCGCACAAAAGAAGAAATAACGTACAATCGACCAACACAGTTGCAGAACAGCACGATGGCGCAGGCGACGAAAAAAGAAATGGCGAAAAAATACACGAAAATTAGCAACGCCACTGGCAAAAAATGGCTTTCTCCATCTCCTCTGCACTGGGTACTTACGTTTGCAGCTTAAAAATTGCGTTTCTCCCACGACACTGACACTTTCTACGCCTTTTAAAAGTGATCAATTTCTTTCCTTTTTTATAAAAATTGCAGTTCGTGAGAGCGACGTGAGTGAAGTTGGCTGCGCTTCGGAAATCGGGACTGCCCACTTATAGGCAGGGTCGATTGCAACGCCAATCGACAGATCTGAGGCGACTTCCATTTTTTTAGCCTTTTTTTGGAGGTCACTCAATAAAAATATAGCAAAGTTCTGGTTTTTAATAACATATTTTAAAAGTGCTTAGGATCGTTTTATCCTGTTCATAGTAAGCTTAAAATAGTTTTAAGCTGTGAAAAACGGAAACCAATTGTTTAAAGCTGTTAGCTTCGAAAAAAAAACTCAGGAGCTATAGCTTAACTAAATCAATATAAAAAAAGAAGTATATAAAATTGAAAACAATTAATATTTGGATATGAGAACAAATTTTTAAGACCACTCCATCTATTAGCTTTTTTAACGGAGTTTTTGTCACCCAGTAGTTTCACTCATCCCTAAGAATCTACCGATGCCATTGACCAGCAATGGGTCATCGTTACCATCAAGAGTGTCATCACTATTATTGAAACCCTTCTGTCCAGGCGTGCAAAAAACAACATTTAAGCCCGAAAAGCAAGGAAATTGCCGTTCTGTGGCGGGATTCCAATAGCATGCATGGACACTAGGACTAGCCACCTCCAGCCAAAGCGCAATGACGGAGAATACAGAGAAAGCGGCGGGGGTGGAGCCGCCGCAACTGGCGGATTCTCAACCAAATCCTCCGGAACAGGAGACAATTAAGGTGAAGAGCGAGCAACCGGACGCGGAAGTGGAGGCGAAGCTCCGGGCCCTGAATGCCAAGTTCAAGGCGGACGCAATGGCCCCGCGAGAGAAGAGCAACAGCAATGATCTGCGCAACGAAACGGATGACAGCGAGAGTTCCATCTCGACGGAGGACAAGAAGGCGATTGAGCCGGTGAAGTCCTCCAACGAGATCCTGGCAGAGCTATTCGGCGTGTTTAATGCCGCTCCTCCAGAGGAACTATTAGACGACAAAAATCTGCTTAAGAAAAAAAAGAAGGTCAAGAAGGAGAAGAAGGATAAGAAGGAAAAGAAGGCCAAAAGGAAGAAGCCCTCCAGGTCGGATGGCGAATGCAGCGACTCTGAGGCGGAGGGCAAGCACAAGCACAAGCGGAAGAAGCACAAGCACAAACACAAAGAAGGCAAAGACAAGGATCGGGATAGGGACAAATCGAAGGAGAAGGTTGTACCAGCAGTTGTTCCCGCTGAGAAGGAGAAAGAAAAGTCTGAGAACAGGAAGCGGATCGCTGTGGATTCTATTAATCAGGCGGATTCCCATCCTATCAAGCGGGAACGGCATGAAAGGGACAAGGAACGCGATCGGGACAGAGAAAGGGAGCGTGAAAAGGAGCATGTCCGCTCCCACAACAGCTTTTACAATGGCCACCGGGAATCGGATCGCTCGAGAGGATCGGAAACTACCAGGACCAAGTCACGGCAGGCGCGCGACCTCTCCGATGTCTCGCTCTCCGACGAGGAGTCCTACCTTCGTGAAAAGGCTTCAAATGGCCGGCGGCGACTCCACAACAGCTTTTACGATGGCAAGGAGGACCCCAAGGATTCACCCAAGCGAAACGAGCGCGTATCTAACTCCCGAAATAGTCGTAGGTCAAGATCACGCTCCCACGAGCTTGTGATCGACAAGAAGCGTCTGCTGGAGATCGCGCGCAAGAACGCCATCACAATGTTCAAGCGAGGAACTCTGCCTGGCGTGGCCGACATGACGCCGGAGATCAAAGACAAGGTGCTGGTCAAGATGCGCTACGGTGGACGCACTGTTCAAGATTTGACCGACTTCTGTAAGAAGATCTCCAACGGCGATGGACTGTCAGATCTAAGCTCCGATGAAGATTCCGATGTGGACAAAAATGGCAATGCTAAGGCTTTTCATCATCCCTTTCAGCTGAAGGAGAGAGAGCCTATTGTGATGCATATAAGAAACTCCACGGCGCTGGTTCCAGCACAGCCCCGGCAGGACGACCAAACGAAGGCCATAACCATGCAATTTCCGGTGTCCTCGGGGCAGACCCATCGCATGAACGAGGTGTGGGTGCCGGTGGAGCGCAAAGATTCGCTGGTGCCACTGCCATCTCTACCGCCGGCCAAGCAGGCAACAAATATGTTCAAGGAAACACCGAAGAACGTCTTCGCCAAGTCGATGCCTTCGCAGGAGCAGCAAGAGCCCGCCTTCAAGTCGTTGGAGGGAGTGCCTGTAGTTCCTGCTGCAGCTGTAGCCCCAACTCCCGCTGTTCCTCAACCCGTGCCTCCGCCCCTATTAAATGCGAAAGTTCCTGCTCCTCCGATCGCCGCTACTCCCTTTGTTCCGGAGGTGCCCATCCCATCGATGTCTCCAGTGTCGCCAGCGCAAAGTTCCTCCATTTTTCCGGAGGTGACGTCGCCTTCCATGGATGTCTCTAGCATAATCACCCAGCGACTTAGTGCCATTCGCCGCCTGCAGGTGAGGTCGCTTTTAAATAATTGTATGTAAATTGAAGATAATTTTGTTGTCTACTTCAGGACAACCCGGGGGACTCTGAGGCTCTGAAAATGATGTACAACGCGCAGCGCAACATGTCGTCGTGGGCCAACTCAAAGCATCTGCCCGGACAATTCACAGGCAGCACGGGTGCCCAGGTGATGAAGGCTCACGAGCTCAATAGCGGTCCCCAGCTGTGGGTGCGCAAGGACCAAATGACCTCCACTAAGCCGGTCACCGGTGGCATGGGAATGGCTCTGCTGCAGAAGATGGGCTGGAAACCGGGAGAGGGACTGGGCAGATGTAAAACCGGATCCCTGCAGCCACTTCTGCTGGATGTCAAGCTGGACAAGCGCGGCCTGGTGTCGCGCGAGGACCTGAAACCGCCGCCAGCACGACAGTCAGCCGCCCAACGGAGGAACAAAAACGCATCCGGACCTGTTGGAGGCTGTGGAACTGCAGGACCGGGTCCAGGATCGGGACCAGGTCAGGGAGCGGGGACAGGAACGCCACTAGTCACCCAGGACAAGCATCCCGTGTGCGTGCTCAACGAAATGGCCTCCAAGAACAAGTGGACGCCGCCACAGTACAATCTTCGCCAGGACATCGGTCCTGCCCACAACCGCTCCTTCCTTTTCAGCGTAGAGATCAACGGACAGACTTACACGCCGGATCGAGGATGCAATAACAAAAAGGAAGCTAAGCTGAACGCGGCCACGTTATGTTTGCGAGCTTTAGGCATCCTTCCGCCCAGTTAGTAGCGGGGCCTAGGGCTAGGATAATTTCTAGATAGTAAGTAAACTAGCGTCCCGAATCTGTACATAAAAGTAGTGTTAAACCTCAGCTGTATAGTGGTGTTCGTCTGCATTGGGAGATAGGCTAATACCCGTTGTCGTTTCCTCGCAGAGAATATATGCAAAAATAAGTTTGCATTTTGCATGAATTATTTAAGTTTTATTTTCTTTTCAAACATATCAATTTTTTTTTAAGTCGCGGAAAAATTTGTACGTTTTGAACCCTAACTTATGACAAAATAATAAATTTTGTAGAAATGTCAACCAATTTTTCTAAAATTTGAAAATAAAGCATTGAAAGCAAGAAATAGAATTAGTAAGGGCCAACATTTTGAAGAAATTCCAAGTCCTTGAGAATTTTATTTCGCGATTGGTGTAATATTTGCACTTCCTAGACAAATGTTTAACAACTATAACAATGCCATCAGTGATTTGAGCTTAGTATCCTCTTCTCATAGTATTTTCTTATAGTACATAATATGTATTTATTATTTAAAGTTTAACCCTCTTATTGTAGAAAATTTTGTGTTTTGTCTTATTAAACCTTACTTTTTATTTGAAAGTATAGTTATTTCCAGTGTCATCCCATCTTAACGGTTATCCGTTAGATTTAAAGTTTTCGGAGAAGAACTTTCACGAGAGAGAGTGGGAGTAGGAGTAAAAGTGAGAGAGAGCGAGCTTTAATCGACAGTGGGCCACATTAAATTGGAGCACGGGGAGTTCGCTAAACCCTGTGATTTGGCCACAATTCGCCCCACTGTTACAAAGTAGGCTTGCAGTTTTCGCACGCGAGCTTTGATTATTGCTGCTAACGGGGCTTTTGCGCAAGTACACAAACAAACGAACAGCTGACTGGGTCGAACAGTGGGGCTTATTAAATCTCGCGACGCTGCAAGTTCCAAAAGATTGCTCCTCGACGAAGGTCAGTTCACGCGGAAGCTCGAACTTCGTCGGATGGCGAGCACGGATTGGAATAGCTAGGCAGCAGGACGGGCCAAGAAGAAGCAGAGGTCGTCACCCGGATACAGACAAAACTTTTTCGAGTGCCCCAGTCCCTGTCGCAACCCCACACAGCATCCAATCCAATAAACGTGCAAAAATATTTGTTGTGAAAATAATATCCATCGTACAGATGCTTTTGAGCCACTGCGATTGGGGATGTGGCTGCGGATTTGGCTGTAGTTTTGGATTCGGCACAAGCAAACAGTCAACGTATGTAATTCGTAGAGTTGCATAATTACAACACATGAATGGCTGGCAAACCAAATTTGGGCGTTGCAGTTGCAATTGCAATTGCCGTTGCATATTGCTGATGCACTGCCGCATTTTCGCTGGCCACTCTGCTTGTGACTGCCGCCATGGAAACGTGTCGCACCTGTGCGATTTCCATGTTTGTGTGCGACTTTGAGAATGGCAGCAACAACAGCCACTTCCTGGACATCCAACACCCCAACTGCTGGCCAAGCGAAATGGCCCAAATACGACTGCAGTTTGTCAACTGGAATCTGAAGGTGAGTTGAGTGCACCGAATGCAAGATCAAGAACAGATGTCTCCGTATCAGTTTTTGCCCTTTTCAAATTGTATATAAAGATAACATACTTGGCTAAGCTCTCTTTTTAAAAGTTCACGTTTGAACCAAAATAAACAAATATAGAAAGTACACATTTAAAATAAATATTTTTTTTACTGTGTGGAGTGATTGTTGCTGTCTTATGAAAAACTTTTCGTAAGTGAAAGTTTGTGTGTGGGTAACGTTTGGCATTAAATTGCGCTGAGGTTTTTGTGAAACAAAGCCATGAAAGCCACTTGGGGTTAAATTAAGCACAACTTGGTCAATTTCATGGGAAATAGTCAATCTCCTGAAAAGTCCATTGTCCATAAAGGTAAATGAAACGAATTTGATGTCTTGCTGATGATGGTTTTTTGTAATGATGATGGCAGGAACAGTACTTGTACCCTCTGTACATACATACATTACACAGGTTAACAACAAAAAAATGCATGAGCCATTCCTGATATTTGAATACTCTTGATTAAAGTCCCATGCGAACATATGTATGTTCCATTATTCGTAAAAATTTAAAAAAGTTTTATTTCGTGTTCCTTTGTTCCTTTCTTAATCGATAAGTATATTTAAACAAGCGCCCGAACGATTTCGTACGCAATCCAATGAGTTTCCATTAAAATTAGATAAATAATAAATTTAAAAATACAATGTACGACTTATTTCAGATCTCACCTAATGACGGATTGCCTCAGAAGATCTGCAGCGACTGCTTCACCAAGTTCTGCTCGATAAACGCATTCCGAGTGGCCTGCCAGGAGGCGCAGTTGAAGCTGTCCAACATCTACGACAAGATCGACGCCAGCAGCCTGGATGATGAACAACAGGAATATGTGGACCAAGAGGACGAGCATCAGGGAACAGAAACAACCAAACCAACAACGACGGTTTCAGCCGAAACACAACCAAACACTGCCACTGACCCCATAGAAATTTTTGTGGATGCCGTAGACATCGACGAGGAAGAGGAGGAGGAGCAGGATGACGAAGCTGAGGAGAAACCGCTGGAGGAAGCTGTTCGTCCCGAACTGACCATTAGCTATGCCTGCAAGTTCTGCCTGCGGCCGCAAGAAAGCTACCAGCTGCAGCAACTTTTGCTGGAACACATCAACGCCAATCACGATCCTGAGCAGCCGTACAATTGTCCGGAGTGTGAGGCCTGCTTTCAGGATGCCGCCTCGAGGACCGTTCACCTGAAAAACAGCCACGTGGAGAAGCAACACGCCTGCGAGGTATGCGGCAAGAAGTACGGCGATCGGCACAATCTGCGGCACCACGTCGAGAAGTACCATTCGGAGACGGACTTCGAGTGCGGGCTTTGCGAGAAGCGCTTCTACACCCGCAAGAGCCTCAACTACCACATGAAGTGGCACAATCCGGACCGCCAGTTCAAGTGCCGCCACAGCGGCTGCGAGCGGCTCTTTATCAGCCAGCGCCATCTCATGTGCCATGAGGCCACCCACACGGGCACCACCGCAAGGAAGAGCGAGCACTGCGGCTTCTGTGGAAAAAGTACGAATAATCACAATTTATATATTTATTTTTTCTTAAATTAAATAGCCCGATGTTAAATCTGCGATAGGAGTCTTACCCTAAATCTCCTATTCTTAGAAAATGAAAACCTGCTGTGATGGTCCGAAGAAAATGGGTGTTTCGTCCATGTCCATGACTCAATCTTTCTTAATTTAAATTGAAAATAAACTTTTAACTTATCTTTTTTGTTGAATTCTGATAAGACAATAATTGAATGTTTTATAACACATTTTAATTAAATTTATATAACTCTTTATTGAATGTCCCCAGCATTTATACATTTGAAGACCCTTCGCTGGCACATCTTTAGACAACACGGCGGAGAAAAGCCCTACAAATGTGCCAATTGCACGGAGGGTAAGTGAAGATCGGCCTGCAGGAGGATCCTCCGGATCGTGGCCACCTACACAGGATCTTCCACACCTTTGAAAGGGGTGTTGGACGATCCCTTTACTCAAAACTTTTCACGAACATGAGCATTAACCATATATCAATCTGTCGCATCATCGAACATTCTCACATCCAACAAGCGCTTTAAGATCATAGATACTGAGCCAAGTCCGGCTGCTTCTGCCGCCTCTAATAGTGTGTTAGTCAAGCCTAAAGCAACGGTAAACATAATGGCTAACCAAGCTCTTTTTGTACACCTTTTTAGCCATCGCATGCGATTAACGAACAGCAAACGTTTTGTAATTTGATTTCCTCTTAGCCACTTGATTAGCGTTTTAACCCATCAAACCAACCAACCACTGCATAACCAACTCCATTCTCCGAACGAAACCCCGGAGAGCAGCATGCAAGCAATTACATAATTAATCGTCCTTAAATAAGGAAGTCGATACAATATTTAAAATTATTATTTCTTAATTTAAATCTAAAACTCAAATACATATTTCTTCCTTTAAAAGGTCTAAGAATTTATTTCAAAATCAGATTAATTTTCATTTTTGTCATTTATTCACTTTACTGATCTACTAATGGTTTTTATTTACGTAAAATTAATTTAATATTGTATCAGAAGCCTAAGACGACTTCCAATTTCAGAACGATACAATTTTCCGAGTGCATATGTTTCTACTTCATGACACCCTACGACTAGCCACCCTTTAATCTTGAATAGATCACTACCAAACTTAGGTCTCCTGACTCCACAGTTTTCGCATCCTATGCGGAGAAGCGGATTCACATGCTGGAGCGGCACAGGGAGAACCTAACTCCCATCGAGCGAAGCGAGTGCATGCTGTGCCGTCAACCCTTTTCCAGCGAGCAGGATCTAATCCACCACATGTCCGTGGAGCACCTGCAGGGTCCTGCAGCTCCGGTGATCGCCAACAACAAGCGGGTGCTGCAGCAGAAGCGGGAGCGCCAGTACTCTGGACTCTTTCAGTGCGGCAGCTGCACGCAGCGGTTCAACATGAAGTCGGCGCTGGAGCGGCACGCCGCCGTCCACTCGGAGAAGGACCGCCCCCACGCCTGTCCGCAGTGCTCCAAGCGGTTCAAGCGCGCCCAGGACATGAAGTGGCACATCAAGACGCACGAGAAGGAGAAGCCTAATGTGTGCGATGTCTGCGGCAAGGCCTTTGCCCTCAAATATGTTCTTACTCAGCACCGGTTGAGTCATGAGGGTAAGTGAATAAATATAAAATAACCATACATATGTCATAAAACACTGAGGAAAACGTAATCATTAAACAAATCTTATGGTTTTCAGATTTTAAGATTAAAAGTCAAGAAATATTGAAATAATGGAAAATTATCTCCCATTATTTGCAGTCTTGGAGAAGAACTTCAAGTGTAACGTTTGCGGTCGGTCCTATCTGTTTGAGAAATCTTTGCGGCTGCATCAGCGGGTTCACACCGGCAAAACCTACTACAAATGCGATGTCTGTCAAGAAAGATTTGTCACGCACATTAAGCTTAAAAGTAGGTATGGAAAACGATTTACAAACAACGTCTAATGAGATAAAAATCATTTCCAGCTCACATGCAAAAGACACACGCCTCTCAGCCACACTCTGCGGACCACCCTCTGGATGATCTGATCAACATTGTGATTTCCTAACCAAGTGGAACAGCAAAGATTTCTGTAATAGCCAAGCACAACGCAGAAACTGTATTGCATTGGGAGTGTAGCTCTCGGAAACTACAGAATTCGAACCTACATACATAGACCATACCTTCCATCCAACCACTAGACCATATGCACACACCGATCTTTGAGTCGTAAATGTGCTTAGAGCTTTATTTAGAATACTTCGTAGGCAAATATTTCTATATATCCAATATATCTCTGACGTTTTCTTCAATCAGTCCTTAGGCCACTTAAGCCCCATATCTCTTTCTATCTCTGATCCATTCTAATCTCACAGAACGCCTGTCACGCTCAAGCACATCTATTCACTTGACCATTTAGCGATACGCAATAAGCAATGAGAACAAAAAACAAGTTATAAGAGCAATTTAAGCTGAACGGCAAAATTTTTAGTGCTCAAGAAATGCATTTATTACCAGATGAAAACCGAGAAGTATTTACAATAATTACCAAAAATGTATAAGAATATTTAAAATATCAATATACTAAGGATTTTAATATATGTAGTTGAAGATATATTTACCAAATTCATGTTCCAAATAAACATTCATTTGAAAAAAGCTTACAATTTTGTTTTTGAATTTGGCGGCAGCTATCGATAGAAAAGCTAACAAATAGCTAGAAAGTTACAGCTATTAATAAATTAATTTTTTATAAAGATTTTAAAAAATATAGTTTATTTTCTAATTAATAACTGTTTATCTTACGCCATTTAAAACTGAATTTTTAAAATTGGCGGACAGTGTTTATTTTTAAATAGTTAAATAATTCTGTCTTTAAGGTCGCAAGTGCTTTGCCATCACTGTCACCGCCCACACTCGATAGTTGCGACTCGTGACTCCCGTCAAGAATCCGTGAGAAGTATTACCTGCGGCCATCAGTCGCCCATCCCTAGGGAACGTGAACACGTCAGTTTTTAGTTTATAATATTTATAAGCGAAAAGTTCAGTCGCGATTCCAAACTAGCAGTGGCAGCGATGTCCATGTCCACAGGGACCACCAGTGCTCTCCATATCATTTAAAAAACTAAAAATACACAGCTGACAGAGTCAGAGTTAACAAAATAAAACAGCAGACGGTGCGGAAAGTTGACCAAAAACGGACGCAAAATCCATAATAGCCGCGTTATAGAGAAGGCCGCCAGTAGAAGAGGGGGCGGTGTGCAACCGTAGAGATTAGCAGCTGCCACGCCAAACAGATCTGACGTGCGTGTCGATTCGGAAACAACTCCAAATCACGCCCACACTGGTTTTGTGGGGCCATCCAAGTACACGTAGCCCATCATCATGGCCTTGCCATTGAGCGACCTTCTCATGGTCGGCGGCGGCGAAAAGAAACTGGCCGCCTGCCTGCTGCTTCTTCTCCTAGAGCTCTTCCTGGAAGGTATTTTCTAAAATTCCTTATCTTTGAAGGCTGCCTAACTACACGTCATTGTTTTTCGCACAGGCGCCGAGTCGGCGGCGAGTCCGGCGGATATTGAGAATCATCTGGAGCTGGGCAAGGAGTTCCTGGCCCGCGGACAGCTGTCGGATGCACTGACGCACTACCATGCTGCTGTTGGTAATTATGGACAACAAGACTTGAAATACCCTTGCAGACTCATTATGTGTATGGCTGTTTTAAGTTCATTCTTGTAGCAATTTGTTTGATGTTCATGTTATTCCTCAAATAGCAATGAAACCAAACAAGTTTCAATTTTTAGCCATATTAGCTTTGAATTCAACAATTTTTTGCATATTTAACCAACCATTTACATTAACTACGCAGCATTTAAGGCTTTAATTTAATTTTATATTAAAACAAAACAGATTACCAAACTTTGAGTTGGTTTGCCTTGAATTTGAACAGGAAATTAAAGTTCAAGTATCCAAAATGTATATTAAAATTTTGTTCCACCCTTACTTAACAAGAAACTTGCTATAATTTACCAAATTCTTCTGCAAGGGTATACCCAAGCTTTCTCCACCCTCTTCTTTGATTAAACACACTCATTTTTCCGCAGAGGGTGATGCCAACAACTACCTGACGCTTTTCAAGCGTGGCACCGTCTATTTGGCGCTGGGCAAGACGCGCTTCGCCGTCCAGGACTTCAGTAGGGTCCTTGAGTTGAAGCCCGATTTCACGGCCGCCCGTATACAGCGGGGTGTAGTGCACATGAAGAGTGGCGAGTACGAGCAAGCGATCTTGGACTTTGAGCAAGTGCTTCACGAGGAACCCAACAACGGGCTGGTGCTGGAGCACTACTCCCGCTTGGCACCCGCCCAAGAGCAATGGCAGCTAGTGCAGCAGTTGATTGGGCATAGGGACCACCAAAACGCCATTTCCATGATCACACAGCTGCTGGAGATCTCGCCATGGGCAGTGCCCTTCCGGCAGGCTCGTTCAGATGCTTACATTGCAGTCAACGATCCACTGTCCGCCATTTCAGACTTGCGACAGGTGAATCGACTCACCCAGGACAGTACTGAGGGTCATTACAACATCGCCCAACTGCTGTACACCATTGGACATGCCACGAATGCCTTGAAGGAGATCCGCGAGTGCCTAAAGTTTGATCCGGAGCACAAACTCTGTTTCCCCTTCTACAAAAAGCTGCGAAAGGTGGAAAAGCAGTTGGTGAACGCAGAGCAGGCGCGCGAGGAAAAGCAGTTTGCCGAGTGCATATCCGCTGGAGAGGCGGTGCTTCGGCACGAACCGGAGGAGACGATGATCCGGTACGAGGGTCACAAGGTGCTCTGCAATTGCTACACAAACGACGAACAGTTTGGCAAAGCTTTGCAGCAGTGCAAGGAGGCCCTGGATATTATGAAGGATGCCCAGATCTACTGTGATCGGGCTGAGGCGTTGCTGGGCACCGAGATGTACGACGATGCCATACACTCCTACCAGGCGGCACTCGACCTGGACGAGAGCAACAATCGCGCCAAAGAGGGCATTCAGCGGGCTAAGAAGCTGCAGAAGCAGTCGGAGCGCAGGGATTACTATAAGATATTAGGCGTTAAGCGCAACGCCAACAAACAAGAGATCGTGAAGGCGTACAGAAAGGCGGCGCAGAAGTGGCATCCAGACAACTTCCGGGACGAGGAGAAGAAGGTGGCCGAGAAGAAGTTTATCGACATTGCCGCCGCCAAGGAGGTTCTTACAGACCCCGAGAAGCGTCGCCAATTTGACAACGGCGAGGATCCTCTGGATCCCGAGGCTAATCAGCGCGGCGGCTTCCAAGGCGAGCATCCGTTCGGACACTTCCAGCATGGGTCGCCGTTCCAGTTCAAGTTCCATTTCAATTAGTCAGCCAGCGCCTCCAGCAGCCATTTGCTTTGTGATGTCCTAGCCACGATCCCAGATATCCTTCGACGATTTTACACTGTTTGTTTTGTTCATTTAAATGGCGTGTAAATAGTAGCATAAAGCATAAAATCCCCTGGTCCGTTGTCAGAAACTACCACACACAAATCGCAACAACACACACTGAGCACTTACATTTAATTAGTTTATTTAATAAAATACAATAATTATAATGTAGTACATTTTTCTAATTATGTATAAAAAGAAACAATATGCAAAAACAAGCAATTAAAGACTTGGAAATTTGAACTGAACAGTTGTGAACTTCAAACATGCTTGGAATTTAAAATTGTCTTTAGAAATTCATTCGCTGCAGTCTGATTGTAAAACGAGTGTAGTAACCAAAACCCAATTCGGGGATCTGCTGTGTTATTAAGTAAAAAATGCTGCTTAAGCGTTGGGTGTCATAACCACATACACCATAGTGGCCAGCATCACTGCCATTACCAGTGCAAAGTAAAACTTGAGATTATATTTCTGATCCAGCGATACAGCCAGCGCACGGAACTGCGCCACGGGCGACACCTGATCCTGGTGTCTCAAGAGCGGTTTCCTGGCCAGAGGGGATGAGCGTGTAGTTGGGACATGGCTTCTCCTGATTGGTGATTCTTCTACTTCAGACTCGCTCTCCGTGTCCATGGGTTCGCCTGCGTTGTCTGGCTGGTCGTAGAATTCATTCAGTTGCGGATAAAGGGTGTTCACTGCGGTGGTCGGCTGGAGCAAGCGACCACGGGCCAAGTTGTGTCCACTGGTTGTAACAGTCTGACGCTGGCGAGGAAGTACAGGAGCTGGCGCTGGCCCACCAAATGGCCTGGCGGAACCGCTGAACGTGTTCCTTGGCGAAACTGGCGAGAGTGATGGGTTGAACCCCGATGCCTCCTGGTAACTGGTGGAGTTAAGGTTGGTTTGGGTTAGCAGAGGTCGTGAGAAACCCAAATCTGTGCGTCTGTATGTCGAGGGCTCGGTGCGAGAGTCATATGTGGGAAGTGAGTGAAGAGGAGCGGCTGGCACATGTGGCCTTTCGTAGGTGTGGCTGCGTGGTATGTCCTCATGCTCGTAATGCGGCTGCTCTACTTCGCGGGTATAGGATGTGGTTAGTACTCCAGATTTGGTCAGCGAGACAGAACGTCGAAGCTCGTCCCTGGGTGGAGTTTGCTTGCTTTGGTACCTTATCCCCGGTGAATCCACCATGTAGTAGTCATCATCCTCCGACTGGGAACCCACATCAGAGACCGTGGTGGTAGTCTGCACGGATCTCCCGGAGATCGATGTGTTGTCCAGACCGTAGGCGATGGTGCGACGACCCTGCTCTGTGATCTGGCTGCCGCCGCTGCCAACGCGACCTGCACTCCGGCCGAGTGTACGACGCACTGGCTCCGATGTGGGCGTCGACATTTGGCTGCCGTGAACGGTTTCACGTCTGGGCGTCGATTTCTTAGATTTGCTCTTGTTCAGCGGTGTACCAGAGATTGAAGCTTTCAGGCGGCGAATGATGACGCTTCGAGTGCTGTCCGTCACGGGAACGCCGGGCAGGCCTTGCTCCAGGCACTTGGCCAGCAGTTCCTTGTTCGGTAAGGTGTCCAGGTAAGCAAGGTCCGACATTACTTGCAGCTATGGTGAAACGCAAAACAAAAATAGCTATTTCGTCACTGATTGTTGTTTTTGTTAATAGAGAAGGGACGGCAGCGATAACAAAGGTAGGCATATATCGATAGTCAACCAGTGATGGAAAAGCCCGAATTGCCTTTAAACATCTTCAAAATTTTTGATTTCCAGAGATTTTCCAGAATGACATTTAAAAGGAGGGGTTTTTTAAACAATAAAGTAATGATCAGAATGCGAAAATATGTGTTATTGTAGTACCGCTATTAATTTACCAACCAGTGTTGAAAGATGCCCATATTAGTGCGACCGCGCCGGTGTTGCCAGACTTTTGCTGTGCCAATTGTGTTCGAACGACATGGTATATTTTCACAGTCGACCAACGGGCACACAGTTAGTTTTATGAAAATCGAACGCGCAACAGGTGTTCAATCGCAAACAACACGCTCGAATAAAACGAATCGCCGCGCGGAAAGCGCTCGCCAAGCCAAAGAAAACTCAAGTCGCAGCGCGGAAAACAGGGGAGACACAAAATAACAAAATAAACAGTGGACTTTAAGACGAGACCGAAAATCGTTAACACCTGTTCGCCAGCATTCCTGCACTACGTTGTGCGCCTGCGTGTGTGTTTCATTTAGTTTCCATTTTGTTTACCTCTCTCGCGGGTGTTTTAAAGTTTTTCGTTTTAAATTCGAATTAACAAACAAGTGGCTGAAAACAATCGACAATTTGCTAGTTGCAGTCGCAGCATATTTTCCTCTCATCCAAGCCAAGAAAAAAGCCAGGGAAAAACAACAACAGCAGCAGCAGCAGCATAAACATAAACCAAAAAACCGGTTAAAGCGGACAGAGCGAGAAAGGCGCCCCAAAAGAGCAAGCGGAACACACATAAAACGTAAAAAATACCACGAAAAGGAGAAAAATAATAAACGAAATAAAAAGATTCACGGATTTTGGTTTTGTTTTGAAACGCAAACAGAAAATAAGTGTGTATGTTCTTTGTTTACCCGTGTTAACACCGAGTTTAACCTGTTAATGCCTTATCGGCCTATCAAATCGAAAGTGAACGAGTAATTTCGATATTGCTATTGCCGAAACTCTTCGCGTGGCCCCTTTCTTATCGCTAGACCACTTCAACTACCTGTTGCCGCAACGATCATTACCAGGTGAGCAATAAAATAAACCCTATTTACCCACACAGGCCCAATTCTATAACCCAAACCTTCCCAATACGAATGTTTTGTAAATTGTATTTGCATTGCATCAATGTTCCCATAACTTGACTTGAGAATTATTTATTTAGGATTTCTCAACCCAAATTGCATTAACAAACAGAATTGAATAGTTTTTGTTGTAATGAACGTTTAAAATATCTTAGTTACTTAAAGAAAATGTCAATTTTAACATGCAACATATCATATTATACTGCAAACAAAAATAATCTCAATATAAAATTAGAGATTCCTAAAAAAGAAAACATAAATAGTAGAACTTAATTTTCTGTAAAATTTCGAGACCTTGAAGGGCCAATCAATACCAGAACCCAATCAAAAATAAGTATATATTCTTGTTACTTATCATTGGCTAATGCTAAGAAACAAAAATGCAATCTAAATAGCTAATTGTTGTTTGTGACACATGATAAACGTGTTGGTCAAATTTAGCCGTATCATTCAATAGACCTATAAAGTCGGTCATCGTCATCGTCTATGTTTGGAACATTTTGATACGCAAAGCTCGTGAGAGGCCATATCGATAAGCCATGTGATTGTTAACAACAGATTAGCCCAATACCTTGACATTAGCCAACCCGAATCGGGGAATTCGCCTACCTTTAGTTCATTGACACAACCTTTGGCTGTTGTTTTGAACTCGCTCAACTTTCACTGAAAACGCGGCTGGCCAAAATCGGCATAAATCAACACGAAAATAACAAACACACACACGCGACAGGAAAAATGTTGTAAATGCCAAATTTGAAATGCAAGCGCAACTTAATAAAATCAAATTTGTTGCCTGCTTTTGTTTTCTTGTTTTATTTTATTTATGTAATCCATGGTTAATTTCCAAGCATCATTAAGCCGCGGAGAAAAAGTCTCTTGGATACAAATTGAAGCACACGAGCAGATGATTATGAGATAATCAGTAAATTGCACAAGACCAAATGAAGTCATGAGAGTTGAGTGGATTGTAGCCGTCGAGTGGGATGGCTGCGAATTGAGCCAAGTCGGGAGTTGAGCGGGCTCCAATTTGACACTAAATTGAATGAGATAACAGATTTGAAAATGATTTATCTATTAAATTAAATTGGATGGCGTGTGCAAAAATTGAAATACTGAAATTGTTTTTATCCATTAAATTTCTGGGGAACATTACCTGCAGAAATTTCCCAATACCAATTGCAATCCCAATCCTATATGACTCATAGCCAAATGCATTTATTCATTCGTATCTTGCATCTACTTATCGCTTAGACATGGAAAAAACAAAATTCCTCAAACATGAAGAAAACAAAATGCCAAATATTCCCACCAAAAAAATATATGCAGAAAATAAGAAACCAAAACAAGAGACAACAAGTTTTTATAAAAAACAAAACTATGCGCATAAAAAAGTTATATAAAAAACACGTTCAGACTTCAAACCGCTCGGTGTGAGCGGGATGGTGATATCAAGTGGGTTAGCGGCTTGCATGTGTGCGTTTTTGTATCTGTGTGAGCCACGCTTCAATTGCAAATGCGCCCAGTAAGCGAACAAAGTATGAAAAAACGTTAAAAAAGCATTGACGCAGATACGCGCACTGTGTTTGCCGTTGTTGTAATTGTAAATTCTACAGGTTTCTTGGCTGATGTTTGTTTGTGTGTGTTTTAGCCGTTGTTGCCTTAATGGCAGAAAAGCAAAAGCAACAACAACAAGATAGCTCTGCAATTTTACGCCAAAGCTAAAAAGGCGAGCGATCGAGCAGAAATCGAAGCGATCAACACACACAGTAAGAAAATTTGACACATTTTTATTTTTATATAATATGTAAGAAATAGCGATATGTATTAAAACAAAATTAAAATATTTATTTACCCGAAAAAATTATAATATTCGACATTGTTGTTTTTAAGACTGTGCTTTCAGAGCCAGTTTTTCTGCGATCTATCTTATTATGCTAGTCTGTTACTGAATTTTAAATTCATTTGTATCTATTAACACACATTAACACACACATATATAAAAACATCAACAACCCGGCACTTTCCCATACATACAAAATATTCTACATCTTCTCGAACAAAAGTTTTTGATTTTATATCAAACTGATTTTGTTTCTGTGCAAAATTAAAGGAAAAGGATAAAAGAAGGGGGTGGTGGTGGAAAACTGGGAGACGCAGTGGGGTGACGAGGAGCGGCTACTCCATTCGTAGGCAAACCGGGCCAGTTGCCGATCACTGTGGGCCGAAAACCCCAGCAACGTCATTATAATTCCCCTGCTGATATAAGGTATTTCAAGCAAAACACATGCCGAAGTGCTCACCTTGAAAGATTATAGATTTGTGTTCATACAAATCACCAAACATAAGAAAACGATGTAAATTTACAAGCCATTAAGCTCACAGTAATATAAATTAAAAACGTAGTTTTTATTTAATTGTTGTATATGTATGTAGTTAAATTTACGTCGTTTACCGAGTATTATTGGTATAACAAATTTGAATGCCTATGGCACAAGAAAAGAAAAGACAAATGTCTTGTTGTGAGAAAAGCAAAAGTGAATTATTTTTATTTTTTCTGAAAAATTTTTGACTTTAGGTTAACAGAATTTATTACCTTTTTTGGTATTTAAATGAAAAATTAAGCAATTAACAGAGTCAAAACATCAAATCGTTTTATGACGTTTTAAATTTATAAACTCCAAAACACCACTGTGCATTGGTTGTGCCCGTGTTTATGCCCCAATAAAAGCAACAACAAGCTCCAAACAGCAGCGGCGAACGTTGCAATAAGCCGAGTGGACCCCTCAAGTCGCCCCAAAGTAGCCCCAAGTCGTCTTAACTTGGCCAACAGCTTGGCCAACTTGGCGTTCGCTCCAGCTTGTTTCGTATCGGTTCGGATCGGTTTTTGTTTTGCTTGTGTTTTGCACTCGTATTCGTAATTGTTTCATGAAACTGGCCAACTCCAGTGAGGGTGGTGGACCCGAGGGGTATTGTCAATGGGAGGGGAGGGTGTACGAAAAAAAAAAACAGGTGCGCAGTGCGCAAACGCGCGCGCATTTTTTGGTTTTGCTTACTGGTTTTTTTCGGTGCCTTCGTTTTGGGGCCAACTGTTTTTCGATTTTAATTATGGTTTATGTGTCGCTTACGAACGGCGATCGCACAAAAAGCTAAACCGTCGATCGTTGATCGGCATATATTTATCCAATAAGCGATATACGAGTGTATATACAATACACCCCATGCCCATACCCATACCCATACCCATAACACAAGGTTGCCAGCCAATGTCCGTTGCCACGAGTGACACGAGTGGAGGGGACATGTCGAGCCATTGAGGTTACCGCTTGCTAATTGTGAATTGCCTTCTGGGCGGATCGCCATGGAATTGGCTTTGGGCGAGAGAGCCATTGGCCAAAGTTATTGGAGTGGAAAGCCCCGTTCCGAAGGTGAAGCCTCTGGCTGGCTTTCCCCTCTTCAAAAATCAAGCTAGAAATTCCTGCCTGGCTAGGTGCTTTTTATCAGATAAGAGGGTTCGCCTTCGTCCATAAATCGGGCTGGAAATTCCAACTAAGATAAGTTATTTTATTGGTAATTCCTAAGTTCCCGACCAGATGGGAGTTTTTCTTCAGAAATTATGTTAAGACAAACTTTCTAGTTAGGCTATTTATTTATATTAAGACTTCCTGGATATTTGTAAGTCCTATCTTTGGTTTTTAAAACGAATTGGATATTCATAATACTATGAGAAGTAGATTGATTGAAAACAAGCCTCTATTATCAGTTAAGACATTTTATGTTCCATATCAGGATATAAATTTTTGCTTCGCATGGTATTTAATGCTGTAATTCGAAATTTTGATAAGAACAGTAATCAATTTTAAGCGGAAGCAATTGTTTGCTTTTACCAAAA